CCGGTGGTGGTTTAACGGTCATCCATCCGCTTTTGGCTGGGCTAACCACCACCTTGAACCGGGGAACTGGGCCCGCTTAACCCATGCGGCTCATTGCATAGGTGGACCAGCTACAGCCCTTTGCCACCCATCGTCATCGCCCGGGTAGCTGACCTGACCCGGGGCGTTAACCTGGTTTTACTCCGGTTGTGAGCCAGCTCACCCATGTCCTGCATCAGTGCATGCAGTCTGCAACCATTCAATGTCATTGTCAAGGCATAGGGCAAGCTGCACAAGGGCGGCTCATGGGGCGCACTGATCTCGCCTTCAGGAAACATAAGTCCTCTCTCTGGAGATGTCGGCTCTCAACTTCTGGTGCCGTTGACCTTCAGTCGCTCTTTCGCAGCATTACAATCGGAAGCTTGTGCCTCTTGAGAGAGACCGTGCGCTGCGCTACGAGCCCATGCGGACATCATCAGCACTGATTGGTGGTGTCCTTTGGCCTGCTCGTCTTCCGTTTTGGATGGCTTGTGTTAGATTTGGTTGCAGACTGGAGGGAGCAGGGAATGTGTCGTTGCCTTCAGCAGGTAAAGAAATGTCAGGCTCTTGTATGTTAGTTGGAAAGTCGTGTCTTTGGAGCTGGGGTATCCATACGAGCAGATGGTTTGCCAAGGAGCCTCGTTGCAATCACGAGCTTGTACCTCAGACTTGTAAGCATTTTAATAGGTCGAGTACGACAAGCCGAAGAGCTAAGGACGTAGACACTCGCTGTCTCCGTCCGGCTTCCTTTCAGTCGTCAGATTGTTCCAGCAAAGCCAGTTGCTCAAAGGCGATGGTGCTAGTGCCACAGCTGAGGCAGTTTCTTGGCTGCACTTTGTACCCACAATACAGGAGAGAAAAGATCCTGAATGTTCTTGGCAATGAGTTCAACTCAATGCCACCGGTCTGCTTTCAAAGGCCCAGGACAATCCATGGAAGATCACGGCCATGCCCAATTGTAAGCAAGGCGCCCAATCCAAAAGGTCCAGAAAAGACCGTAAAGATCTATTGTCTAAGATGTGACGAGCTACTGTATCTGTATAGAAAAGCAGGCAAAGGCTCCCTTGTCAAGTGCTTTGAGGAGAGAATAGCAAAAGACTACACGAGGGGCGACTTGCGGTGCCCTCAGTGTAACACGGAGTTCGCCAGGCCGGCCATGATCCGTGGAAAGCCAGCGCACAAGATCATTGGCGGCAAAGTTACAATGAGGAAGTGAGGGTCGCTGGTTGTATCCATGACTGTCATGTCATGTCGGTCACTCATTCCAGCTACAAAATAGTATATGGCAACCGTCTTTCGAGACGCATGCCATTTTGGACTGTCGAGCTATACTTCACCATTAATGATATACGGTAGCTGTATACAAGATCACAATTCCGATGGTACATGCATGTCATGCAACAAATGTGTGCAAGCTCACTAAAAAAAGGTACTGGCGACCACGTTGATATGATGCAGGTTCCTTTCATCTTATTCATGACGCGCAGGTAGATATAGGCTTCTTGGATGGCCGCCATGCAAGGATACACTTGCAGTGCACCAGTGTCAAGCTGATCGTGAGCAGGCTTAAGCTGTCGTCGAGCATCTATACCGTATACCCGGGCCTGCAATCCGACGAATCAAATGTGATTATGTACGTTTACTCCTCTTGTAGTCGCGTGTGTGCGGCTATTCAGTAATTAAGCTTTTTTTTATAGACGTATGCACATGATGTAGCGAACGATTGGTAGGGCACCTCTGTATGATCAATTCCAGCTCTTGGCACAGGCCGGGTTTTGTTGTGCAGAGACAAACACCCTGCCAAAAGCTATACGCCGCACCCTGAAAGACTTGATGCAATCAATTGTTCGTTTGACCCGTTTTTTAGGGTCTGTTCGAAGGTCCCTCGCTGTGAAGGTTTAGAATCGTTGTGAGATATGTTGTACATCTTGTTGTAGCTGACTGGGCGGCACCAGGTTTTTGTGGGCCACGTGCATCCTCGCCGCAGTCAATGAATCTTTGATTAGTTGCATACAGCGAAATTTGGAAGCAGCAGCTGACCTTCATTTGACTACACCACTTAATATGCGTAGTCGTTCAGAGCGCCCTCGAAGAGACCAGTATGCAATATCAATAGAGCGTGACAAACTTGCAACCGCAAAGACGACTCTAGATCAAGCGTCACAAGTCCACGATCAATAATCTACGGGCCATTCCAAGCCGCCTTTTGAGCTCCGGCACAAACGAGTAGCCTGCGTCCTCCACAAAGGACATGTGCAGCGCCGAGAGCCTATATTGTGTGTCACAGCGCAACTGAAAACCGTGTCACTTTTGTACGTCACTATGCGACCGTATGACCGGGATTCAGCTGCGTAACCCCTACCTTCAACCCTGTGCCGCCAAGATCTCCCTAGCGAGTGCAGGTGACGATGACAGTAACTCTTTGAAAGCACTTTCGACTTCCTTCAGCTCCTTCTCGTGATACTCTTGGGCTTTCTATGAAACGAAAGAGAGTCGCAATCAGACGAGTGAGCAACATGAATAGGAACGGTCCTTCACTTTTGCAAGAGGCTACGAAAGCAAACCCGTCTTCTCAGCAAGCAAAAGGGGAATGAGTAGCCAGGCTTCCCCGTTGTATCATGCAAGGATACGAGAAGGGGCTGACTCAAAGATCTCACCTTGAGTTTTTCAAGGTCTTGTTCTACTTCCCTTACCATCCCAGCCTGTTCTATAAGAAGATTGTTCCTTGGTTCAAGAACAAACCTGCAAACACCAGTTTAGAGATCAGCAACAAGGACCTTCATGAAACAGCAGGGCACAAGTGCTCTCAATCAGATCCAGGGCTGGTAAACATACTGAATAAGATACAGTGGGGAGAAAATATCGTCTTGGAAGATGCAATAGAAAGATGCGTCAACCACACCAGATATGGATTTTGGGGACTTACATTTTGCCTGAGAACCCCACGTACATGCAAATAGAGCAGGAGACTGGTTAGAGCACTCGATTCCTTAAAAAACAAACAACAGCTCGAGAAATGATGCATTGAGTCAGGAACAATCGCCATTCTAGAACAGCCAATCACAGAGGTTGCTGGTCCAAGATCAAAAGATCCAGTTGGAGGGAAGCTGCTCTGGCCTTCACCTAAAGAGTGGTACGTTCTGGTATTCTCTGGCACTTGCTGAAGCTCTTGTCCCGTTAAGACTGCCTTCTTTATGCTGCGGTTTGCAACCGTAATCTGCGCCTGTGTCTGTGAAAAACAAGCAGAGACCACCGTAAGAAGTTGGACAAACAAGAATTACCCGGCAGATTGGAAGTGCCAGACATGGGACTCACTCAAGCCTTCAACAATTACACACCAAAGGCCGCACGACGGGCGGACGCTTCAGAGCTATTCATGAATGCCTCATTGAGCATATCTGGGGCCACACACTGGTTCAGCCCTCATTAACTGAGCGTTGTTGTCAGCCGGGCACGGAGAGTTTGCAACAAGTGTCACTTCGACTAGCTAAGAGCCCGAACACTCTGGTTGGATAGTCCTGAGAAAAGTGAAGGCATGTGGCGCTCTGTCCGGGACTTATGTATGCTACGTTAAGGAGGGATTTATGCTGTGACCACTAGAGAAAGTTCTCATTCAATTTCAATCACTCCCAGCTCAGGACGGGACAATTGATGGGCCTGTGTCTCCATTCAGAGCAAAGAAAGCGGTCAGGAGTGCATCCCGACGGTGGGGGTGTAGAGAGATAGCTGTTTGCCCAAACTAGATGCACCTCAATGAGAGGAGCCTGAGCTTCTCTCAATTCTCCCCCTCGCTTGAAGTAGAGGACATCCCCACTTATGCTCGCAAATTGACCCAACACAGGGCAATCTTGAGTGGCACACCCAATAAGTCCCTCACCTGCCTCAGTTTGCTTGTTGCTTCAAACATCCGTTTCTTCAGTTCCTCAAATGCCTGTCAAATGAAGGTATGTTCAGCATGAGCGCAATCATACCACCATCAGGTTCAAGGCAAAAGAGTTTTATCAGAAGGCAACTGCATTCTGGCCTCAAAGATTCATGTGTGCAACAAGCAGAGTCAGTTGACATACCACCACTGCAAAAACTGAATGGATCGCTGTAACTCACCTTCTGACTTTCAGCTTCCATCTTTGCTCAGAATTGCAGGGGCGCTCAGATACAGCTTTACTCGTCAGCTCAGCTCTGTTGGTGTCACTGCAGAGATGCCGCTTCAGCAACAACACGCCAAGCTGATACCCGAGCAGCTCCTTGCAGCTTACCCTCTCAAAGAGGCCGGAAACAAGCCAGCCGCCTGCTTCATCCAGCGTCTGATCAAGATCTCTCAACGGCTTCCCTCAGCCTAAGGAAACGAATATCCCAACCCTCGAGCTTCTTGCAGCTCACCCCTATCAGCTGAAGCTAGAGACTCAGAGAGCAGCGCTTATCCTTATGTGTGTTATCCTTGCCAACTTTCAAAGTTTCTTGAGCAATCAAAATTCTAAATGAACTGAGAGTCAGAGTCGGACTCAAGACTCACAGCTGACAGTGAAACTTGAAAGCAGCTCACCACACAGCTTGAGCAGCTATGCAACTTTTACGTGAAAGCATGTGTCAAGAGAAACCCATGTTCACATAACAAGCCGGTTTCTACTTCTACCCGAGGGCCCTTTCACAGCAAATCTCGATCATGAAACGGTCCCGGCTCCATGACATCAATTCAGAAGAAATACGTTCAGCTATGTAATTAAAACCGTATTTATAACGACAGAGCAGGTACCTCTCCTTGCCAACATCATGATCAATGGCATGGCCAGAAACCTTGATGAAATCTCGAGCTGTGAGAAGCCTGCTCCATTCTATCACGAGCGCCCATCAATGGCATTATCCACAAATAGAAATTGAAAGCGGAACAACTATCTCCTTGCAGCAACTGTGAGTCTACTTAGCGCCGAGTGAAGCGAAGGCGACGTTGCGATCATTGGACCCGGTTGTTCACTTCTCTTCAATAGGAAGTGCCGCTGTACGATCTTCTCATTGATCCTGGAGAATGTAGCAGGAGCTTTGGGGCCTTGTAAGTGATCCCTCTGGCTGCACAGCTAAGCTACCAGCAGCTCCCACCGCCCAACCTTTGCTGATCAGCAACACACACAAGTGTTGACGGATAGCCCAATTGCCCTCCACTACCTACACCAGTCATGAAAATGCGTCTTGAGCAGAAGTGAACATGCCCCTTCCGGACTGGTTGACACAAGTACAGGAGCGAGTGGCGCAGTTCCAGGCGGAGCAGCGGCCATGGCCCTGGCGGGACCACCTGAAGCGGCCCTTCTCTATGTGGGGCAAGAAGAAAGAGGAGGAGAAGACCGGCCAGCAGCTGCGGACGGAGCGGATGCAGAAGCTAGCTGCGAGCGTGCGCGCGGAGAGCGTAGACGACCTGCGGGACATCCTGTCGGCGATGGTCCTCTCAGAGTGCGCCTACAAGGTGACAGGCTTAACGTACATGCAATTTCGAGAAGGACTTCACAAACAAGGCAATCAGGGACTGTGCTTGTACGAGAATTACGCTTGCGCTGTTGGAGGACTCGTATTTTGCCCAAAATGAGTTGGGCCAGGGCTTTTGACACTCAACCAGTCACAAGCATTCGTGTGGGGTTTCATTTGGCGCTCCTGGGGTGGTGCGGCTCTTGATGGGACTAATGGCTTTCGGGGACCGCTGCCCAAATCAACCGGCGTCCTTCAACCGGGCCACTTCCTAGAGTAGCCTGCTACACTACTTCGATGGAGGTACACATGTCTCAGGGTTTTGGGTGTCTGACTTGTGTGTTGGCTGAGATAAGCTGAGTCCATGACAAGACCCTTAAAACGTTTGAGATGCATTCATATGATCACCTTGTGGAGCTCCTGGAGGGCAATCGATGTCGCCTTCTTACCCTGAGGCCTCTCTCCATTTCGCTGCAGAGGCCGGTCTCAGACATGCTTCGGCACCTCCATCGGTTCCGGAACGATTTTGGGAGCGACTTGGTCTGCCTCAAGCGGGTGCAGGTTTCCCTGGAGCACGCACCTCACAGGTGGGTGCCCTCCGCTGTCGATATCAATCTCGTTTCCAAAGTAGGACTGCTTTATGCAGATTGAGGATGATTCCGATCCAGGTCGAGTCACCTGCTTTCGATGCACTCTATAGAGACCGAGTGCGATGGGGCCTCGGTTTGCATGAGCCTTATAAAGGTCCTCCGTAGTTGACCGAAAGGAAGCCTGTCAACTCTGATTTCAATGCCTAATCAAAGTAATGCCTCAAGTTTTTGGTGGCATACAAATTGCCTTTTCTGAAGGGCCGCTTGGTGACACAGGTACCTGCTGGCGGAGGCTGGAGACACCCTCTTCGCTTCGTTCATTGGGACAAAGCAGGCACGGTAAGTTTTCTTGGTAGCTCCTGGAGAAGTGTGTGCTTGACAAGTCTCCCTCGAGCTTTCGTTTCCAAGAATTAACTTGTTGAGCCAGCGAAGATTCATTTACTGGAGGGAATCGGTCAGCCCCTTTCACCTTGATATCGAAGTCGGATCATTCAACCTTCGAAAGTTTCTCATGGCATATTCTCCATGCAAGTCGTACAAAAAGCCGGTTTGCAAGATCTTTCTGGGTTTTGAAGTCGGATCTGTTAGTAACTTCGGTGCTTTCCCTGCAGGGACTTTCTGGCAGACGCCAACTTTCTTCAAGACGCTCTATTTGAGGGCGATGAGGACCTCGACGACTTTGACGCGGACCTAGAAGCCAGGGGGGCCAGCGCAGGGCCAAGCCTTCCCCCCCGCAAGAGGAGGAAACGAGGCTCGAAGCCCCTGGTACATCGAGTGAGCTTTGGCTGCTGGCTCCCCAACTTCGTGACATGTTCTCCAGCCTTTCTATTTTTGACGGTTTCCGACGTTTCAACAAACGGTTGAGATCGACGGTTTGGTCGTAATGATTGGTCGCAGACTAGCCGAATGCAAATCTCGTTTTCTTGATTGGCCCTGCCTTCCTCATCTCTCACCTTCTCTCCATTCTGAGGTTGGGACGCCTTTTAGAAGCCGAGCTCCCTTCTGACTGACCTTCAGATCCGATCAACCGTTCCTCGCGGGTATAGTGCTAAATCTCTTTCAAAACAACCAATCACCCGAGACGATAAAACAGCCACTTTGACAACCGCGCTTAGGAATTGCCTCACGTAAGTTTCCTTATTCAGGGCTTTCTCGCTCGAGCCCGGGGCATTCCTGCTGTTGACATCTACCGGCTCGCCCGTCGAACGAACCGCCGCCTCGTCCTGTGCGGGCACTCCCTCGGTGGCGCGGTCGCGGTGCTTGTGACAGTGGCGATCTTGAAAGCTGCGGCGCTAACAAAGCCGGGCCAGCGGCGGGTTCCCGTAAAGTGCATCACATTTTCGCAGCCGCCTGTGGGGAACGCCGCACTGAAGGAGTGAGTGAGAGCTGCTCACTTAGCTCGGTTTTTCTGTGGTGGTGCCAAGTGGACTGAGGCCTACCAACACTTTCTCAGCTCTTTATGTCAAGTCTCGGGACGTCGAAAAGGCAGACTTTCCAAGGATATCGTTGTAGGTCTCTTCTTTAGGTGCCTTTATTGCAAGTACGACGTCGTTCTCCAGTCAGCTTGTGTTTGAAGCTTTTACGCATCGCAGCTTGCCGTCTACTGTTCTCTCTGCATCTTCCTTGGGAATCCTGTACTACGATCAAGCAAGTCTCGTTTTAACAAGACTCAAAGTGGAAGTTTCAGTCGCTGCATCCAAGTTCGGCGTTCTCTGGCAGGCTGTGGTTCAGAGCATATGTCTGGAGGCCCAAAGCACCAAGTTGCTTCGAGGCGAATAGAAATAAGCCGACCTGAGAATAGCTTCAATGAGTAGAGAACATCTCTTAGCCAGTTGCGCATCCTCAATCATGACGTCATCTCTCGTGTGCTTGCGTCAGCTACGTCCACCAGCGCGGCTGGCAGCACCACTTCCGCAGCTTCTGCATCCCGGAGGACATCATCCCCCGCATCCTGTCCCCTGCTTACTTCCAACACTACAGCCTCCAAGCAGAAGAGCTGGCAGCTCAAGCGGCCATGCTGGTGAGCACCTCGTTCCCGGGGGGCCAGGACACCAGGAAAACGGGACCCCCTCTGTGGGGCGCGCTCCAGAGGGGGTTCTGGAGGGTGCCGAAGCTTGCCCCCCTGGTAGGGAATTCTAGGGACGCAGCGGCAGCCTGGGTGAAGCGGAAGCGGGGGGAGGAGACGGGAGCAGTTCCAAACAAGGGGACCAAGTTTGCCTCACTTAGCGACCCCTCGGGACGGGAGAAGATTCCTTCGGCGGAGATTATAGTTCAGGATCCTACTGCAGAGAGCTTGGTCACAGCAAGTGCGATCGGCGCACCGGACGTCGCATCAACTGCGCAGAGTGTACATAACCAATCTGTAAATACGAACTCGGATTTAGCGTCGGCCTTGTACAAAGGTGGTAACTTAGGAGACAGCAACACGGTTCCCTCACAACGAGACCGTGACGAGACTCCCTTACAGCGAGTAGGAAGCAGCCAACCGGTGCAGCTCGCACGGGGGATGTGGAGCAGAGTACAGGCAGGGGCCGGGCGGCAGCTCGGTCGAGCTGGGCAGTCAAACCTCCTCCCATTCTGCAACGTGGGGGTCGATGCGCCCCCGCAAACTGGCCCCGCCGAGGCCCCCGAAATGGTCAAGAGCGCCCCGGCAGAAGCTAGGATAGTACCGAGCACGCAACAGCCCACGGACAGCTTAAACACGGACGGTTCTGCTGCCCGCGAAATCCGGAACCCGAATCCTCAAACCCTGGTTGTGGAGCCGGATCAACCTGGGCCGGGACCGCTCGGATGGGGGTGGGGGTGGGCGGAGCAGATCCGGGACCGGATGCCCGCCGTGATGACGTCAATGCCCAGCATGCCGTCCGTCTCCATGCCATCCGTCTCGATACCGTCCGTTCCGATCCCGAGCGTGCCGATGCCGTCGTACGTGCCGTTCGGACACCTCTACCTGCTGATGCCGACGCACGCGGAGCACATTGGTTCTGGAGAGTGAGGCCTCGATTGCTTCTTCCGACTTTCGTGGCGACTTGTCCGTCGGCCCAGCAGAGTCGAGTAGAGCGTTACGCTTTTCAACCTTCTCAAGGGACTGAGTTACGACTGTCTTACTTCCTCGCCTCTTGTCTCGTGCGTATTTCGCCAGCCTCTGGTTTGGCTGCTTCAATCAAGTGCTCCACCGTCTCCTTTGCACCCTCGACGTCACGAGCCACCAAAGTTCAACCCTTGTTGAAGCTTCAGAACGGCCCCGCTCATTTGTGCTCTGCAAATATTAAGTACGCCCATTCGCTGACAGCCCCGGTCCCCAGTACATGCCGAAGTCCTTCCTTGAGCTTTGCCACTGCATTAAGTTTATAAATGATTGCCCTTCCAGCTGCTCTTAGTATCCGAACCGATGCTACAATTTTGTTTTGATGCAGCCCACTAAGCAATAAAACTGTGGGCTTATTCTGCGTCTTTCGGCTCATTTGTTGCTCCCGCCTCCCCCGGCCCCAGGTACCAGCAGCTAATTGCGGCGGGCATGCGTGGCTGGATGGCGGAAGTCCAGAAGCGCTTCCACAGCCACACCATGGCGCAGTACCGCGCGCGATTCCACGCCATGTACTCGCTCGCCATGGCCGAGGGATCCCCCTTTCCAGCCGCCGTCCTCGGGCAGCACGCGCTGCCCTGGTCGGCGCCCATCGACTTCGACGACATCGAGCTCGGACAGGTGGGCGTCATCCATCGGCACACATTGTCCTTTCAAACCCATTGAACGGCGAGCATATGGTATATTTCATTTCGTCCCTCTGATCATTTCCGCTTGTTCGATAGCTCTGGTGAGTAGCCACATCATTGCAGGACTGGTCCATCAATTCCCTCGGTCTTCAACGGTTCGCTTAAGCCAACCGGTTTTCATCTCGGACAGTGGGGCTTACTGAATGGCAGACAATTTCTTTCGTCCTCCTGGTTGTTCCACCTTATCCAAAGGTCCTCCTGAGTGCTGAGTGCGCGAGGATTGCTCCGAGCGCTCCGTTCGGTTGCTCTGGGTCGCTCAAGCCAACCGCTTCTCAGCTCTTTCTTTCCCGTGCCATTTGCAGATTGCGGAGCCGACCGTGGTCCGCACGGCGACCAGCGTAGTGCCCCTCAAGTGGGCGGGGTCGCCGGGCCAGAACGGCGCGGGCCCGATCAAGGTGGACGTCCACGGGCAGGGGCTGCACGCGGTAACTAGAGTGGAGGCACAAGTGGACGGGCAGTGGTGCGCCGCCAGCATTGAGCGGATGTTGGCTGCCCCACCGGTCTGGGAGGACGCGTTCTCGGAGCAGGCACCGCAGGAGGTAAGTGCAGGGCCGAGGCGGACAGTGACGTCTGTGGACCTTCACTAATAGAATGGGTTTGCGGTGTGTCGCAGATGGCAACACCGGCTTTGAGATTGCTGCCCAAGAGTGCATAGCCGTTCCGGTCTTCAAGACGGGTGCATGTGAGCTGCAATTCCACCAAGAGCGCGACGGGACGATCGAGGCTTCCCAAAAGTGTCTCGGTCTTGAGCATGTTCACTTCCGAGTTTGTCTACCGATGTGAACCCGTTTAGAAAGTGGACCTTCTCATGTTGAGTGCCGTACTCGGGCACCTCCCTTGGCGAAAGGCAAGGGAGCGACAAGCGGCATATTGGACACGCACTTTGATCACTCTGGCCTTCTTGCACATCTTACAATCAGGCCACGTTTCTCTGCAATTCTACTTGTGTAGGCTCCATGCTGTTCGCCCGATCTCTCGTCACTTTCAAAAACGCTTCTCAAAGGCATCTTTTAGGCTCGTAGCTTGTCCGAGTCAGCTGGTTTGACTGCACCAGAACATTGCCGGGTCGGCCCTCAGTGCACTGAAGTCCCAGAGCCTTCTGCCTCCTAGGATCTGCATGGTTAAGCCGATAATGACACACCAATCCCAATCCTTCCCTCTAACTTGAAACATCCTCCCGCAGAGTATACGCGTTCACATCGGGCCCCCTCTTCGCAACCAAGGCCGGGGCGACCGCAACCTCCCCCCCAACTCCGACCCGGGCCCCGCTCAAGCCGGCGACGCCCAGCCCACAGACCAGCAAACCGACATCCCAGCCTCTGACGAGGCCCCCGAGCCGCGCTGGGCGCTCTGGCGGCGGAGCTTTAGGCTTCCCCCCCTGCCGTGGCGCCCCGGGGGGACGCCTATACCTTCCCTGGAGGAGGCCCTGTCGCAGGAGGAGTTCCGGGGGTGGTACGACGAGGGCCCGACGGGCGAGGTCGTCGTTCACTGCAGCAGCGATTTTGACACGAGCAGCAAAAGCGTGGCGATGCGGTTACGGCGCGTGCGGTTGATCGGGCTGGAAGGCGCGGGGAAGACTTCGCTTTGGTCGGCGCTGATGGGCCAACAGGGGGAGCCGTCGCTGTGGGACGATCTAGGGGTGGTGCCGGATCTAGAGTGGCGGGAAGGGGTTGCCGAGGGCGTGGGTTACGTGGACGGTGTCGGGGTTAACCTGCAGGTATGTCAGCGATAGAGTGCCGATGCAGTTTATTGGAGAAGAGTTGGGTGTGACCATGTGGAGCCACAGCTTGACTGGAACGAGGGTAGACTGATGGGTAGCTTTCTCTTGCTCATACAATAGCCGGGATATTTTGTAAGTTGTGAATCCGCGCTTCGTGTACGAGCTTACGGCGGTCACGAAGCTCTCTGCTCTGCTACGTTCCGACATGCCGCCTCCACTGGGGCCTTACGATTGTCATATCTTGTTCCTCAGGCAAAACGATAACGGTCACCACTCGGCACTTTCCATGGGAAGAATCCAGATCTCATTGAAATTCTTTGCTTTCTGTTCTTTTTCTGCCCCTTTTGGTTGGCTCCTTGTAGCTTTTTTCTTGAGATCCACGACAGCGAGCTCTCATCCGGCGACACCTCTCTCCTTCATCCTGCATTTTTAGTTTATCTTTTTTGACCTTCGCTCCAGGACCTACCCGGGGACGCCCAGACCTTGAACCGTGAGCTGCATCCCCACGCGGGGCCTCTGGGCCGGCGAGTCGACGCAGTCGTCCTCGTCCACAACCTGGCCAGCAAGATTCCGCAGCTGCGGGGGCCGCGCGGGAAGCCGCTCGACAAGCCCGCGCTCTCGCTGCTCCTCGACGAGGTGAGAAGGGCCGTTGGAATGAGTTCTTTCAATGAATTACATAGGTCCAGAAAGTCTCTTGTTTCCGGCCCCAAAGAAGCCGCTCGTCAAGCTTCTGGGTTCGGCTGCTCTTCATCACTCTTTTGAGGGCAGCGGCGGTGCTGATCGATAAGATTGGATTCCTTTTCGGCCAGTCGTTTCTGATTACTTCGTCAGCTCACATGACCTCGACCAACAGACATGTCCGCAGAGAAACGCATCGTTGTACCCTTGCTGACGTCAACGATTGTTTTCCGCTCCCCCAGGTGCGCTCCTCGGGTGTACCGCTCATCCTGGCAGTCACGAACAAGTTTGCCAGCAGCGCGGAGCGGCGCTACCCGGCCGCGGCCTCGGTCATGGAGGCCTACCACATCCCCCCGAGCCACGTGGCAATCGTCAATTCGCGGCCGTACGTCGTGCAGGGGGCTCTGCACCCAGCAGACCGGGCCAAGCTGGTCCCACCTGCTGCGGCGGTCTCGGGAAGGGGGGACGGCAAGGAGACCGAACGGAATGAAAGAGCGGAAGGCGCCAGGGGGAGCGCCGAGGCGAAGTCTGAAGGAGGGGAGGATGTCAGCCGAGGAGAGAGTAAGCCAGAGGCGGGGCCGACTCGACCTCCGGGGGAGGGTTTGAATAGCTCAAAAGCGCCCATCGCGTCGATCTCGGAGAGTTTGTCGAGTTTAGGAGCGGGTCGACTGAGCACGATGGAGCTTCCAAACTTTGCGGGCTCCGGGGGCACGTTTCAGGGGGCGGCGTCGTTTGTGGCGGCCGCCCCCCGCAGCCTGAACCCGTTCCGGCGGAAGGAGCTGGTACTGCCGGTGGAGGGAGTGCGCGAGCTGCGCGACCTCGTGCACAGCGCGCTGGAGATGAACGAGGAACAGGCGCTCAGGTGAGCGCACTACTCCGTCCCTCGTTTTATTGTTTTCCTCTCTGGTTGTTTGCCCAATGTGGATCTGGGTGCGGGGGGGACCAATCATGCAGAAGCAAAACGGAGATCATGGAGTGTCAGATTGCAACGCGTTCTGGTGGATAGAAGTGAGAGTCCCGCAGGGGACCCCTCTCCGAGGGCCGGGTTCCCTGAAATCAGGATGTTGAAACCTTACGTTGATCTTCGATATGTTTTTGGGCAATGATCAGGAGTGGGTTAAGAATACCCGCAATGACTCGGCTCATCCTCATCTCCCCCTGTTATTGCACCTAGCTGCCTGGATCATCTGGGATGCCACTGCAAGTTGGTGTGTAAGCAAGCAAGGACGCACCACCGTTGTGACCCACAACCTGCATCTTGATTCTTTTCTAGGGAGACACTGGAAGCTGCCCTCATGAGAGAGCGGTCCATGCTGGCCGCTCACAACACGGCATTGGCGAACCACAAGAAGCGTCTTGGTCCAGGCACCTTTGTTGGAGCCGCCATGAGCGCGGGGGTAGCTTTGGTCGTGGCCACCTTTTTTGGGAGTCGTTCCGCACCCCGATGATGAAGAGGTGGCTTGCAACGAAAAATCAAGCGACATGATGGCCTTCTGTGCTTTCTCATTCTGCCGCTGTTGTTATCAAGCATGGTATGCATTCAACGTCTAGAGCCACCGATGCAAATCTGTCCTCACTGGCGGGCAGCTTCCAGACTAGCCTATGCGTAAGTAAAGCCGTATTGCTACTGTAGTAGGCGTCCATGTGTTCACTTGACTAGCCGACCTGCACTCGGCAGTCTTACCTATTGCGTCTGTTGCAATTTGGCAGCGTGCTTTGCACAACATATGTCACTTAAAACATATATGCTCGTTTGATATTCATTTTGCAACACTACATTCTTGGCAATAGATCATGAGCTCAGACTCGCTGATCCTATTTTAGCATGCTTTTGTTTTCTGCATGTCATGATAAAGACAGCACAACAGTATATTGACGCGGAGTGGAACATTGTACCAAATTGCATGCTTTTGATTGGACATGCACAAGGTCTGAATATGGAGAGGCAGCACTGCGCAACTCACTTCAACAACCTACCACTGTTGCTATCAACAAGTCCCGAGGATTGTCATTTTTGAGTTTTGGGCCGGGGGGCACCTATAGGTGCAACATGGCAAGAGTCATGGCATGGCATTCACATGTGGTATCGAAGGGCAAGTAACTAGACCCAAAGTCGGTACCTCTTTTCAAAGACAAAAATAGCAAGGTGTTCGTCTGCCCCATGAGCGTCACACTTAAAAAGGAAGTGCAGATTGTTAAACAGTATAGCGACGCAAGTTCTCAGTCTCTGGACCGGCACCAGCATGTGCATCATATACTATAGGTCCTGCAGTAGGCATGCACAGTGACCGCAATGCTGATAAAGTTATCGATCACTCACATGCAATGCAACAAAGGCTCAAAGAGGAAAAAGCGGGGGGGCTCGGGGGGCAAGGTGAAAGCCAGTCGGCCAATTGCTAACGTTAACTAGTAAAAAGTGTTCCGTTGCCGGGATTTGAACCCGGGTCGCGCGGGTGAGAGCCGCGTATCCTAACCGACTAGACTACAACGGATGTTTGGAGATGGAAAGGGGGCCAATTATAAATGCTATAATCCAATGTTTGTTGCAGTACCTGATTCCCCGAAGTCGGCTGAGTCCGGGATCCGTACACGCATGAAGTGACCAACAAATTCGGCATCTTCCCAATGATATGAGATTATACGTCAGCAGACAATATTTCCGGCTCTCCTTTCATGTGATTGGCTTTGAAGCTGACACAGTAACTGCTCAGCCAATCAACGGCGAGGAATAATATCTAGTGCTTTTGTGACGTCAAGGCTTAGTGACGTCTATCTTGCAAGGTGTGACGTTTAGAGGATCCGCTGATGTCAAGACGTATCCTTCGCATATATGGATGTCCACGTGGAAGGCTTGTAGCCGGCAGCTCAAGGATACAGATCTTGTCACGGGATCGACGGCACGCTCCATGACGCGATTTCTCGACAAACACGGAACTCGAGCCCTCAGCCTCAGAGCGCTCAACGCGTACACAATAGGTACTGGGAACGAGTGCTCAGTGCGGTGCCTAGTGTGACAATTTTGTTACGGTACCTGCACTGGTAAAATCTGCCTGTACGTAGGTACCGTATGTGACCATTGACTGCAGGTTTACCGGAATGTCCGCGGCGGGGCTCCCCCGGCCCTCAGTGGGCCCCGGGTCTGGTAACCTGAGTGGGCAGATCTTAGATTTTGCCATATGCAACCGTCCGATCGCCTTTCAAGCTGACTATCCACAGTTGTCGTGCGACATGGATATTTTGGTTGAGGGCCGGTGACCGGTTGTCAATATTGGACCCGAACACGATTTGAGAATGACCACAGCTTATAGGTATACCCAACAGCATAGGTAGGTACCTCAGCGGTATGTACCACATTGTACTCGAAGCCAGTAGTACCTACTAGGTACAATGTGTAGGCTGTGGCCGGAGTGCCGATTCTCAGGACGCCACCGTCCAATCATGCAGTACTGCTCAACCTCTACTGCGTACAATCAGGCACTGCCGCATGCACTGCGTCTTGCAGCTACGGTAGCACGTCGAGCAAAAGACTGCACTCAGCAGCACGTCCCCTCGGGGGCCCTCACGTTCGATTCAGCTTGCGAACTGCAATCGCCACACCAGCGGCTCGTATCGTAACACCTCTGAATTCTTGAAGCGTTTAGTTCACAACTTGCATTCCTTTCGAACAGCAGCTCAAGGGTCCAAATTCCTTAGCCTCTGCTCTTCGCCATGGCGCGCGTCGCCCTGTTCGCCGCTGCGGTGGCCGCCCTCGTGGCGCTCGCCGCCGCGCAGAGCTGCCCCAGCGCTGACTTCACCGGTTGCTACACCTCCACGGGCGTAAGTAGTCTGCCCTCACAATCAACATTAATTGCTGCTTTCCGGAGCTGGCCTCTCTCCGAGCTGGATCTGGTGTTGAAGCGGTTGCTCTAAAGTGCCTCCTCTCCTAGGAGAATGTGCCTTTGCTTCTCTGTCCCCGCTGGTAGCTTTTCAGACGACCTCAGTCCCAAAGAAGAGGATTCTGGGTATCTGTGCAGACCTCTAAAGTTCCGGGGACTTGCTTTCTTGGCTGAGGATGTTGTTGCAGCATTTAGTTTCTCCAGGGGTTTGAGCAATGATAGACGTTTTGGGACCCCAGAGCGAGAATTTCATTGGCATTGCACCTTCCAAGTTTGGTGATATACTGGGGCATTGGTTGCCAGATATGGAGTTTGGCGCAAAAGCCGCAGATCTCTGGCATTGCTCAAGTATGGTGGTTCGCACAAAAGCCTTGGATCTCAAGATGAGAGTTGTGGCACATTTTGCACGGGCAGTTCAGGACCTTGGATTGAGTAATTTAGCGATCCTTGTGATCACAGCGAGTTGCTATTGAACCAGAGAAGATCAACACCTGCATTATACAAAAGCCCATGACAAGCTTCCATCATGCCACTGCCCTTTGTGGACCATCTATCTCCTGGATCTGTTGTCGAGTAACTTCCCGTGCTACAGTCCTGCCCCAGACTTGGCCAGTTGCTTCTCTACGGCACGAAACATGAGAGTGACCCGCATTGCTCTATAGCCCAGACATCACACCCTTTAGCCTAGACTTCACACTCCCTGTTTGGCATTCCTTTGGAATCTTATTTCCTCAGAAACACATGTTAACAGATGCAGGCACTGCCGACACCTGCTACTTCAACGTGTCAGACGAACATTCTCGTCCACCATTTCTCCTCCACACATTTCTGTTTCCAATGCTGACCCCCTCCTCCAAAGCATACTTTTGCTGACCCTTATTGTCACCTATTTGTTCCCACACCTTTCCCTGATTATTTCCCTTCATTTGAACATGCTGGTTCGCCCCCCAACTTCTTACCATGCTGACATAGCTCTTACCCTTTGCAGACTTTCTTCTGCTGCCCTACCCCCGCTACTTCTTGCTCTGGCCTGTCCACCCCCGACTGTGTCGCCACTGGTACCTCCAATGTGGTCGCCGGAGCTGGCGTCGTCCCAGGTAGGGCTCTCCCCCACCTTTATGACATTTCCTCATCCCAGCTTGCCTATCTTAGCCAGCTCATCATGACTGTGTCTGTCTAAGAGCCCCTCGGTGAACCTGCAAGGGACTGAGTGCTACACCTCCATGTTGTCACATTGCTCCCGCGCTTGTCAGAATGAGGCGGGCGTTTTGGGCAGTCCTTCTAGTACCAAAAACTTGGATGGAGCTGGATAGGGGTCACTTTGTCACCCCCTCAGAAGGCAGAATCTAAGAACGACGGTGCTTAGTTGCATGCCTGCCTTGTATCAAGGGCCCCCAATTTATGTGGACTCCCCTAAAAGCCATATCAAGCAGAGTGGATAATCTCAACCTGGTGGGCCTCGGCACTCCAAGAGCAAGCCTCCACACATCGCTGTCTCGAGAGTGCGGCAAAAAGTATACCCCATACGCCTTTGACATGGGCTCCTTCCGCTCATTTGCAGGTGCCCCCACCCCTATGCCCACCGCTACGGACACGCCCGCCCCCACCGCTGGGACACCCGCCCCCACTGCTGGGCCCATCACTGATGCTGACATCCTCAACTTTGCTCTGGTAAGCAAAAACATCTACAGCAACCAATCAGAAGCTTTCTGCTAAAGCACCGGTTGTTTCCAGATTTAAATGCAGGGCAGTGTCTCTTTGAATGTGGACAGACTCGACAAAGGAGCAGCCGGCTTTTCACGACTATGGGAAAGTTGCACGAAAGATCTGCCCGTAGACTCTTTCTCATTCCTCTGTACTCGCCCCATTCCCCCGTACTCACGCTGAGCCCTACCTGTCCTCATCATTTTCGAAGACAATTCGCAGCAGCTCTTCATTCACTGTGGGTCACATGCCGGCTTGTCCTGTAGTTTTGCTCATTTCAAAAGGCTTAGAAGCCGATACCTGAGACCAGTCCTGTATCCTCCTGCAACCACTGATGTCACACATTCTGAAATTCCATTTTCAAATGTGTACCAGTATGCACAGTGGGTCCCCATGCTGACCCAGCCCCCTCTGCTGTTCAGAACCTGGAGTATTTGGAGGGCGAGTTCTACTCGTGGGCTGCTTTCGGCAAGGGTCTGGAGAGCAGCCTCACCGGTGGAGGAGGCCCCGTCATTGGTGGACAAAAGGCGTCCCTCTCTGCCGACGCCCAGGCATATGCCGAGCAGATTGCCATTGTGAGTCATCAATATGACGTATATCTGGCGCCATCTTACACGTGTTGATGTCCTTGGAGCCGGACCAGAAGGCCGGTCTTCCTTTCGTTTGTGTGAGCTGATGGGATTCGAACGCTGGGGTCTGACGCAGGGTATGATGCAACGCACACGCTGGCTCTCCTTTGCAGCAGCCTTTTGTCTCGTCTCTGACCATAGCGTTCACCTGAGGTGTTCCAGCGAAATGCAAGTCAATGCTGACGTCATTCCTGTCCGCCTTCGTTTGCAGGACGAGATCAACCACGTCAAGTTCCTCAGGACCGCTCTGGGTGACGCCGCTGTAAGTGCTCCCGTCTCCCAGTAAATCGAATCCACATCATCCTCCTTGGCGACCTGTTAGGAATGGCAGAGTCATACGAAGTCTGGTTTGCAGACGCATCGACCAGATACCAGGATTGGCAGGATGAGCAAGTACTGGCAAGACCGTTCGGTGCCCCATGACCCTTGGAAGGGCTCGAGTGTCAAGATTTGAATTCGGGCCTTTGTTCTAACACTGCAGACGTCACCTGCTTCAAATTCACCCCTGCCAAGGCCAACCCTTATCCTCCCTCGCTGACGTTGGCGTCAAGGCAATCCATATCGTGCAACTTCCATCTACCCATCCACGTAAAAAGCAGCTCACATACCCATCCACGTAAAAGCCAGCTCACGAAAGACTTTACGCTCGGTACAGGTCCCTGAGCCCGCGATCGACATCGGCCCTGCCTTCGCCGTCGCTGCTAACGCTGCCGCCAATGCCACCCTGGACCCCCCCTTCAGCCCCTACACCGATGACGTCACCTTCCTGCTCGGCGCCTTCATCTTCGAGGACGTCGGTGTGACTGCCTATGGCGTAAGTGAACCCGGTTTTGCTCGATTGTCTTCAACTGTTCCCATGAAAATGTCTTTGAGAGACAAAGTGTGGACCGCAACTCTTCTCGGTTGGGTGCAAAGTCCAAGTCGCTTGCGGCGTAATATGCTCATCCATCGGCAAGGGCAACTTGAAAGGGCTGTTTCTGCGCCCTGCACCTTTCGATGTGCTTGCACAGAGTCCTCATTATTTTGCAGTCACCTACATTGCTGACCCGCCTCCCTTTCTGGTCTGCAGGGTGCCGTCCCTCTGTTCAGCGACAAGAACGTCGCTGGGGTGAGCATCAATGCTTCTCATTGCCTCCGAATCCAATGTTCTGTTCTTCTCCTTTCGGTCGCATCATAGCTGCACGCAACTCTTTCGAAGCTGCTCCGCTTCTGATCCTGAAGATCCGTCCTATGCTTTCCCAGTTTTCTTCAGCCTTGGGTGATTGTCAGTCCAAAGTTCGAAATCCAAGGGATTCCGCTCACCGGATTCCGGTTCCGCCCCGCAGGTCGCCGCCCGCATCCTCGGCGTGGAGGCCTACCACGCGGGTGCCGTCCGTGCCGAGCTCGCCGAGTTCGTCAGCGTCGTCACCGGCTACGGAGTGACGGTTGGCGACATCGGCAACCTGATCGTCGCCCTGCGCGCCGCCCTCGGCGGTGGCAAGGAGACTCCCCTGGTCGCCGACGGCTTCACGCAGCTGCGCGCCGTGACGGAGGGCGACTCCCTGACGTACGTCCGCACGACGTCCGAGGTCATCTCGATCGTGTGCGCGGGCGGGAACAAGGGTCTCTTCTTCCCCAACGGCCTCAACGGCAAGATCAACATGATGTAGAGCCCAGGTTGCGCATTGCAGCGAATGCCAAGTCTCGACTAGAATGCAGTTTAGCTGGCTCGGTCCGCTGTAAGTTATCTGCCATTGTTAACACTTGTGATCGCAATTTTGGTATAATAAGACGGTGGGCGGCTTGCCCACTGGAGGCCATGTCAAAGGAAGAGCTTGAAATGAGAAATCTGAGGAGCGGATCTGTTTGTCAAGGCAGATGATATCGAGGTCGGCTTGCCAAAGGAACGATTGGATGATAGGGTCGTATTAGTGTCTGGGCAATCGTGGACAGTTGCTTCGCAACCATGCTTTATCGTGAATAATTACTGCAAGCCATTCATGCAACTTCATGCAACTTCAAGCCATTCACTGCAGCCAAAGCTCCATCCGCCAAACTCCTTTTTTCCGAATCTGACCGTCCAGCCTGAGTGCGAGACTTGAATTGTATCACCTCAAAAACATCGGGTTGGGTGACAGTCTACTGATGCATGATATCCAACTTCAAACACACGTCACCATGACGTGCATACTCAGCCACACATGCCGCGCATGAATTCACATGACAACGGCCACTTCTTTTTATACACGCTTAGGCACCTGGGCCCATGGCGCATGAAAATAAACAATTTCGGAATCCGGCCCCTTCATCAAAAAATGTTACCACTCCAGTCACCAAGCAGTTTCTGACTACGAAGCAACATGGCTATAACATGACATGCTACTTTATCCCAGTGGCGTAACTACTGGGCTTAAAGATATTTCAGCTAAACTACTCGTTTGAGTCGAAACAATAAAGGGGTCACTCAGAAACGCTAGTGAAATCATTGCATGGGTGACACGGTCATGCAGAAGCGCGTTGGTTGAGTTTTGTGACTTGTCATACCGTCAAGACTACGTCGGAACAAATCTGCTTTAACCCGACAGTAAAATTGTCGGCCGAGTCAGCTACCCGGCGGACATGCATTGCACTAGAGATACATGTGAGATTGTGGCAGATATGCATTTTTGGTTCTTATAATAGGAATATACTTCGTACACTAGTCAGCTCATGTGGTCGTCTAGCTGCAAATCACACATTTACCATGTCGTTATATAATCAATCACTACATGCGATGCAAGCGGTTTAAGTTTTCTTCTCTTCATTCTGCAAGCGCGCTGGCCCGGGTGTATTGGCACATTCATAAAGAGAAACCATGCCAGTATATAAGATCTTGCTTGCAGGTAGATCAGATCATGTAGATCAATTAGCTTGTTAGGTAGAACTCGGCCCCGAACCCATGTACTCAATTAAGCCCCATGCCTCGGTACGGGCTTTATAATGTGATGTATGTATGTATGATATGTACATGCCATGTTATATCATATACGGTACATTAATCTGGTTTGAAAGCGCTAATTGCGATCAAAATCCGCATAGCTCGTTATATGTCCGGGCAAAATTACGACGCAGTGGGCCCGGCCTAGACAGGCCATATGCCTAGCCGCGGGCCCCGGAGCTTTAGCAGCTATTGAATGATGTAATTACCGTCAGCTAGCTCACATGCAGCGTTAGTACAATCCAAGCTCGCCGGCAGCAGCTCGATCTCAGTCGCATTTACGGTCATCTTCGGGTTGTCGAACAACAGCTAGCTCCGAAAGCAAGAAAGTTCGACATCTCGAACACAAGTATTGGCAGCTCAAGCGGCCAGGAATAGCTTGGCCGTATGCCATGATGGAGCCTGACGGCATGCCATGATGACCTTGAGCTCGTCCGCCCTTTCAACATCTGCACATGCCTGCGTGCACGAACATATTCTTGCAAATGCGTTAGATATTACATGCATTCCGGCCCAGTGCATGAGCGGAGTTCGGGCCAGGTCAGACGAACATTTTTTGAATATTCTCTCTTCAACATAGCATCCCCAAGCACAACACGAACAGACACAATCTCCTCGCACGCCGCCTCATCCGGGAAGCGACGGCTCCCAAAGCCGAATAACCCCGTTCCGCCCCCCGCTGCACACCCTCGCGCGAATCACATCGCACGCGACGGCGCGCACCATCGCAGCACTTTTGTGCATCGTCCGCAGCAGCTGGTATTCCGCCATTCTGCTCTTTTGGAGCGACTTAACGCTGCTTCGGACGCCCTCCGGACGGTGGAAGAGCGCCATGGAGTTGTCCGCAGCCCCGATGGCGATCCAGGCCTCGCTCGCCTTGACGCCCAGGATGGGGCCGTTGTGCACGCCCACCGTCTCGACGCAGCGCATGCTGGCGGTGCCCTCCTCGCGCTCCCAGAAGCGGACGGTGCTGTCCACGGAACCTGCAGAGCGCAAGAGGATGGCGCGTGCTATAAAACGGGCAAAAGCATCTCGAAGAACGGAGTACGAATCGCCTGTTTGTAAAGGATCCCATCTGCAACATCAAAGGAAGGATACGTTGCTGGAAGTTGATTCATGTCCCGAGCCCTTCTGAGCAAGGAAGTGCAGTCACACGACCGCCGAGAGCGAACGTAGGAATGCTAAGGCGGACTGAAATTGGTTCCCATTTACGCAATCCAGTCGTCGCGAAACGACAACAAGATCATTCCAATACCAATTCGCGAAGGGAGATCGGCAAACTTCCAAAAAACCTCAAAAGAGACAGGTGCAGCGTCCAAGGAGTTCCCCCCAAGAATATCAAGAGCACGGGACAGCCCAAAGCTCACCTGTGAGGATGCCATCCCCGCTTGGACTGAAGTCCACGCAAGTTACCCCCCCGCTGTGACACGCCAGCACTGCCCCGCACAGCCCGCTCGCGGCGCCCCACACGCAGGCCGTCCAGTCATCGCTGCCTGTCACCAGGGTGTCATTGGACAGGCGCACCGCCCTGGGGAAAAGACAATTGCAATAAACTCAGACCGGAATCCGAATCCTTCTTGCAAGGACCGAATGGGCTGAAGGGAGATCTCCCTCGTACGAACGCTCTTCAAACTTGTTAAAATTCTCCATTTCGTATCCAAGCCGCTTCGCCGGCGCCTGTGCGGGCTTGATCATGCCAGTGACAGGGTTAAATAGATTATCGGGGCAAAATCGCCACGAGAATCTTCAAAACGGCATGGAACCGGCGTCCGGTCAAAAGCACTCACACACTCATCAAAAAAGCGCTACAGACGATACAACTTAGCACGAGAGGAAACGAGGGTCGGACCTGATCCAGTTGTTGTGCCCCACGAGGCGGTGCCGCAGCTTCCCCCCCCGGATGTCCCACAGGTTGCACACGCCGTCCGTCCCCCCCGTCGCGACGAGCCCCGTGGCAAAGTCGTGGTCCAGGCACAGGACCGGCCCCGCGTGCTTGCCCAGCAGCGCTACGCACTTGCTCGTCCGCAGGTCCCACATGCGGACGCTGCAATCGTACGAACCGGACAGCGCCTGCTGCCCCTGGACCAGCCGGACGCAGCTCACCTGGGCGGCGGAAATTGCGCGGGTCAGCCGGTTAGGGACTTGGAGTTCTAGAAATTTGGGGCGGAAACCAGGTTTTATGGATCGGCAATCCCAAGCGGAGAGGAGTCCGGAGGGTTCAGCCGGTAAAGGGCTTGACGGGTTGCGGGTTTGGGGGTTTGGCAAGTTCGGTTTGACATACCGAACAAGGACGCGCTTCTGGGAACCAGAAGCAAAGGAACGTAAACAGAACAACGACGGCCATTCTCTGCACCAGTTGAGACGTCCCGCCTACAAAGGTCTTTTGAAAGCTTCTGTCTTCAAAGGACTTCTAAGTGGCACTAAGTGGCACACCTGCAAGATTCGGACAGTGCTCGTAGGCAAACGTCTTGCTCAAAAGATGTCTCGCGGAAGTGTACCGCTATTGGCTTTCAACTCAACTGAAGCCCCTACCGAAACCCCTCTGCTTCAAACAGAAAAGAGGTTGATATGCTATAGAGCAGCCGACGCCAGCCACTCTGCGCCGCACCTTGTCTTCGTGGTCGTTGAAATCGACCAGCAGGTGGCCGCTGTTCTTGTCCCACACGACAATGCGCGCGTCGTCCGCGCCCGAAATGAGCCGAATCCGGTCGGATCCCAGGCACCGGATCAGTCTGCAACGAGTAACGAGCACGCCTTTAGCGCCATATCAGGCACGTCGATTTTGAGGTCAGCACGAACGGACAGCAATGACAAGAGCGTGAATATACCAATTCTTGACAATTGAATCTAGAGATTGACTGGTTATCAGGAAAGCAGCGGGTTGAGTGGCGAAAGTGGCTAAGATCTACAAAGGATACATTTCAACATTGTGAAACAAAGGGTAACACAACAAAGTCTGAACGTGATTACGTTCGCCTCACAAGTTACAAGCATGCAACCGCAGATGACCATCAGAAAACACGAGATTTACCACTTTTTCTGTCCGAGCACTCACTTGGTATGCCCCTCCATGGTACACAGCAGCTCCTCGCCCCGCCGCTCCGGGTTCCAGAGCTTCACTGTACAATCTGCCGACCCGCTCGCAATCACTCCGGGATCCCCCTCGTCCTCCCCTTCCTCCCGGTTTCCCACGTGCAGCGCGGTTACCGCCTCCGCGTGACCCCGCAAAATCCTGAACCCGGGGGATCCCTGCCGCCCCCCCCCCGAGCTTCCCCTCGACGCTGGTCCGCCCCACGAGCCCCCCCCCGAGGAGCTTCTCCGCCTTGTTTTTGCCCGGGGAAGGTTTCGTGTCTAATGTCACCTTTTCCTTTGCAAACATGCTGCGCGCCCACGCCTGCACTTTGAGGCTCAGGTCCCCTTGGCTGTGATCCGCCGCGTCGAGCGACTCCCCCGGGTTGTGGTTCCCGTCCAGGTTAAGCAAACCCTGGCTGCGCTGCTGGAGGCCGCCCTTCTGCCCGGGGGTCAGCCCCCAATAACCGCTCCGTAACTGCTCCATCAATGCGAGCGCGCCGCGCAGTTTGACCAACTCAATATACCCCACACTGTTCCTTAGCGCGATTGTTTCGAGTGCGGCCCACGCTTCTGCGTCCGGAACGCTCAACCCGACCATGTGATCCGCGAGGATTAAAAGCTGGCGCAGCGCGACGCGCGAGCGGCCGAGACCCTTTTCCGGGCATTGCTCCATCGCCGTTGCAAAGGCGGTTTCCCAGAAGAGTAGGCTCTCCCATACGGGCAGGTGCCCGATGTGGCGCTGGATGTAGTCGCAGACGGAGGCGGAGTCGCGACGGAACAGCTGCGCCGAGATGTCCATCGCAAACTGCAACACGAGGTGCGGATCAGTACCTTATTAGCGCACCGGCGGCAGAGGAGCAGAGCTCTTCGCGCATGGTCTGAGATTGTTTCCGAAGTCAGGGGAATAACGTCGAGAGCAGAAAAGGACAGTACTGGAACAGACAAGCGAATTCTGCCCGTCTTGCAGAAACTGGAGAACGGAGACGTTCCTGAGAATCAACGTCGTGAACCACAATCTTCGAAGCCTCTCTTATTACCAGTTTGGAAAACCCCTGCCCCAGAAGACGCGAATGAAGAAGGGTTGCTCCGCAAAAGTGCCTGCTCAAGAACAGCGGCCACTCGAGAACGCGCTATCAAGCCAGAACAGCAGGTTTAGAACCGGGGGACTGATCTGGTGGACTGGCCAGCGGTCGTAGGCGACCAAGCTTGCGCAGCATTACCTGGACTGTGAGGAAGTCGTCCCGAGAGGTCGCCCGCTTGACGACCGTCTTCAGCAGTTCCTTGACGGGGTCAAAGTGGTCGTTATCCAGCTCGCACGACCCGCCCTCTAGAATGAACTCTCTGCAAACGGACAACCTCTTAAAAAACCAGGCTCTTCGAAGCCTTAGTCTTGGAACTAAGAGTCCTCGCGGCTTCAAAAATCCGCCAACGCAGGTCCAACGGAACTTCGTTTATCGTTGACGGCTCGAATGGTTTGAGCTTGAAATGCAGCTTGGACCCCTGCCTTACCCTTGACGCTTCGTTTGTCACCTGAAGCTTATTGCGAGGTGTAATTTTCATATGCACGCCCCAAAGTTTCACAAACTATCCACGAAAATAAAGTCCGCCGCAGCGCGCACCTGATGCACTCGACGAGGCCGCTGCCGCCGGAGCCGTCGGGGTCGGAGTCGATGAGCGCGAAGAGCGTGCCGTACTCGGTGGAGGCGGCCAGGTCGGGCCCGCGCATCTCCAGGAACTTGCGCCACAGCACCTGCTGCTTCACGCGGATGTCCAGGATCATCAGCTCGCGCTCCGCCTGGAGAAAGGGGGGAGACGTGAGGAATGTGAGGGAAGGGAAGAACTTGTAAATCAAGAGGTTCTCCGCAGATGGAGTCATTAGCTTGCGCTCAGCCTGGGGGTGGGGTAGTACGGGGGAGAAGAGAGATGCGAGGAAGCGGTTCGATGAAGATATACCTATTTCAAAACGAACTGAGAGTGTGCTTTGCCTGGATAGGTAGCGGGTAGGTGAAGACGGTAACCCTATCTGTTGGCACAATGAGTGGACAAAGTCAGGCAGTTCTTTGTGGTCAGAATCGAGGCAAGATAATGAAAGGGAGTACAAAGGGAGTACATGATTGCGGTAACGGGTTGACGCGTATTCGAGACCTGGATATGGGGACAAAAAGCGGAACTTTGATCTACTTTTGCACAACCATGAAATCCTGGAGAGAAAAAGCCTGGTCATTCCGAGTACAAATCCAAGTCACGAGATGCCTGAAGAGAAGGAAGGAGTTTGTGCGTATCTGATGCTACAATGCGCTAATACAACCCCTGAATCTGCACTCCAAGCAACCCTCCATACCCACACTCTCACAACAAACTTCCAAATCAAAGCTCGGCCAACCTACCGCCCTCTCCTGCGGCGACTTGTGGTCCGTGACGGTCGGCGGCCCGCCCTCGCGCTGCCGCTGCGTCGCGGGCCCCCCGTTCGGCGCGCTCCCGGCCGCCGCTGCGGACCGGGAGGCCTGGGGGTTGAGCGCGGCCATAGCGCTCGCGAGCAGGGCCTTGCGCCGTTCCTCGGCCTCGCGGGAGCGCGGCGCCGCGGGAAAACGGTCGTAGCTGTGGCGGCCCCGGCGGCCTGCGAGCAGAGCGGGGTGCAAAAGTGCGGTCAGGGAGGGAGTTGAAAGAAAGCCGGTTCTCGGCAGGTTGCCCGTTGCAAGACTCAAGTTCATCCGGATAAATGTTTCTGTGCGGGGAGAGAGACTTCCAATCACCGTGTTTGACTTACTGAGCATGTGTTACCAAGATCATCCATCTTCTTGACAAAGCTTCTTCCTTGAAAAGAGAGAATATAAGGTAAGGCGACGGGACAGAGGGGCTGAGAGGGCTGACACGAATTGTAAACAACGAAAGGAGGGGTAGATGGAGACATTGATTGGGCCAGTCTGTTGACTTGTCTGACTCATTATTGACAGAAAATGCAACTGAGTGGCGCATAGAAGCCACTTTGCCTACTGACATCGAAGGTCTTCGGACTGCGCTGAGATAATTGACCCTCATTTTCAAAATCGAATCCAAGCGATTTTGAAACACCAACCCAGAAGAGCGTGCCTTGGAACAAAACGGACGAACCAAAAATAGCACGAGGCACGGAGAGACGCGATTGCGGTCCAACCAAGCCAGGTCGGAAAGAGCCCATAGGACACGAACTCGTTGTCTCAGACTAAAAGACTAAAATAAAACCAAGGAGTCCACAAATGACGTTTCCGAAAGAGACTCACTCGATCCCTCCTTCGTGTGCGTTGTCGACTGCACCGTGATGATCTCCGTCTGGGCGGGGCGCGGCGGAGCCAGCAGAGCGTCTCCCCCGCCGGTGCCGCTTTCGGCGGCCAGCATGACCTTGTCCAGCATGTTGGGGCCGGCCCGCTCGGAGCCGTACCCACGCTCCAGAAAGTCGATGAAACCTTGGGAGCCCAGCAGCTGCGACAGCTGTGCGAGGAACGGGGACAAGTGTCACAAGAGCAGAGAACACTTAGTGAAGAGCATGGCGAGTTTTAGGGAGCGGCAGTTGGGACAGAAAATCAGAAAGCTGCAAACGCTGGAAACAGAAACAATGACTTTTTGAGTTCCCCCGTATCTTTTCTGTTGAACCTCTGCCCAACGCGCATCGCTTTTTCCCCCTCCGCAACAGGTCAACAGCGGAATAATAATTTTCCCTGCTCCTGTTCGCAAAGGAAGCACTGTAGAAGTATTTCTCGAAAGCGAGTGCTTCAGCGAAGCACGCAGGTGGAGAGTGAGATGCCAGGAGACTGCATGTCGACTGTCTTGATCGTCTTGCGGCTTACCATGGGCTCTGCGGGGCGTTTCGTATTCTTGGTCCGTTTGAGGAGGAACGCCGTGCTGTTGAAGGGCTGCTCGGCGGCCGGGTCGTGGTCGATGTACTCCCGGTAATTCTCCAGAAGGGACGCAAAGAATTGGAGGAACACAAAGCTGCAGATACGCAAGAGAGCGCTTGCGGTAAGCCTCGCTTGCCGCTTGAGGACCCGTCAAACGGAAGAATCTGACGCACATCGGAAACTGCACCAAACGGGGCAGGCACAGCTACTGCGTTCTATCAAATCGCTGAGCCAGAATACGCAAAGCGAAGGGGCAGGGGGTCGAGCAAGCTCTGATACTTTCAGGTGAACAGATGCCGACTGCTAGAAGATCATGTCCCTTCCAAGCATCCGTTCAACCTCCGATAACCGGCTCCTAGGAGATGCAAAGGAGCGCAGCGCCCTAACCGGAAACGCCGGTCGTGGTCCCGCGACCAGGGTTTTCCCGTCAGCCGCTTGGCCTTGATCCCGTCAGTGGCGCCGCCCCCCGTGCGCGCCCGGTCCATATCCGCCAGGTTTGGGTGCACGAGTTCCAGGATGGCCTGCCGCAGGGCCGTGCCCTCGGGTTCCGGCAATTGGGGGATATCTTCCGTAGTGTTGACCTACGAAAAGGGGAAGTAGACGGATGGGGATTGTGTTTGTACGAATGCCAGGTTGGAATGTACGAGTTACAAAATGGCCCGCCGCAGGGCCGTGCCCTCGGGTTCCGGCAACCGGGGAATGTGTTCGGTTGTACTACCCTATCGAAGGGGAATCGACGAGTGGGTTGAGGGGCGGGATGCTTTGGGCTGCGGAAGCGGGGCACGAGCATGGCGAAACATGCAACACCAGCGTGCAAGTGAGGCATGAACGGAAACATATAGCGACTAGAGACCGCACAACAGACTCCGATGCACGGGACTCAAGAACACTTTCGACGGGGAGCCCTAGACGATCACGATTTTGCTGCGCACCATGCGCCACAAATGTATCACGACTCTTTTGAGGCAACCTCCGGAGATGGGAACGGAGCCTAAGCCCAAAATCGCAACCCGACAACCGAATGTCAGCCAATTGGAGTTTCAAACGCAAAGATATTCAAACCCCTAGAACTCCCAAATCCCAGAATCCCAACCCCCGCACCTGGTTCTGGTCAAGGTCCACGACGACGACTCCGTCGAGGTGCATGTCCCCGGTGTGCACCCCCGAGTGCAGGCCCATGAGGTACGGTGTGGGCGCGTCCACGATGTCGACCAGCGCATACGGCAGCACCGGGATGTACACGTGCTGCCACTTGATTGGGTAAAGCAGGTGGCACAGCGCCTCCGCCACAACCGTCAGCAGCGAGTACCTGGAAGGCGGGTTTAATATTTAGAAGATTCTATGTTTTGGGGTTTCACTTTGCCAGAGGAGATGGAGTTTCCAAGGATTTTGGGCATATTTTACTGATGGGCCTCAGACCGGTCTCAATCAAGAGAAGTTTGCTCCGGTTCCATGGAAACCTCTGACGAGTAAGTGAGGATTATTACGAGTCCGACTGCAGTACAAAAACCCTCTGGATCGCTTATGGAAGGCAGAGCTACAACCAGTCCCCTGTACGTTCCTGTATTCACCGTTTCACACGGGAGATAGCGGTAGAATCAGGGGGCCTTCTTTAATCGTGCGAAATTTTGTTCGACTTCGAACCGGTACCTCTGCCAAAGTCGACGGAATCTGCACTTCTAGGTCGTGTCCTTCCCCCTGCTGCCAACGCCCATTGCGTTCCCTCCTTTTGTGACCTGCCCCAACCCTGCAAAACGTAAACTGTCGCTTACGGCGCCACTTTTTCTTCTGGAGAAGCAGACTCCCAACTCACTTGCTGGCTCTGAGGAGGACCCGCTTCTCCAGCAGCACCGCCGTGAAGACCCGCGTGAACTTCTCGATGTCCAAACATTGCACCAGGGGCTGGAAAGAGAGCTCTGCGTACGGGAGGCCATCGCGGGGGGGCGCTTGGGCCGAGAGCAGGCAATTCTCCACGGCAAACAGGACCTGGGACTGGCCCGGCACGGGCAGGGGGACGCTGATCAAGTCGGTTATGGTGGACCACAGGGGTTTGCTGTCAAAGAAAGATGGGAAAGTGTCAGCGGCTTCGGCTTTTATGAGTGCCATGCTTTGGATCTCCTTAAGATTTTTGAGTGCAATGCTTTGGATGTCCTCGAAAGTTGACGTTAGGTGAATGACAAGCAGAGAAAACGTAGGCAACGCGGTTTCGAATCGGCAACATAAAGGTCGGGTGGAGGAGTCTATGGTACCCACAGTTCCCCCACAATACTCCTGAGAAAGGTTACCTTCCCAATCTGACCGCCAGATCTACAAGAGGTTTTGGCCAGCCAGTAGAAGAAGTTAGAATGATCAATCTTCACGACTCTGCCATATGGTGAAACGAATTTTGGTTTCCAACTTTGCACCCAGAGCCGATGCAGTCATCTAGATTTGTAGTCATCCCTGTAGCCATTTCTCGAATCTCCGCAGTGATGGGCTTCGAAACACTACCCAACCTTCTGGATTACAGACCCCTTGGGATCTTTAATCAAGTCCTATACACCTGCATATGGACGAGTAACCTGTAGCCGAGCATGGATCAAATAAAAGCTTCGCCCCCCAGCCATGGGGTGGGGCACACGCGCACCTGCTGCCGGTGGGGGAGAAGCAGAGCTTGTGCAGCTCCTCGAGGACCTCGCGGAAGACCTCGAAGAACGGCCAGTGGCTGACGATGCAGATGACCTTGTCGGAGTAGCTGCTGGGGGGGATGCGGTATGTTGCTGAGATGTCCTCGTCCACGGGGTCCCGGAACGAGAGGCAGCTCACGTAGTTCTTCGTGCCGTCACCCTCTGCACGCCCCCACATGGTGGTCATGAGTCAGCAAGTGATGAAAGAGGCAAAGCGCTTCTCGGTGATTGTTGAGTTGGATTGATCTATCCAAACATGCCACTCAGGAGGAGGGACACCTGTGTGGCTGCGGGGCTGCATCCATCAACTCCAAGACAGTCCCATGATCTGCGCCCGTAATGAAAACATCCAGACATCGGGAAACATATCAATGCGCTCATCTCATCGAACACCACCTTGAAATAATCACAGACCACGAAGGAGGACAAGGTGCAGTGACTTGGCACTAAGCATATGAGGGGAACAACTGCAGATGCGCTCCCGCTCACCCGTCAAAACGACCGGATATGTTTTTGGGATGGGCCAGTCCGTCTCGCTGCTCCCGGCCACATAGAACTCCACCCCGCCAGGCAGGCAGCACATGGGGAGCTGTGGGGGCAGGCCCCCATCTGGATGATCCTTCACAGGAAGCTGGTCCAATAGCGCGGGCTGGTACTTTGCGGCGGTCCCGTGGTACCCCTTCTGGCCCTCGATTGACACCAGCTCCGGCCCCAGGCCGCACACCACAAAGTAGTCGATGAAGCGGTTGGGAGCCATTCTGTCAGCGGGCTTTGACGGTCATGGCCCCGCCCTGACCGAGGCTACCGACGAGCGCCTGCCATGGACGCGCAATTTCGATAGAAGAAGTCGAAGAGGTGCTTGCGGAGACTGATAGTGGCTCGATCTGGCAGGGCAGAGAATTTGCAAGCCTCCCTTCTCTTTTGCAGTCGCTGGATTGCTGCGATGGATATACAGCCCCTTCCAATCGATCAGAGCAGGGCAGGCGCAGCAAGGAATTTCTGTCACCTGAAGGGCGCATCTAGGGCGCCCTAACTTTTGGTAGCTGATAACGGTCTCGTGCACCGCGTTTGGGGGTCGGCCATGGTGGCCAGGGGAGTGGCAGCCTGGCAACAGGCTGATGGGTGTGTGGCAATGGTTGGGAGAGCGGATTGCAGGATGATGGAGGTGGCGGGGACTATCGCTCTTAGAGACAGCCTCTCGGGCTCAGTCCATTGCAGGGGACTCAGCCGGTTGATTCCGCCTCAATGCACACTGACAGACTTTGCGCAGCCGCAGACAACCCTCATAGGCTCCGGGTCACATTCGGTGGATATCCGCTCATCTACTGGCGTGAGAGGATACATTGCAGAGAGGCGAGGTCATTCTGGCAGGGGATTCGTAAATGGTGGAGTCCATGGCATCTTTTATGCAGCGGGCATCCATGCCATCGGGGACAGTGCAGAAGAGCATGGTGAGCATGCGGCACGACATGTGGGAATCGAGGACGAGAGGCGCAACATCAAGCGGTGGACATCATCAGCAACGACTGCCGTGGAAGGCACCTTCATGCAGGGCGGTGGCGGACCACGTTTACCAGCAGGAGGGCCAGCTCGTGCTTCACAAGACCGGGACCCTCTAGTATATGACTTTGCGCAGCCGCCTACACCCCGTTACAGGCTCCGGGTCTTCAGTGCTAGTGTCAGAGTACCGGTTTACGTGGGGTTAGTTAGCGGGTCCGGTAACGCGTTCTACTACAGTTCTTGAGGGGGGTAGTCGAAGCTAGTGTGGGTTAGAGGTAGTATGAGATGTTTCGATTCTTAATGATTGCTTGCATGCAGGACTATTGTGACCATGTCACAACCCATGTAACACTTGCGTTCGCTTTGCGAACCATTGTAATCGAGGTCGTATGTGTGTGAGGAAGCCTTCCTGGAAGGGCTGGATTAGGGTTCTGAAGGTACTCATCAGGGCATTAGGGTTTGCTACCAGGCTTCCGACTTCCTCGCGCAAGGAGCTCTAGATAGCCGAGCTGAGTCTGACTCTTGAGTCTTGACGGAGGCCAGCACTGCCACTGGCACTGGAGCTTGAAGTTGAACTTGAAGTCTATACCCCGGCAGGGCGCCTGCTGCCAAAGGTGTGGAGGGCATGCAATAAGATTCTATAGTTCTGGAGCAGCTGAGTGGAGCCAAGTCGAGTGGCAAGCTGCTGGGTCGCTTTTGTTTGCCCAACTTCAGGCATTGGGTTTTGCAGTTTGCGGGGGCACGGGCCAAGTTGAGTTGATTCCGGTCTGCACAATGGCAGGGGGACATGGGCCTGGCATCACATATGCAGGTCTCACGTTGTATCCTCCAAAGCGGTGGCAGGTCCGGACAGGGCAGGGAATGTGTGCGCTCATGTGGTGAGTTGTCCAGATTGTCAGGTTCTCAGACTCTTTTCCAGGTTTTTCTCCTCTTTGTCTGGATGGTACATACAACCCGTCTACAAACTTCTTACTAGTAGGCTTTCCCAAAGCTCTGTTTTGATATAGTTCCATGCTGCGTCCGAGTATGTTTGTCAAGCGTTGTTAAGTGGAACTCTCTCTGAGGAGTCAATCACGTCGCTTGCCGGCATCATCCAAGAGCTCGAAACTTCTTGCTAGGTGAATCCGGGCCCTAGTAATGGTGAAATTGGATGTTAGGCATTTGCAGAATTCTCCAGAAAGTCTGAGTATGTGGATGTATTGCATCCGGTGATCAATATTCTCTATTGGGGTCTTCCTTGATCTGATGTAATGTCTTTGAACGCCTCAATCGCATTGTGTGCTCGGGTCGTCTGCCAGGATGCAAGCGTGTTGTGCCTCAGAATATCGATAGAAGCACCTGCAGCGCTAGGCACTGCGTTGCGCTCTTGATTTAGCTATTCATAATTGTACTCGAAACTCACTTGCCTCCAACATTCCGTGCATGGCCCGCAGTGAAAGTTTGTACTTTGGCTGATTTGTGGACGAGCAACTCGATGCAATTTCATGTGGAATTGGCTTGCTTGCCCTTGCGCTAATCATCTGTCTTTGCAAAAGCTGCCCGCACTTAAGCATCGGAGATTGCATTGCATTCTGGATTTGAAGCCAGGAATCTCTTTAGATTTTGAGCTCCAATCTTGTAAATGTGCACCCCTTTTCACGGTAGGATTGGGCAGCAACCTGTTGGTTGCCCATGGTAGCTGATGCAAATGGCCTCTTAACGCAACCAGGAGGAGCAACCAGGTTGTTGTCAGTGGTGCAAGAAACTATAAGAGCTCGGTTCATCAAGATTTCGGGGCCTCGGTGTCCATGTGTAAAACCTGGGATTTGTCAAGGGATCCTGCTCGTTCAAGTGGCCAGCCATTTTTGCGGCGCATTGGGGCATAAGAGTTGTCCAGCGTGTTTTGAAGTCTTTTGCTCCTTTGCAGAGTCCATTGCTTGAGGAAGGAAACACTTATGACAGTAAGGAGAGCTTACGAGAAACTGCGAAGCCAGCAAGAACCTTCCTTGAGAGTAGAGGGGCCTGGCCCCTGCACAAGTCTTTGGGCTGTGCGTATATTATTCGTTTCATTCTTGCTCTCTCTCTGCTGCAGGTTTTGGATCCTATACAGAGCCAAGGAGGACGGGGCTGTCTTTCTAGTAAGTATCTGTTACTCCTATTTGAGACTTGTACTGTTTGCTTGTTTTGGTATAGGTGGAAACTTGCCTGGCCCTCATGATCAGCTCCATTTGTCTGTCACATAATCGGATCTCTGAATAGAGCTTAATAGTGGATTACATGGCTGCACATGCAGGGACTGCGGCACCCGTGGGATCATCACGCCCATGGTCATTCTGCAAACCACGACGATGGGCATTCACATACTGACAAGGTACTGCCTACCAAATTTTCACGAAATCCGAATGACGCTTTTGCACATTCGTGTCTGCCTACTTTTGTCAAGACGAGTAGTAGATCTGAAGGAATTCTTCCACTCTTAGCCCAACTGCTTCTCTTAGAAGACAACGATGGTGGTTGCAATAGGTTTACTTGCCTTCCACCCGCCAGAATCTTGTTGCTGCTTTGACATCAACATCTTCGTTTGCAGGTTCCGTCAAAGGCAGATCAATAAGCAAAAACCAAAAAACATGTCGGCATATGTGCATTTCTTCTTATGGCGATCATTGACGCATGTGAGCTTTTTGTTTGGATGGCGTTCGATAATAAGACTGTCGAAATGCACCATCTAGTCGTGTTCAATGATTTCCTTCATCCAACTAGCGTGACAAACAAGTAGCATGCTCCTGATTGTGAGCTGCCAAGCCGAACACGGAGTATGTACGAGATGATGGTCTGCCCCTCTAGTTTGAAATGTTTACTACACCATGATGATAGTCAAAGGCGACCATAGGCTTCTCAGCACGTATATGTGTATGTGGGCTTCGGGAAAGCTGTGTTGCTTCGGCACATGTTTCTGCCTTGCAGATCCCCTCTCTCACTAACAATACAACATTAGGCCCAACCAACTTCCGACAAGGTGACAGGTTGAAGTTGCCTTGTTGTTACCACGGAGGAAAGAAGTTCAAGCAAATAGTGATGGCAGGGTCCAGCCTCGGTCCAGCTAGACCTCATGCTGGCGGCATAGGGTTAGAGCTGTTGTGCGAGCGAGTCTTGAGACAAAAACGGTAAATGCTCAATAATGCTTTATGGTCGTGAGCACGGGGTGGCAACTCCTTTTTTAAAACATGTTACATGGTCAAAGTAAAACATCTAGAATTTCTTCCCTGGGCTGTTTTCAAAACGTTTTAAAACGTTTTAAATCCGGCTATACTCCGTTTTATTTATGTTTTTATGGTCGAAACACACTTGGTCATGCGCAGGCCGCCTAAAATTCCCTCGAGTTTGACGAGTTTGTCAAGTTTTGAATGGTTATGGAAGTTTTAAAACGTTTTACTTCATTTGCTGTTTTTAAAACATTCCAAAGCCTAGGTATTCTTGCACGACCATATCCTGGCAATGTTTTAAACGTTTTAAAGCGTTTTGAAGGTGTTTTTAAAACGAAGGGGGGGTCCGTTTTTCAAAACAAGAAGTTCTTTGGGCTTCTCTCGACGAGACGGATCTAGCCATAACATATGAAACACAAATGGAGATTCGCATGTTGGAGTTTTACTCCATGAGCATTTCAAAACATTTCTTCTTTTAAAACAAGAGTTGCCACCCCGGGGTCGTGAGCTTGTGATCTTGTACAAGCGAGCCAAATAATTAAGGTGATCGCCTCTATAATTGTTAATTGTTAATTGTTTATTAACGTCGGTTCGGAGCCATGACAGGCTTAGTCGACGACTGTCCTACTTCAAACCTCTGCGCGTCTTAACGTGCACAAATGGACAAACTTAGCCACCGCAAATTGGTCCTCTTGATTGAGAAAGCTCTTTAGGTTTCTCCAATCGCTATGCTATACTTGGTTAGTGTTATGAAGAAGTTGCGTATGGAAGCTGCATGGCTCCTCGTTGACAACGTTGCTAAAATACGAGTGCTCGGATGTGTTCGCTTAATCGATCGCAATGGAGCTTCAAGTTTCATCAACAAACATTCCAATGATGCCGCATCTGGCAGCTTCAGAACAATCGGAACACAGAAATTTTCAGATCAAATTTGCGCAACTTTCCTTTCATTGTGGTCTGCAACGCACGCATTCTACATAGCCCCCGGCATGGTTACTCGCGGCTGCAGGGCGGCTGCATTGTTCCTAGTTCGTCTCCCGTTCGTCTGCATGTGTAAACTCTGAAACTCTATAAGCCACTGCACAGCAGTGGCAGTGCAGCAGTGGCTTGGACGTGAAATTTACGCCAAACGTCCAAAGCATAAGTTCAAGTCTACCCGGGTACTAACAGTTATAGAAACGCCCATTTTGCATGAAACCATGACCCTACACACATCTACACATGATGTGCACGTTAGCTATCAAATGTTAGCCGGTGGCGTCATAGTTCTATTGAAGCTACGAACCACGTTTAGTAAGCGTTCAATAGAAACGTAAAAGTCTAAAAGGCTAAAAGGCCGCAGATTCAGCTTCCACCGTCGATGGATTAGCCTGGCGGCTTTCTTATTTTGCTACCGTTCATTAACATGAATGTGCAAGCATCTGACCGTCCGATCTGGGATGCCTCCACACTGACGGGTTTTCGCATTTTTCTGAAAAGTGGAAAGCGTTTTCCTTTTCGCCCCCTTCTACGATGCCTAGGACTAGTGACTACATTTGACTCATGCAGCAATCTGCAAGTCTGAGGTGGCAGTGTGCATGCTCTCGCCGCTTGACACCCCTGGGTAATCCCCCGAGTGTCACCATGGATAGACGGGGACCGACTTTACCGTTGATTTTAACCCGTGCCACCCGGACCAAACCTACCGAGGGCCTGCAATTGGCCGGTCAGCAAAGCCTCGGGCACGGATGGCGGCCCATTAGGCTGAGACTTTGGTAAGGCATTTTGCCCGGGAGTGATGCCCCGTCTGATCCTCTGAGGCGGTAAGTCCAACCCCCGGGTGGCATCCAACCCCCGGCATTATGACGGCCGGTCCTTGGTCAATGTGACCGTTGACACGGCATCTCAGTTCTGACGAAATTCCACGCCAGCTCAGCCCAGCTGGCGAAGAACGTGCACACGCTCTAAAAGCTCGTGAAGGATGTTGATGTCATTGTCAAGGTGAGGGCGGCAACGCAGGAGACACTGGCTTTTGGGATTCGCGGAGAGCACGATCTTTGGCACAAAGAGAAGGGTTGAAATCTAGACAGTTGCTGGCGCCGAGTGCACGTGTTTTCAGGAGATGCATGCCTTGCGTATTTCTTGTAGCGGCGTTCTCTTGCGCAAAGGTTTCAACTTGTAAGTCCGCATCAAAGGGCGGGCTGCTGAATGGGCAGGGTGTGAAATGGGCAGGGTGTGAAGCATCGTGCTGGCGGGTGTGGAATAGTGGAAGCTGCGGGACAGTATCACCTGGTCTGTGTCAAACTGTAGGAAGATTCGCAAGCATCTAGTTTGTTCGACGCCTGGTCTCCTTGCAGATGGGGCACAGCGGCGGGCAGGCAGCCCGTTCGCTACGCCGTCCTTTTGCCCTTGCAGCTCTTCTCTTGAGCTCCTGGTTTGCATCTAGTACAGCGCAGTATATTGCGCTTAATTGCGGAGGGCTGACGAGTGCCAAAAATGTGAATCTTCCGAGCTACTATGGGAGTGTGAGCTACGGCTTGGGCCCGGACTACCAGGGCAATAACTCGTACACCGCCAGTGATGGCACGCAGTACTTGGCAGACGCGTACTATCAGGGAACATCGAACCATGTGACGGACTACTACGACGTCCCAATCGCAAACACCAAGGACCCCAAGCTGTATCAGACGGAGCGTTATGGTTTAGATCTGTACTACGAGTTCAATCTCCCGAACGGCGCGTACACCGTCGAGATGCACTTTGCTGAGTGCCTGTACCAGCAGCGCGGGCAGCGCCAGTTCTACATTCTAGTTCAGGGGGTCCAGGTGGAAGACCGCTTTGACATCGTGGCGCAAGCAGGGGCGTGGAACACGGCCCTCGTGAAGCAGTATTCTGCGACTGTCACCAACAGCCTCCTGGAGATTTACATGAACTCGCAGGTTTACGAGGCGCAGGTGTGCGCGATCAAGGTCTTCCCGGCCAGTGCCAGCAGGGACGGGTCCAACCCTGGCAGCCTGCTGTACCCGCCACCCTCCCAGGTGAGGCCAACACAAAATGATGGTTTTGCATGGGGGTCGGGCCAGGCAGACCTTGTCGCTATCTGGGGATGTGAGCTTCGGTTGTCAGCTTGACTGCCGACCGACTTAATAAAATCCTCAGCCTTTCTTTGATAGACAAGCTAAGGACTGGGCGGCATTCAGCGCCGGGTTGTGTTTGTTCAACAGCACAACCACCAGGGGATCGGCCTGGTGTCATTCTGGAGGGTTTCTTGGGCTTGTTTTGCATGGATGTTCAGTTTGTCCGGAAGACTGGTCTCATCATGGTCTCATCTTCACAAAATTTCAGTGTACCCAAAGCGCTGTTTCTTTGGAGCTTTGCCCGGTTGTTCTAGATCAGCGGTCGCAATGATGCGGTCGCCATGATGTAATCTCCAAACAGTCAGTGTCGACATCGTCAAATCGTACAACATCTGGATTGCAGCGACAGACACCCTCCTGAGTGTCAAAGGGCCAACTCCTACTGTCACTATTGAAAAGCCTGAAAGGATGAACATTATACCCTTCCCCTTTCCCCTTCTCAGATAAGGATTGATAGCGGCAGCAGCGCTGACGCGTATTACCAGGGGGGCACCGCCGCGGCCTCTCCCGTAGCAACCACCGGAACCACCCTCCCAACTTATTTCCAAACCTACCGCACTGGCGCGAACGTGGTTTACTATCTCAATCTTCCCAACGGCGACTACACGGTCGAGTTCTCCTTTGTCGAGCCGCAGTACTCGTCAGCGGGGCAGCGCAAGATGGACGTATACATGCAGACGGTTCCGGTGTTCAGGAACTTGGATATCTTCGCGAATGCAAAGGGGCAGAACGTGGCGCTGGTCGTGGCGGCCGCGGCGCACGTGCCGAACGGGCTGCTAAGGATCCAGTTTGTGGCGACACAGGGGACGGTGGTGATCTCTGGGATCAACGTGTATCCGCTGACGAGGTGAGGAGGATGCAACGGTGATGAGGCGACAGGCCCGGCAGGGAAAGATGCAAAGGGGAATGCTTAAGCTGTGGGATGCAAAGTTCTACAGAGCGTCGGTAAGGTTGTGCCTCCCTCTGTCTCGCTCGACATGGGGTGACTCCGACCACTCTGCACTTGATGTTGCCATCAACGTACTCGTTCACACTTGTTGCTTGCAATCAGTTACTGCCTTTGAAGAAGTTAGTGAGAGTTACTGGCTGGCTGCGCCTATAGGACTGTACACCCCTCACACACTCGTGTCCGTCAGCCTGACGTCACTGCACATCCCCTGTTGTTGACAACGAATCTTGCCCTCTCCAGTTCCACCAACACCCAGGTCGCCATCAACTGTGGGTCCCCCCTGGACATTCTCGCGGGCACGGGCGTGATCTACACGACAGACACGTACTTCTCCGGGGGCACTGCCCTGGTGACGCAGCCGTACCAAGTGTTTCTGCCGTACCTCAATCTGTGGGACGACTTCCTCTACGTCAGCGCCCGCATAGGAGCCTCTGTATATACCATCCCTGTGCCGAATGGGTACTATGTGGTGGAGTTCCGGTTGGCGGAGATCGAGGACAAGAAGGCGGGGGAGCGCGTGTTTAGCATCGCGGTGCAGGTGAGGAGGGTGGGGTGTATGGAGGTGCTGGTCAGAGAACGTTCTTGCTTGTTGGCTACTCTGAAGTGTGGGTCGTCTGGTGTGGCTGATAGAAATGGTCGGTTATTTGGCATCTCTGGTCACAAACAAAAGTTGCTTTGTACTGCTGGTTAGGTACTGGTAATGTTTTCAGGTTTGCTGGTTAGACACCGACTATCATGGTGAAGAGGGGACGACTCTTAGATGGTTGTTTGACGCTCTAAACAGTGACAGCCTCAGAGCGTTGTCAAATTCTGTGACGGCCAAGAGGAGGCAGCTTTTAGGAATCTGTTGCATTGCCCTGAAGTTTTCAGACTGCTTCGAAGATTTCAATCTGAGTTGGGAAGTAAAAGCAGGGAATACCGCCAAGATTTTCATTTTGCTTCGAAGGTGCTGGATTTAAGCTCCAAAAAAAGGCAGGGGATCTGAGTCTTTGCTGAAAGCCTGGGCTTGAGGGTCTTCTCAGGACTTCGTCTGGCCAGCTGGCGAAGTCTGTTTCAAGAAATTACCGCAGAGCTTCACATGCGGTTTGTGACTGGAACGATGGTACCTTGAACCGAGCTGTTGTTTCTACGTTTGCTCCTTACTCTTGCCTCGCTGGACTTCAATCCACTGAGGCTGTCCTTCCCATTGTCGGCTCCTTGGTGAGAGAAAGGACTTGAGCTGCCGCCGTTGCCTCCCCCAAATTCTTGTTCAACCCGTTGCACGTTGTCGGAGGGAAAGGTTAATTGAACTATGAAGGAGGATCCAGCTGGCAAGTTCCCTTCCTGGAATTCTGGTCTCTCAGAGTCTCTTCGTCTCCTTTCCAGGGCCAGCAAGTCTACAGCGCCGTCGACATCGTCGGCCTAACTGGCGGCGTGATCACGCCCATCATTTTGACCGCCCCCGCAGTTGTCACCTCCGGCGTCGTCACAATCCGTTTCTCCGACAACGCCCTCATCAACGGTCTCTACGTTCGGCCGAGCATTCCCACCGGCCCGTCCCTCTTACAAGGCCCCGCGGCAGCGCCCGTGCTACCCTTCGCTCCCGTCCCGGCCCCTCTCTCCCGGTTCCCTTCCCCTGCGCCCGCGCCTGCGCCAGCGCCAAAACTCGCGCCCCGGCCCGCTCCAGTTCCCGCGCCCGCCCCTGCCCCCAACTCCGGGGTCTTGCTGGCGATCGACATCGGTGAACCGGATGCGAACTACACGTCAACGAGCATGGGGATGAACTTTGCGGCGGACGTGACGCCCTGCCTGGTCGGGGGCCAGAACGGGACGGGGGTAGTACCGGTCGGGAGGCCGTTTTGCTGGTCGAATTCCGGGGACATTGAGGGGGGGCTGTACCGGGTCCCGGCAAATGCACCGATTGCAAACACGACGGATGCCACGTTGTATCAGACGGCAAGGTGAGGGAATGTGCACGAACCGTCGAAGAGAGTTTCAATGTCTGCATGTGGGTTCTTGTTTTCCTTGTTTGATTTTGTTCGAAGTCGATCCAGCCATTTGATGAGGCATAAGGGAACGATCGTAATGTTTCGTGAACGGCTGCAACCTGGAGATTTGCATGCGAGCCGCTGGCAAGCGCGTGTATCTTTTGCGGGTGACTTTTGCTCTTTTCCCTCGTCTCTTAATGCATCATAGCACTTTCCGTTTGTTTTGACGGCCTTGTCTTAGTACACACCTGGCGTCTTCCTCGACTCTTCTGCCAATCTCATCTTGCTGTTCCTTTCTCTGCTTCTGAGGAGCAGCAGTTTCGTCGATTTTAATCTTGCTTGTCGGTTGTCACGCGCAGGTACGGAGGCGTTGGGTTTTCGATCAATCTGCCCAACGGTTTCTATAACGTGACCAGCTATTTTGCGGAGCTGGATAGGACAGTAGTGTTGGGCGATCGCGTTTTCCACATAGCATATAACGGAGTAGTCCTGGCGCCCAATGTTGACCCTTTGGCGGCTGCGGGGGGTGCCCTCTACACGGCAATCGAGCCGGTTGTGAAGAAAGTGACGGTGACGGAAGGGGTGCTTAGAATACAGCTCCTGCCGACATTGCCTCCTTCCAAACGGCCACCTTTTTTGAGCGCGCTGTCCGTACGAGCTGCATAGGAATGACAGGGTGGGCAAGGATGGGCAAGCAGGCGGTGTTAACAGGGGGCTTTTGGAACAGTGGACTGCATTTGAGGTTGCACGTAGTGGCCTTTACGGACTTGGAAGCACAGCGGATTAATAAGTTATTCAGAGAAAACTGTAAAGATCAAGATCGGCGTTGATGGCCTGAGGCACTTGCTCGGACGGTACTCAGGCCCCCCAGCGTTGTTCATGTGATGTTTGTCAATACTATTTGTAGTAGAACACACTAGGTATTGATTGCAGTCTAGCATTAAGGACATACCAACATTCTTTATTCAACATACACACCTTCTGATAAATCCTCGATCTGGGGTTCCGTGCAAAATTTGGAAGCGACATGATGATGTTTGCACGTCGTCATCTGCAAGAGTACTCAAAGGTGCATTTCAAGATTTTTACCTGATTGATGTAACATGCAACCCGGAAGCATTAGATCTACCGGTAGGCACCGTCGGCCTGCTTTAGCATTGATTCTAGTGAATCTCAATGACTGTGGCGGCACACTGAATACTAAGCGCCTCCCGTGAGCCTCAATTGTGCACCCACGTTCTTCACGTACTTGCACCCCTTCTGGCTGCACTGCAGACAACTTCCACTGTTTCCAGAAGTGACAAAGCGAAATGAAAAGGTATACGTATACTTAATAGCCCATGCCCCATGCAGAGCATGTCTCTTGGCATATGTATTATATGAAGGGTCTACGCGAACCAGAATCAGAAATTAAAATTAAATCAGTGCTTGCCACGAACCGGTGTTGAAGCTGGACCTGGCCGGCAGAAATGATGGATGCACCGGTGCATAAGGCACCCCACCGGCTGGACAGCCGGCAGAAAATGCTGGGCGCCTAGGCAAAACCGGCGTGCGGGTATTTCTCGATCCAGTGAACAGCAAGCCCAGTGAACAGTAAGCATTTTGGGGTTACTAAAAACCCTAACCTAAGGAAACACCCGCTCCGCACCCGTAACCACCCTAACCCCCTAACCAACCCTACCCGTCTCCGTTACTGTTCACTGGCTGTTACTGTTCACTACCTACATCGATCGGGATGGCGTCCGGTGCTTCAGCCTGTGTGCACTGTGGCCAGCCGGTAGAAGTGTACCGTAGCGGACCCGAAACCGGACCCCTCAGTATTTTGCACATTTGGTGCAGGCGCTAAAATGGTCCAAAATTGGCCGTTTTCCGTTCTGTTTTTTGCATATGAGAGAGAAAAGTGTGGCCTACGTGCCGATTTGAGTGGTTTAAAAGTTGGTTGGATGCGAAAAAGTGTATGGTTAGCAAAACCAGGTTGGGTGCCTGACCCACCGGATCAAGTTTTACATTTTGGTAGGGGCCCTAAAGTGGACCCGCCTACATTGCAGACTGGTCAAGATAACAAAAGCGCCGTCTACCGGGTACACCCGGGGCAACTTTGGCACTGGTCAATGAAAGGGTTAAATCAGCACATGGGCTTAACAATTGGGGTTGTCTGGCAAAGGTTGCATTGACAGTGCATAACCCTGGCATTTTCTCGGCCAAAAGTGAGGTTTTCCTTGGGTTTCTGTGAATGTATAATCTGGATAAATGCTGTGGGGAATTAAGCAATATATCGTGGTTGAGAGTCCTGCTGGACGTCCAGCTGTGCCAGGTTAACCCTTAACAGCCTATCCTAACTTAGTTTTCTTCGATTAAGGGTTGCTGGAAAGGGGTTCGCTAACCAGCGTGGATTTGAGCTGCAGCGTAAGCATTCAGTCCACGATCAAGTAGCGGCTTGGTCTCGGCGTCGTACTCCAACTTTGATTTGCCAGCGGGGTCCACTTTTGGAAACCATCGGACCACTTTGGGGGGCCGGTCCGGTTTGGGTTCCGCTACGGTAGGTGGGCCGGTAGACAGCCGGCACCGGTGAAAGTTGGTGGCAAGCATGCCCGGCCATGTAGTAAATTCTAGCAATAATTGGAATTTCTCCCTGCATGATGCACATGCCATAGTGGCATTGGACTCTGGAGTCTGGAGTCTGGAGAAGAAAACTTGAAAACAGTTGAGAATCCACTCGTGCAGAGCGCATCTCATGAGCACCGAGCAGAGCGCCTTGTATATATAATGAGCTGACTCAGGCTGTGTTTGATAGGTGCGCAAGCCCCCATACCATTGACACACTCTATTGCCAGCAGTATTGCGCTTGTCAACAAAAGGCTGCAGGCAAAACCCCATTGGAAAACTGGCCTAGATCAAATCAGCGCCCACCATTCTCCGCCCACTCTTCAACCAGCTGCGCAGGATGGCGACTGCAGCTGCTGACGTTGGCGCCTCAACAGCTCGGAAGTTGGAAAACATTGCGACGCCCGTCCCTCCGGACTATGTGATTGCGCAGTCCGTGAAGCCGCTGAACATTGAGGAGGTGGCAAAAGCGGTGGGTCTTGAGCCAGAGGACTACGACCTGTATGGGAAGAAGAAGGCCAAGGTGAGGAAGGCAGATTAGGGTTTAAATTATGTTGCATGCGAGCATCATATGAATGGCACATTGTTGCTTTGGTTGAGACGTGGAGCTTGCGGCAGTTGTTGAGCGCTCTTGTAATCTCATAATCTGGATGATACAGATGGACAAATTAGTGGAGCTCCATTGTGTTTTCCGGCCAGCTTTGATCCTTGATTAGGTGCTCGTTTCCGACTTTTCCCCCAAGGGTGCCTTTCTGCTCAGCATCAGACCCTTGCAGATTGAATGGTATGATTCCAGATGGTCTTTAGAGTACGCCACGTTGGTGATACAACACGTTGCAGTGAACAGAGTCTGGAAGACTTTAAGCAAGCTTGACGCCAGAAGGCTATTCTCGTATCAATCTGTGTCTTTGAGTTGCAAAGTGCTCAAGAACGCCGTAAAAGCGTTTGTACATCCAGAAACGCCTGTGAGCGGATATCCCTGCTGTTATGGTGGTAAAAAACAAGCTCAGCTGCTTTGAGGAGCAACAGCCAGATTCCTTTGGTTCTTGCACAGATTGCATTCCTTTGTTAAGTTCTTTATACTCTGGTTTGACCTTTCTCATGCTCATTCCTAGTTTTGACAGACACCGCATGAATCGCATTAGCCTTTCAGGCAGTTGCAACCTTCCATGTGAAACAGGATCCGAGGAGTTGAGCTTTGGCAGGCTGGCCCTATCTTGACTTCACCGGAAGCTCAATACAAGCTGCTGGTGTGACCAATCTATCCACTCTCGAAGTTCCGCCCATCCTCAAAGCGCACACACATCATGTCGTTATCCAAGCAATGTGTTAGGAACACGATTTCGCACGATCGACAGAGTCCATATGTAACGTAGATACAGAGAATGCCTTCCATTGCTGCACAGGTGCTCATCAATGTGCGGGAGAAGCTGAAGGGCAAGCCAGATGGCTTCTATGTTGTAGTGGGGGGAATCACCCCAACTCCACTAGGCGAGGGCAAGTCGACCACAACAGTGGGGCTGTGCCAGGCGTTGGGAGCACATCTGGGGAAGAAGGTGAGGGGCAAAGGATCCCCCCGTTTCGAAGGACTTTAGGCAAAGTGCAGCTGAGGAGCGAATAAGTAGGAAACGATTCTGGCCAGCTCAATGCCCCTGAATGTGACAATTGACGGAAGAAGCATCTGGTAGGAGCAGAATGGTGCAATTGGATTGTTGTCCAGTGCATCAAGTGGCAGGATCAGCTGGGGCTGTGAATGGACTGTCTGGATTTTAACAATGTGGAGGTCCTGTCACCTCCTGAAGGGCGCAGTGCCCTAAAGGTAGAAGAAAAGTAACAGGACTCTGGCTCAGCTGGCTTTTTGGCTGAAGGTGTTTTCAGAAGCACCCATGCTCCTTGAAGTGCCCAAGGCTACAACTAGTAATTATGTGTCCCCAAGCTAGCCCTAGGACCGGTCAGTTTCTCGATCTTGACATATCTGTGACTTACGGACAAGCTGCAGGTGCCAAAGCGAAACAGAGCCACACATTCTCTTCTTTGCCTCACTTGTTCTTCTGGCTGACAGCAATCTATCAGGTGAAAGTCAAAAACCCAAAAACCCCTTTTTTCAAAGCACGCTTCCTCTCCTTACAGGTCTTCACGTGTCTCCGTCAGCCCAGCCAGGGCCCGACCTTCGGCATCAAGGGCGGGGCCGCGGGGGGCGGTTACAGCCAGGTTATCCCCATGGACGAGTTTAACCTGCACTTGACCGGGGACATCCACGCAATCACAGCGGCCAATAACCTGCTGGCAGCGGCGATTGACGCGCGTATGTTCCATGAAGCGACGCAGTCGGACAAGGCGTTGTTTAACCGCCTGTGCCCCCCAAACAAGGAGGGCAAGCGCAGCTTCGCGAGGGTGAGGATCCAGCACTGTTGTTGGCCTCTTTGCCGGGTCGATGGTCGGATGGCTAGAGGGTAATTTATGGAGAAGCCTTCTTTTGCGGGTTAGATTTGGAAAGCGCAAACCTGTCCACGGCCACTCTGAGCACAGTTATCCTCAACTTGTCCTTCTCCAGCACACCGGAGCCGGTTGTTGCTGACAAGTGAACGGCCTACAGCTGTGAAGTTCGAAAGAAGGGTACCAAGGTTTCCAGCAAGACGTGTTGATGTGGGCATCAACGATGAACATCTCATGCCTGAGCCTAATAAGCAACGCACGTATTGTCATTGTTGCCTCAAGCGTTGGCTGTTGGCCCACAGGGCTTGCATTGCTGACGTGCCAAATAGTGCTGCCGGCGCGGCTCCTTCAGTTTTGGTCACAGCGGGGATGACTATGATTCGAAGTCGAAACATCTTGTCAGGCCCTTTTCTCTTGGTAGGTTAATCTCTGTCACTCTGTCCGCATGTACCCCCATCGCTGTGAGCCATCTTGCAAAAGTGATACGATGTTCGTTCCGCATCCCTGGCTTATCATCCTTCAATTAGGCACAATCGACGACCATCCTGCAACTCTTGGTGACTCAAAGCGTCTCTTTTGATGATTCTCAGGTGATGTTGAAGCGGCTGGCCAAGCTGGGGATCGACAAGCTGGACCCCGACAGCCTGACGGATGAGGAGGTCACCAAGTTTGCGCGCCTCGACCTGGACCCCGAGCAGCTGACGTGGCGCCGTGTTGTGGACGTCAACGACCGCTTCCTGCGGGTCATCACCGTGGGGCAGGTGACTGGCCGTAACCACTTACGTCTTGCGCAGTGGCTCTTTTTAGAAAACCGGACGGGTGTCTAGGGTGTATCAAAGTTATGCGACTGCTGACTTGAGCTTGTCAGATCTTGAAAGTGCAAAACATGCAGGACCCCTCTTGATGCATCCACCGAGGGCTGAAAAACCACTCTCGACGTGAAACGGCAACCATTTCTCGTCACTGGGAAGATTTATGTCGCTAGCTTGCCTTTTTTGGGGCTCATCCAGTTGCTGCCACCAGCACTCGGCCCCGGGCGTCCTGACGTTCCATGTGCCCGCAGCTCAGTCAATCAGAGGGCCCTCCAGGATTCACCCTCCGGAACCCTATCGAGTCGTTGCCTTCCTTCCCAAGCCTCGCCAAAGAAGGGCCAGGCGGCAGACGGCAGACTTCATGCTTCCCACAGCTCAGGGTTTCTGGGGTCGTAGCAATTGTCGGATAAAGGTGGCAACGTCTTGCTCACTAGCCCCAGCCCCCACTCTGCGCAGGGCCCCGACGAGAAGGGCCAGTCGCGGCAGACGGGGTATGACATCAGCGTCGCGAGCGAGATCATGGCGGTGCTCGCGCTGACGACGGGCATGGAGGACATGCGCGAGCGGCTGGGGAATATGGTGGTCGGCACCAGCAGGGGGGGGGACCCCGTGACTGCCGACGACCTAGGAGTGGGGGGGGCGCTCACGGTGCTCATGAAGGACGCGATCCACCCGACGCTTATGCAGGTGAGGAGGGGCGGAAAACGGTGTGGTTTGCGAAGTGGATGCTTCGTCTCCCTGAATGGTGCGAGGTTGCTTAAACTCAAGACTGAGTGCATGGGCGTTGGTGAAGAGCGACAGTAACTTGGCGTCTGGCGAGGAAAATGTTGTACAGGTTTTGCAGCAGCCAGCCGGGATGTGCTCTGAACCCTTAAACGGTTCTGATCGGCACTTCCTCCTCGACTCTTCAAACGATTGCGATTCCGCTCGCTGCTCGTTGCAGCATCGCTACATTCAAGTTTGAGTTTACATTTTCACGTTGGTCAGTCAGACAACGTTCTTTGCGCCGGCCCACTTCGGCTTTCGTTCCCAAATCAGACAACGGGATCAAGACCGTGTTGCACGAAAGTTATCTGATGCCATGTTAACATCTTCTCCGCTCCTGCGTAACGCCCGCCTGCCCCAGAAAACGGGAACGGCACACCGTTGCTGCTTTACTTTGGTGCAACGTTGTTTAATTTCGTATTCCTACATCGTGCCCCGCCCCAAACCTCGTGTTTGCCTGAAACAGACGCTGGAGGGCACGCCCGTGCTGGTGCATGCGGGCCCGTTCGCCAACATTGCGCACGGCAACTCGAGCATCGTTGCGGACCAGCTCGCGCTCAAGCTCGTGGGCGCCGACGGGTTTGTGGTCACGGAAGCGGGCTTCGGGGCGGACATCGGCGCGGAAAAGGTATGATGTCACGGCGCAATCGAGACGCATTCGGATCCGTGTGCTGCACATGGAGCTCTTTCTAATCCCTCCGAATTCTTTAGATGTTCAAGTGGTTGTGGAGGCGAGCTTTAGGACGAACTTTGCTGCAGGGTAGGTACACTAATCATGCAAGAGATCCTGACTTTGGTACTGCCAGTGAGGCTTTGCTCTCCACTTTGTTCTTGGGACGGTTTCCGGTGCCTCTATCGTTTTAGTTCTTGAGTCCAAACTGTGGTCCCGGAGCAGGCTTCGGAACGGGATCAGGGCAGGAAAGGTAGAGCGTCTGAGACTGGTCCAAGTGTCCTTATTTGCAACCTCTGTAAGCGAGAAATTGCCAAGGCGCGAGTTGCTGAATTTCGCAAGCCCGCCCTGTTCCGCAGTTCTTGAACATCAAGTGCCGCTACAGTGGGCTGCGGCCGCACTGCTGCGTGGTCGTGGCGACCGTGCGCGCGCTCAAGATGCACGGGGGGGGTCCCCCGGTGGTGGCGGGCAAGCCGATCGACTTTGCGTACGCGAGCGAGAACTTGGAGCTGCTCGAAAAGGGGACGGTCAACTTGGCCCGTCACATCTCGAACGTGCGCAAGTACGGCGTGGCCGCGGTGGTTGCGATCAACAGGTGAGGGGCGCTTTCCTTCCTGGGCAGGGCGAAACGAGAGTTGTCCAAGTCTCTGCACGGTTGCCTGGGACAGAAAAATTGGTTTGGAGCAGTTTGGAGCATACATTGACACGAAGAGGAGGCTTGGAGATGCGTGCGGGTGAGTGGGTTTGGGGGGACGAGTTGAACTTTGAGTTCTTCCGATATCCACTAGACGAAACCGGGGAGGAGCCGGGTGCCAAAGATGAAGCATAGAAGAAACAGTGTTCGAAGGGGTTTTCGAAGGGGTCTACTTCCTTGCGGTTCGGGCGGCGTGGCGCTTGATTGGCTGGCAAGCTGCCATAAAAGGCGTCTTTGCCGCTGTGATGAAGTCACATATGACGGTCATGATGATATGACCTCAATCTAGCTGGGCGCTTCGAACTGCACCTCTGAGCATTTAATCCGCGTTGGCCGGAATGCTTCGTACGTATCGAAACACCAGGTGGTGCCTAAATGTCTCATACGTTTCGATCCGTTAGGAGCTTGCTAGTAGATTGGCGTCCTTTCGCGCCTTTATTCGTCTCGGCTTGGCAAGCCCAAATAAATGAAGTCATTCCAACGCTTACGCAAGGGGCGACCGTTCTGCAGGTTTGCCACGGACACGGACGCCGAGATTGAGATGGTGAAAAAGGCCGCCTTGGCCGCAGGGGCGTTCGACGCCGTTGAGTCGACACACCATGCGCAAGGAGGGGCGGGAGCGGTGAGCCTTCCTCTTCCGTCCTCTCTGTTGCCATCGCACGTTTCAAGGGGAGTGGCTATCACCTTTACGAAGCCTGATCATATCTGCGAGTCCTTCCTCATTCTTGCTACTTTGCCGTGTGCACTTCGATCAAACTGTGCAGTCGCTCGCTCTGTCATTTCGTGAGCCATTTCGCACAAACCTCTTCAGAATTATACTCTCTATTCACCACACCCTATCACGTTGTCTCCACCAGTCACGATGGAGGTCAGTCTCTTATCCCTCGCCGTTTGTGCCCCCCCAGGTCGAGCTCGGAAAGGCCGTGGAGAAGGCGTGCAAGTCCCTCAAGGAGGACTTCAAATTCCTGTACCCCCTCGAAGCCGGCATCAAAGAGAAGATCGAAACCATTGCTCGCGAGATGTACGGCGCCGGGGGGGTGTCGTACTCGTCCGAGGCGGAGGCCGCGATCGAAAAGTACACCAAGCAAGGGTTTAGCAAGCTGCCCATCTGCATGGCCAAAACGCAGTACTCCTTCTCCGACAACCCCACGCTGAAAGGGGCCCCCTCAGGTGCGTGGCTCTCCCCCCCGACATGGTGAATTTGAAAGTGAAGGCCGATGCCACTGCGTTGAAGTTCTCGTTGGCGGTCGAAACGGTCTGTGGCTCCAGCTTTCTGCGGCTTGTAGTTGGGGCAAAGGGAGCCTGAAATCTGCAAAGAAAGCCTTTTTTGTATGGGTTTCTTTTCAACGTCGCATTCCCTGTTGCTGTTACATGATGATACCAGGACTGGATTCGATCGTTGTCCGAAGCCTTTTGTTGATATGCTGGTCAGTTGCTTGTCCCTGTAAGGGTTCTCCTTTCGTAGCTCATCAGGGACTCTTATTGTAAGCACACAGCCTCACTTTAGACCTTGTTTGCAGGCTTCACTCTTCCAATCCGCGACGTCCGGGCCAGCGTGGGTGCGGGCTTCATCTATCCCTTGGTGGGCGCGATGAGCACTATGCCCGGCTTACCTACTCGCCCGTGTTTCTACGACATCGACCTTGACCTTGAGACTGGGGACGTCGTTGGCCTATCGTAATCGCGGGCATGCTCTGATTCTTAGAAAGAGATCCGGCCACCTTTTGTGACACGACGCAATGGAGGCACTGCTGTACAAAGGAACAGTCCAGATGCAGTAATGAGTGACGCAGCAGCTGGCCTCAAAATGTGGAGTGTAAATTTGCAATTGGCACATGATTCAATCTGGCTAATGCAGGCGATCCGACAAAAGATCACCACTTTTAGTTGAGTAATTAATCAGTGTGCGGCAGGCTTCATCAATCCGAGTGCACACTGATGCGACTAGCTCGGCGACTGGTTTGGCGATCAAGTAAAGTCAGCATGGTGGAGGATTGCCGATATGCAGTGCTGTGCACGCGCAGGGCAGCCGTTACTCGCATTGCAACTTATTTTGAAAAGTTTCATACCAAAATGCCGTGCAATTTTGCATATTTGCACGGGAAGCGCCCGCACCTGCTAGCTATAGCATGGCTAGCTGCACGTGTTCTAGTAGTACTCCGGCAGCGCCGGGCCCGCCGGTCGGCGTATACACTAAAAGCTCAATTCGGATCGACTAGCTCCGGCGAATTATCGATCCGATCCGACTTAATATATTGATATCATGCATGCACCGTATGCAAGATCGATTGTTGTGCATGAATCATGTGTGCACGTACCATCATGTCTCGTTCTATAAGTTATCATTACCATAAGGCCGCGCTGTGAGTCGAGTCACTATTTGCATGTTCGTGTATCCATGCAAAATTTCACGGCATGCACATGGCGGTTCAAAATCTAGCTGTATATGCGTGGCCGCCGGCCTCAGACCACCGTGCAACACTCAACGAGTAAACTGCATGGTTGGATACTCCGTATAAAGATCGCTCGCTGCATAGAAAGGACAAGCTGGCAGTTTTATGTGTAGGTAATCATCTACTCATAACCAACCTCGCATCTGTCCAATGTCAAGTCAAGTGCAAGCGATAAGCTAACCGCTGCTTGTTCAAGTCGCTCATCTTGTTTTGTCTCTCCTCCACTATCTTTGTGAAGCTGTCCTCCGGTCTGACGCCGAGCTTAACGAAGATACCAAGGAGGGGTGAACAGCCAATCTCCTCTGTTAGACTGCTTCCCATCCCGTAACATCAGGTATACGTCCTGTACCACTGCGCAAAGCTACAAAACTTCCACCATGTAAGTATCCGTACCCTTTCGACCCGCAAATCGAGTGACGACTCTCGTTTTCTGTTTGTCATGCTTGCATCTAACACCATTTACCGCAAAAAGATGCGGTTCTTCGAGCAAAATCGCTCTGTAAGTACTATTGACCTCTCGTCTAGACCTTACTCGAAGTACCGCCCGTGCTCTTCACATAGAAGTACTGCAAGCAAAGCATAAGAGTGTGACGATCTTGAAGTCGGCACTAGATTGAGGACACGGACAACGGGTGGCTGGAACAATGGACATCTTGCTGAATCGTTCTGTGCTTTACAAATGTTCCGGGTACATAAGTTGAGGCAGACATTTCTCGCATCCATTATAATGGAAAATTTGCAGAGTGCCTACTTCTTAAAAGGAGAATCAAGCCAGACTCTCTCAAAAGCAAAAGGATTGCGCACGCTACTCACCGCAGCAATGAGCACCGAGACTATGAGCGCCACGATCGCAACAGTTGTGACGTTGGCCTCCAGCCACGACTGCAGGCTGAACTTCTTGTTCCTGCCTAGGACCTTCTTCAGCTTCTTCTTCTCCACTGCGGGCTGCTTCCTGCGACGGGCACCCTCCTCAACCGCTGCGGTCGGCTTTGCATCGAGGGCGCCAGTGGAGGGGGCAGCCGAGTCCGGCTCGGGGACTGCGGCCGCGATCGCGTCGCTGTCGGCAGCCTCGGAGGGCGGGGTTGCTGTCTGCTTCTTCTGCACAGGACAAGAGTGGAGGTTTAGGATGACGCCATGGGAGTGCACTAAGATCGAGCCCAATAGACCAGAATTCCAAAGCTTGACAGTCCCGTTGTAAGGTTGCTAACACCGTTTCCCTGTGCATGCATGGTTTTCCTGGAGACTGCAGGCTGTGCTGTGCTTGCGGAGCTGCAACCCATGTATCCAACAAACGAAACGGTGCTCTTTTCTCTCATGTCAGCTCTTACTGTGCGCCAAAGATGGAACAGCAGAATGCCTGCCTTTCAAACACCTCAATGATCATGCGCCCCACTACCCAAGGTCACGAAAAAGCACGGACACTTGCAACATACAATCTGCCAATGCATAATTCGTGCAGCTTCAAAGGCAGTCACAAACCTGAAGTGCAACCAATATCCCAAGATACATAGGGTCAGCACGGAAAGCTTCCCTGATCTCCTGCGGTCAACAGACTCCCATCCATGATTCATACTAAAATGTGTAAAATAAGTTGCGAATTCGCTTTTCAAAGTTGATAGAACTTGGCCATCAAAGCGCCCCACCTTGTCCTTCTTCTTGGTGGCCTCCTCCGCCTCCCTCTTGCGGCGCTGCTCCGCCTTGGCCGCCTTCTTCTCTGCCGCCTTCCTCTTCCGCTCCTCCGCTTCCTTCGCCTTCCTCACCTCTTCCTCCCGCCGCTTCTCCTTGGCCGCCGCTTCTGCCGCCGCCGCGGCCTCCTTATCTACCGGGGGCGCCCTCACCGGCTCCACAGCCGCAGCCTTGCTGCTCTTAACCACCGCCTCCTGTGCAGGCGGCGCTGCCGCCTTTGGCTTCGCCTCAGCTGCCACCTTGGGCTTGGCGTCCGCCGCCCTGGGCTTAGCCTCCGCCGGTGCTTTCGCCTTCACCTCTGCTTTTGAGCTCAAAGTCTCTGCCCCTTTTGCTGGAGCCAAGGCGCTCTTGGCCTTGGCGGGGGTATCGTCTTTCTCCTTGAGGCTCGCCTTGCCTGCGCCCCTCTCGGCAGTGGGGCTGAGGGGCGCGGGGTCCTCGTCCACCCCGGGGGACCGCGTGTCCAGGCTGCCAAAGCGGCGCAGAGTGCTGATCTCGTTGTTCTTCACGTACGTCGCCCGGTAGGCTGCGTCGGTGCTGAAACGCGCCATGATCCCCTCCACCTGCGCATCCGCAAAGAGAGACTTTAAGCTACCGCTATGAAGCGCGAGATGTAATCTGCAGTATGCCTTCAAACCATGACGATTGTAGCTACCGTCTGCAACATATATTACTGGCATGGATCCACTTTGTAAGCATGGAGGAAGCTCCTGCATCATTTGAGCCTAGTGCCAACGAACATTGCCTAGAGGCCCCTCTGCGACTGTCTTGCGCGGATTGGTCTGACAGGCGGCTTTCTCTGTTGCATCCCCCCTTCCTTCTCTCCTTGCCAGATGAGTCGGCAGTGATAGGAGGGTTGTCCAAAGCCTGGGGGCAACAGAGACACCTCTGACAAAGATGCAGCAGAATACGATCTTAATTGCTGACAACCGTGCACCAACATACGGATCCGAAGTCCTTGCCTGAGTATGTGCAAACTCCTCCAGTGCCGGGATGTCCCTTTGCGCAGCCAGCTGCTTAAATTTTTGGATGTCTCGCCGGTTTTGATAGTAGTCATGATCCTGCATAGACGTAAGATGCCAGCTGAAGAAGCACCCATCGAATCACCGCTGCTCCTCTCAACAAAAGTCGAGCCTTAAAAGCTGAAGTTTCATCCCAGAAACCAGCAACAAGCCAAAAGGAGGCTGATTGGCAACCTTGAAGACTCAAGAGCACAAACTTATCTAGGGTGCGGCTGCAAATTCAGTCATTGGGTTCGCAGTCATGCTTTGCAAGGACCCCACATGTACATACTGCTTGCATTGATTCATCACGCAGTGAATCATCCACGAACTGTAAATTTATGCTCACCCTTTGTGCAGCTTGCTGTCGCAGCTTCTTCAGCTCCTCGTACGCAGCTCGGTGCTCTTCCCGGGCCTCCTCCCTCTGCGCTAGGAGCTCCTCCACCCCCTTGTTCAGCTCCTTCTGCTCCGCATCCACGAGATCAAGAGCTTTCTTGGCCTCACTCTCCTCAGCGCGCAGCGTCTCAAGTTCCTCTTGCAAGGGCTGCAGAGAGAAATCAGGAGGAGCCGTATGAGACTCTATCAAAAACCCTTGACTCGGCAATACAGGCAAAACCTAAGGTCGTTATCCACTGTCTCAAGGTGCAGCTATCCAAGACCACCAAGGTGTGAAAAGAAGCCCGGCAAGACTTCTTTGAAGACATGCAGACTGAACCCTAGGAAAAAGTCGAGCAAGAATTACGAGAAAAGCGCTCAACGTGCTCACTTTCAGCTGGGTGCTGATGGACTCTCGTTCAGCGCCTGAGCTCGAATACTGCGAAAGCAGTGCCGAATTGGCCTTGACCTGCTCCCTTGAGCTCTCCAGCTGCCGAATTTCACGCAGGATCCGCTTCTCCTCGGTCAATGATTGACTCTCATGCTGCCGCGTGTACTCCAATTGCTGGATCTGCGGCACAAATCCGAGCAGCTATCAGGACTTGACCTGCGGTAGCTCCTCCAAATCAGGGCCAGTGCACGCACTCAACTCTTTGAATAGCAATCCCAATGTGATGAATTTGAGCACAATCACCATGAATGCACTGGCCACTTCTCTGGTGGACAACTTGGATCACAAGGGTGCGTGCAAACCCCCTTACCTTCTGATCAAGCTCCGCTTCAGTGGCACATGGGAGATCCCTCCGCTTCGAGTTTGCCAACTTGCCCGCTTCCTGCAGCTTCCGCTGGGTTTCCCACATGGGCTTGACCAGGTCAACCCTGCTCTTTATCTCTGCCCGGACAGCCTTCAGCGTCTCCAGCGCTTCTTTGACCTTGCCGTTGGCTTCGTTCCTGCTGATCTGCACCCACATTTTGAAAACTGAGGTCAGCCTTCAGATAGGGGTAATTCTGATCTCATTGGCAAATCAGCTTTTGAAGCACGTCGCTTGCTATTGCAGTCTGGGTATCAGACACATGGCAATTGGCTTCAACGAGGGTCTTTAGCGCGTCAACCTATCGACGAAAAGCTCAACAGACAAACCACAATCACAATCTATCTCCAGACTCATACCTGTCTCAAGCGGACGGCTACAGTAAGGAACTCCTGCTTCTCCCGCTTGTCTTTCATCCTGTTTTCTGCTTCTCGGATGGCGGCACCCCCGATGGAGCCATCTGGCCGAGGAATTCTGACGAGGCAGAATGTGCGGGTCGGCTTCTCCTCCTGCTGCACCTGATCCGTAGAAGCAGCTGCAACATCCGGAGCAGCCCCTTCCTCCCGTGGCTCATCCGCTGTCTGCTTATCTGTCTTTTCCTTTGCAGCTGAAGCAACCACAGGCCTGCTCAAGGTTGATGCAGCTTCTACCAGGGCTGGCTGAGGAGCAGCGCGAGGAGGCGCTGGGAGAATTGGGGGTTTCTTCTCTGCATCCTTTTTGCCAATTTCAGTAACTTTGCCCTTGGCTGCGCTCTCTTGCCTATGGCCACTTGGCGCTTCCTGCTTATGGCTGCCCGGGGCTTCGGCAGGCTCCCAACCATCCTGTGCCTGAGGCTCTGGCACTACCGCGGTCCTCTTCACATCAGTCTTCACATCAGCAACCGGTTCGCTGGGAGGTTTGTTCTGCTTCGATTGGTCCAAGCTCCCATTTTCATCACGCGCCGTCCCGTTTGTGTGCACCACCTTGTTTTCTGCTTGTGCCTTTTCTCCCTTATGCTTGACTCCATTGACAAACTCTGAGCTCGGATCTGATGCCTTCAGCTTTGACTCCAAAGCTTTCACCATACGGGGTACCCGATCACCTCGAGCAGCCGCAGCCTTATAGTCCACTACTGGAGCAGGCCGTGGATTGACCTCCCCTTCCGCCAAAACCGGTCCCATGCTTCTTATCAATATCGAATCTGAGCACACAGGACACCGCAGGGGACCAGAAATACCCCTCGCTCCGACCACCCCGGAGTCCTGGTGCGACGTTGCGCAAACGAACGATCTAGTCCTGCATCAGCTCGTGCACCCCAACAAAAGTCTTGCTCATTTCAGGAAGCAGGCGCTGATCGGACATGGAAGAAGGTCTTGCTTTGAACAAGCGCTTTGCTCGGCTGCTGTGCTGCTTTCCCAGAATAACTGTTCAACTGCCTCCCTGTGCTGATCCAAGTCCCAACCGTCCCCTCGACGTCAGCTGCCTGCATAATATACCCAAAACGTGGGCAGTACTGCATGTACCCATCCTGCTGGGAGTGTGGAAACCGCGACCGGAAAATACGGGATTTGCCTTCTTCGACCTGCGGGCAGCGGAAGTCAATTGCGCGGTGAGCATATCGTATACGGAGGTGTGGGTACTTCATCATAAGGAACCCAAGCGGTTCCGCAAACAGGCGAATTACGTATAAGCCGGGAGACGTCATCTCAGCATTCCTACGTCAACGCCAATGGCGCCATTCCAATTTGAGTGCCGGCCAGTAACTTTATTAGGTATCTGTTGTCAAATGGCGAAACGTGTGGAGTCTGGACTCACATTTGCAGAGGTGAATGGCGCCATGCCAGAGGTGAAGGCACAGGTTGCAATGGGCACCAGCGCTTTCTTGGTTCTGTGGAAGGAGCGGGAGGAGATTAGGGTTCTTGCTTAGATTAGGGTTCGGAATTGTGATTGACCAGGTTGCTACAGAATTTCACAAGTCTTTGCTGCTTGCTTGCACTATCTATCTTTGCTCACGTCCTTTTGAAGCTGTACTGAATCTGCATGATCACCACAGAGCTGTGAACCTCACCTGTCTCAGATGTGGAGCTGAGATTGCTAGCATTTCAGAACTTTAGAGGCAATACGCAGCTACTAGGTCAGAAGCAATGCCAGCTTTTCAGGTCGAAGAGGTGGGTCTGCATTGCAATCTAGACATTTCGCAATTGTTTGCTGTTGCAAATGAGCTTGCGGACCTACAAAAGTGTTGGGGACCTCGGTTTCTCAATCTTGTCAATCCGCAAGTTTTGGTTCCAATATCCTGATGAAAATCAGTGTCCCATGCTCACTGCAATTGCAGATTGATCTAGCACATGATCATGCTGCATTGGTTGCCTGCAGCTGGAACTGATATGATCCTCAATCTTTGCTTCGAAGTATACAACAGCCCCAGCTCGAGTGTCCAAACCGCCTTCTATTTTAGGGGGCAGGTTCCCAGGATGCTCAGGCTAAAACCACGTTCACTCCTCTGCAGGGGTCGCAGGAGTTGGAAGCCCTCAGAGAGCACTGTGCGCAGCTAGAGAGACAGTTAGATGAGCGGGACAAGGAGCTCTCATCTCTCCGGTGAGGGCTCAACTTTCACAGGGCCAATCTTCTGCCAGCAATCTCCCCTTGTGTTGGTGCAGAGTCCTACCACTGAAACTCTTCCCCAGCTCCATGAGTCAAGTCAAGTTGATGGAAAACACAGAAGCAATGTAACGGAAGGTAGATCTGATTTCTAACCCTGACTGCAGGATATTGGCGGCAGCAGTAGCTGATGGGGATGAGCATGATGTCCACGGGGCCAAGGTGGTGGAGCTGTCTAGGAAGGTGACTGCGGCCATGCCTTCGCTTTCAAAAACACACTTACTCTTGATGTATTTTGCAGCAGCGTTGTCACTGTCTCAGCAATCAGCGTAGTCCAGGTTCTCAGCCTGGTCCCTCCAATCCTTTTCGCTGCATGTTAACAAAAAAACAATTTCCCCCCTTCCCTTCAGAACCGCGCTCTGAATCTAGCCTACGAGAAGGAGAAGACACGAGCCAACAAGTTCAAGTCCCAAGTCGAAGTTCTGCAACAGCAGGTAAGTCGAAAATGTTTGGCATTGCCCCTCCCAGATAGTGAGAAACCCCCATTTGAGCCCAGGATTCTCAGTTCAGGCTGTCTTTTGTTGCTTCAGGAGTCTGCCTCTAGCTGTTCCTTGTCGTACAGAGAGGCTCCACAGTTCCACCTACAGTTGGGCAATCGTCACTGGGCTGGCAGCATTGAGTTGGGAACCTTCATCAACGTACTCTCTGCTTCGTTCTACAACTTCATGTGTTCCTTCAAAGAAGACAACGCACCCTTTGTAACGAACACTTCATGATCTCACCGCTTTGGTTTCCGCAGGGTTCAGATAGAGTTTGTCAATCTGTACTGCGTTTCTCCAATTACGAGAAAAAGATTATAGAACACTCTTCTTCAACTCTGCACCATTTACTGACAAAAGTGGTGGCAGAATCGAACTACTCTCGCATGCATCGGGCTTTCTCCCGCAACCTGCAGCTCGCTGCCGAGAAGGATAGCACCTCCAAGTCACAGCGGCGGGGCAGCATCAGCGGAGAGCAGGCGGAGGTGCTTGCACGGGGGGTGGCAGAATGGAAAGAAAAAGCGGGCCAGGCGCACCAGCGCCTCGCCGAAGCCCAGGCGATGATTTCGGCCACCCGGGGGGAGTGCGCCCGTTTACAGCGTGCGCTGCAAAAAGAAGTGGGGGAGGACGTGCCGCTGGCGAGGGTCTTGGAAGAAGGGGGGGACTGGAAGGGACGCGCGCAGCAGATCAGCCTGCTCAAGGTGAGGGGTGGAGGTGGCGAAGCTGGTATTGTGGCTCTTCTTGTGGACCCGTAGTCCTGTGGAGTGAAGTCTAATTGAATGAAGGAGTATATTTGGAAGGGCAGATTGTTTGGTATGATGCAGCAAAGTCCCCTAGGTTTGAAAGAAGCCTCTGGGCTACGAGCGGGCAACACTTGCCTCGCTTGGCAGTATGCAGCAGGGACCTACAAGCGAATGACGAACCGCTCGTGTGGAGTTGTGCCTTTCTCAGTGGCGTTTTAACGTTCACTAAGCTTATGTTGGATTGTCTTCAAGTAGGACAAGTAGGAACAAGCGTGTTCCCATTCGAAATAGTACCTCAGCCCGTTTTGCAACGCAGACAGCCGTCTCATTCGGGCGGGGCGAATTTTTCACACGGCCTTCGGTAGCACGTGTAAGTGTGCGACCAAGCTGTTGGATTTAGCTTACATTGCCGCACTCATTACGCTTCGATGAAGGTCTCAAGGCGTTTCAGAAAACGGTCTAAACTTTCGCTTCTGGCTTCTGCAACTGATCGACAACAGTGTTGGCCTCCCAAATAGTACGACTGATATCAGCCCTTCTGAACGACAACCATCTACAAGACAGCCGCAGTCTGCACAAATTGAAAAGGGTCCACGCTTTCCAGTAAGATCGACGGGTTCCACCCATTGTAGGACACTGGTCTCGATGTCACGCCACCGTGCTGTGAGAAAAGTTCTTTCTCGGTTTGATTACTCCTGGCCTCTCGAACTCCTCGACTCTCAATCTTCGACATCAGGACTCGCCCTCTCTGCAGTCGGCAGAACGAGATCATCAACATGTTTCGGACGAGGCTATCAACCTTGTCTAACTATAATCTTCCTCCTTCTCTTCCCGCCAATCGAGATCAGTCTCGCACTCCGAACTGTGGCGTCGAAGCGCAAATGGCAATGGCGGATCCCCAATCAAACTTTACCCTCTTCTCCTCGCCGCAGGACAAAGTCCGCGAGCTGCGCTCGAAGCTGGCGCAGCAGCCGGGCGCCGATTCGGACAGCGTGACAGGTACTAGCGGACGTCCGAGCAGCCTGTTCGAGCAGCACCGCGAGACGCTGGAGGCGCTGGAAGAAAAGCGGCGGCGCGAGAGTGAGCACGTGGGGGCGGAGCTGGCGCAGGCGCGGGAAGAGCTGAGTCGGCTCAAGCTGAAGCACGACGCGGCGGTGTCGCGTAGGAGCACGCTGGAGGGGGAGGTGAGGGCGGCTATGGAAAGCTGACAGCTACCTGTGCGGCTCGCAACGTTCTTTAATGTTGAGCTTAGCTTTTCGCTTGTAATAAGCGTCCTTTGAGTGTCGAAGCAAGAAAAGATTGTCCTTCGGACAAGTTACACTGACGGGGCACTGGCAGCATTTTTCCTTCCTGTCATCGCGCTTGAGGGAACAGAGAAAGACAATCCAAGATCGAAAGTACGTGGGCTAGAGGAAGCAAGGAGCAGCCTCACGAGGGCGAAGCAAGTCGCAGGATTTGTATTCGAGGAGTCCCTCGATCCGTCCCGCTTGCTCGAGAGTTTGTGCGAAACGATCGGAAATAAATTGTTACTTTCTTGTGGTGCATGACGAATTTAAAGCATCTTTTGCGGACGGAGCTTAAAGTACCGTAATGTCAGGCTTTCCACGCGCCAGGGGCTGCGAGGAGGCGGTTGGCTGCCAGGAGCGCCGTTTTAGATAAAGCTCGAAGCGACACAGCGGTGACTTTCGACCTTTCTTTTTCCGACGCAATTCTACGATCTCTGCGGAAAACGAGGACATCTGCTACTCTGTGTTCTCGAAACCCTCTAATTCTCGAGCCGCCACTCTCAAAAAGGTAACTCTCAACTTAAAAGCTCTCGTTGTTTGCATCGACGTCAGCATCGCCCATTTCTCCCGGTCCCAGGTGCGCGGTCTGAAGGACAAGCTGGCGGTGGTGCTCAACAAGACGGCCAACGACGACCGCCTCGTATCCGCGCTGCGGGCAGAAAACGCGAGCCTGAAAAAGGTGTGACTTCAGCATGGTTCTGTAGCATTCCGTTTCGGTCTGCTTCTACGTTAAATGGATCTGCTGTCGGTTGAGGCTTCATGCATTTGGTTTCCTTGCCGCCTCCTTGTCCTACTCGTTGGGCCTGCCAAAACGTGAGGAGCTTGTCTTGTACCAAAGCACAGCGGCCAAAGCGGGCTCGTTCGTCTGAACTCTGACAAACCTACACTGCGTTGACTTTTCGCAGCCGTTTGCTGCTTGATTCTGCAACTACCTCATGCTAAATTAGCCGCTTCCCTCCGTCGCTGGTAAACTCAGACAATCTGCTTCGGCAACGAGACGCTTTTTGTTGGTTCCTGCAGACTGCTCGACGCTCTTCTTTAAACGTCCCGTCGGAGCGCACCTCGACGGCCGGGGATGAGCAGCGGCTGGCGGCGCAGTACAGCGAGCTCAAGTACAAGTACTCAGAGCAGGTATGGGCGGTACCAGGGTCCCTCTTTGCAAGAGAGCACGGACAAAGCTTCGTGTCATTTGGGAGGCTCCCGCGTATCTTTCTCGCATAGGCGAGATTGACTCTCTCAGAGCCCGCTGGGCAACATCTTTGACCTTGAAACCCTGAGCTTTGTTGCATTTCCAGGGGTCGGTCTGTCAAAGCTAGGTGCGATTTGAACGTCCAACTTACATTATCTCCAGGAGAAGAAGCTCAAGGCGCAGGAGAAAGCCATTGAGGCCCTGCAGGAGTTAGCCTCCGCCAGCAAGCCAGGTGCGTTCCGCAAGTACCTCGTCTCTCAGAGTCCGGGGCTGGCATTTGCTATGATATTGCAAGTGCTTCTGTGTTGGCAGCGGCTTGAACCCCAGGTGGCGCACGGTTCCCGACAAGAAAAAAGTATGGTCTTCTCCTTTTTTCCCTCTTGATTGTGAAAGGAACTTTTGAGTGTTCGCATGTTCCGTGGCAAACGCCTTGGCTCCAGCTCCGCTTGTAGCCCGGGAAGTCAGGTGGCCTCGCGCTGCGACCCGTACGTAATGATAACATTTCCATCGACCGCTCTTATAGTTGAGCTACCCTTTCCAGTCGATCTGAAAGCTTCGACCATCAATGAACCTCTCGCACCAGATCGCGTTGCGAGCTCACTCTATGCTTCCGGTGACTTCCTCGACCTTGAATGTATGCGCCAAGCACAGGCCAGATCTGTGGTTGTGCTGAGCTCTATTTCCTCCCGGTGGCTGTCCAGACCGGGAGGAGACGGCGCAGGAGCTGCGGCGGGTGGAGGTGGAGCGGGACAAGCTGGCGAAGCTGGTGGCCGTGCTGCGCAGCCAGGTGCAGGAGAGCGAGCAGCACAAGGACCACGTCGGTGAGCGCCGCTCGGGGCCGCTCGTGGCACCTGAAGTATGACAACGGATGTTTACCCTTCTTGATTGCTGTGGGTCCTCAACGCTCAGGTCACTATTCCGGCCTTGTCAGCGTGGTCATTGATTGATCACTGGATAAAATTCGGGACTTAAAAAGGATTCGAAGTTCTTCTGGCGTTTCGTGCGGTGCTCTCCGCAAGGTGGCGTCTCTAAAGGATGGGGATGCTTTTGTTGGGTGCAGTGCGTTGCTCGAAACATTGTTCGTAACGAACCCTCAGAGCGGGCAGAGAAGAAGGATGATAACCGGGCATAATCTACCTCGCTCATTCATTCTCCGCGGGATGTGACGAGCTTGTCCTTCTTTTGCAGGTCGGCTGCTGCAGTTGGAGAGGATAAGGGCTGTCGAGTTAGAAAGGCGCTGCGAAGCTGGGTCGAAAGTGCCATTGAGCAGACGATCAAGTCCGTGATGGGTCCCATAGTCTGCAACATCCTGGCCCTGTAGTAACATGCCAAGTCAATATCTGCATGTGGGCGGCATGGCGTGACGTTGGCCGGTGATCTGAATCTGCCCTGGGTCCGACGTTTCCAAGCTATACGAGGATTGCACAACAGTTCACCTGCAATATTTCGCCATGGGGTGTACTCGTGTGAGACTCAGCCATGCGCGTTGGAACACGCGCATCCGCGGCCGTTCAATGCTTGCAACGACTAGGTGCATGGCAAGCGGGCCGACATTGATGCAGCATCGTCAGGATCGGACGGTGCATCATACGTATCCTTACCCGCCTAGGTTAACTACATCAAGCCTGAGCTCTTGAATGCTGAGTCGCGATGCAGTATATAATGCATAGCGATCAGGTCTTCATTTGTGTCGGCATCAGGATTTGCATCATATATAGGTGCTCGTAAAAGCCGGTGGTCAGTGTATTGATCCGACGTTCCCGGCTACAAGGATTTTGTAAGACTGTTTAAACATGTGGTTACAAGTTTGATCAACAATTGCACGCGCGGTCGTGTGCGTGCACAACCTGGGTCGTTAAAACACAGGAATACCTGCTAGTACGGTCAAGAGAAAAGTAGATGTTCGATTCAGGAATCTTCCGAACTCGTCAAGTAGCATGCCCGCGCTATCAAATACTGGGCGCCAATGGCATCGAATAATACCCGGACGTCTCTAGCTCGAAGTCATCGGATCTTGTGATATTGCTGACTAATTGTGACCAGCGTTCTCTAAGTCTCCAGCGTGATGGACTCTAAGATGCAAGGCCCAGCGTCGGGTCTGCAGCCCAAGCGCTGCTACCCTGTTCTTGATCATTTGATTGCTTCCCGTCGATGTGCTCAAGGATCAAGGAAGCGGCAGTGATGGAGTAGCTGGCGCGCAAAGTCACCCCAGACCCCGCATCACATGCGGACGCGGTGAACATGTTGCCCACGCCATCTGTAAAAATTTATCCTGGAGCATTGAAAAGATAAGAGGAAGAAGAGGCAAGGGATGCTCACCGTTGTATGTCACAACAAGGGTTCAAGACGGGCAAGTTCGTCTGTCGCTGCCAAAACGGAACCTCTCTTTCACTTGTGCAAGAAGAGGCAAGTTCCAAACAGAAAATGATACATTCTACTGGAGAGCGCTCTTTCAGAAACGAACGAGGCTGACTGTGGCGTGCACAGATCTTGTGAAAAGCTTCTCCTCTTCAAAGCCGCATACCTTTGATTTTGACAGACAGTGGGATCCACCGTTGGTACAAGTACAAGTTCCGGGGCATCTCTCCTACGTTGGTATCGGACACAAGAATGGTACACGGTCTCTGCTTCGATTGCCTGTACGCACGTCACACATGGCGCGTTTACTAGCAAGAGCGCGCCTGATTCTGCACGGAATCAACGAAACAGGCTGTGCGGGTGGAGATCCCGTCGGTCCTTCAGTGTCCAGGGAGGATCCACGTGGATATGACGGTCCAAACTTCCGGATCGAGATCATGAAGGCACGCGGTGGCTCATGAAAGAGACACAGCAAGCGGCTCAACGCTAAAAAGAACATGATTTGAGCGGGCAGAATGCACAACAAACTCAACTGGCAGATTGCTTGCCTGTCAGGCAAACCCTTTGCCTCTCTTGTTAACATTACAGTGACATGTTCCGCAACGGCTAGGAATATCTTTCGTAAATCTAACTTGCTGGGATTGCCGCGTCCACTCGATCGATCAAGCCCATTTCACACCGAACTGAGTCCAAACTTCGAAGATGAGATTCATGCTGACCCTCCTCCAAACTTTCTTTTTGAAACTTCCCAAGGTGGGAATTATCCTGATAGAGGAACTGCGCAAATCGGTGCAAAGGGAGTCTTTCGTGGCACTTACCTGATGAAGCAACCCGCCTCATGAAGGAGAGCGAGGGTCTTGACAAAGACCTGCTCCCGGCTCTTTGTGGGGATGCCATGCTCTCCGACTCTACTGCAGAGCAGGGACATTCAGAGTGAGGGACGAATCGACTCAGTATGAGCCACATCTATCTGCAATTGCTCGACCTGTGTTATCGACCAAGAGAGCTGTCAGGGCATCTCTCATCAGCAAACTGGTGGTGGATTTTGGGGAATGTGCCTCCTGAAGGACTGGAGAAGGCAATCACTGTGATTTCAAACTTGTAGAGTAGGCAAAGCGATCTGTCGCGTGCAAGTTTGGCATGAATTCGTGCAAAGGATCAAATTCTCTGTCACCTTATGCATGTGATGATTGCCTCGCATGTCAATGTTCAGATTCGAAGGAATGCCCCAAAAAGTTCAGTTTCAGCTCAGGCTGACTCCACCCAGGATTCAATGCAAAGAGGAAAGTATCTCACCTCTCGGAGAAGAAGTCGGCAAAGTCATCAACTATGATCAGACTTGGAAGACTCTCCAGAAGATGGATGCACGCAAAGAACTTCCGCAGCTCGCGGTCACTGTCCAGGTACCTGACCGGGAGAACAATCCGCTCCGTCACGAGATTGCATGATTGGAGGAGAAGAGCATCCTAAGCAGGAGAGCAGCGTCATGGAAAGGCAGGGCAAAAGCCACCGGGGGCACATGTCTGCTCTGCTTTCAGGGATTGATTATTGGAGATTCATGAGTTTTGCACCATCGTGGAGGCGGGCCTGCAACCACTCAGCCCATGCATTGCTTAACATGCCCTGCACTCACCGCAGATGAAGCCGTTCGTACGGCAAGGAAGTCTTGGTTACGCCCTGAAGAAGAAAGATCCACAGAGTATCATTGAGCATGCTTCTAACTTCCATAGAATCAACGAGGTTGTGTACGTTTAGACACATGCCCTCTCTTGAGAGGCTGGACTGTAGGGATGTTGGGGCTCAGTATCTTTTGAACTTAGCAGTGCCCTTCTTTGTAACAATCTGGACACTCGCAGAAAAACGGGCGCAATGCTTTGGCGCACCGAATGGAATCTGGTAAATACGTGGTTGCCTCACTTGCGGCAGAAGTGGTGGGGCTCCTTCCAGTCGCTGCCGTTTGGCTATGACAAGCGCAGTGTCATGCGGATTTTCCAGCAGGTGGTTGTGGGCGTACTGAAAGAGAAGGGTAGTCTTTCCACTGCATACATGGTTCGGCCCAATGATAAGAATCAGGCCGTATCAGGCATCCATATGCGCCTCATTTTCTTCATGAAAGCAGAAGAGAGCAGCACTGTACAACAAATGTGCCCTCACCATCAAGTAAGAAACCTAAAGCCTTGGTTGTAATCAGAAGGATGCAAGGAGGAGCTGAACAATGGGCCGTGGAATGTTTTGAGTGAGTACTGCAATTTGCACCAAAAAGTGCAACTAAAGCTGTCAGCAATGACAAGACAGAGCACTTGCCTCCTTGGTGGTCCAGCCAGCAGTGCAGATGCGGCGGAGAACGGGAACTGCGCAAAGTCTGCTAGCCTCGCCTGCAGATCAGAGTCAAAGTTGCTGGAGAAAAAGTAAGAGGACTTGATACCGTCCTGGTTCCTGTCTCGGCCAGCTTCGCGGGTGTCGCTTGCGTCACAGAGAAGAAGCGATTGCATCGGAATTGCTGCCAGTGCTGATGGAGACTGGGCCAGAGATGTAGACAGTAGCAGCAATAGACATAGCTGGTTGCAAATGACCCGTCCTCTTAGACAAACTTCATGTTTTAGCCGCCTCTTGTGCCAGGCGCAACAAGCTTGCGGTATACGTATCCCAATCATGTAATAATCTATGGTCGAAAGCATGCTTTTAGGACAACGGTACCTAGTGCCCGCTTCGCGCCATCTCCTCTGCACGAGTGAGTTTCCATGATCGGGAGGATTGCCACCTGGGCACCCGCGCTTTGCGATGCGGGTTGAAACTCCTGTGCAGCACTGAAGAGCATGGCCGAAAGTCTCTACCGAGGTCAGACGAGCCACGTGGACAAAGCTGGGCACGCAGAGGATATCCGTATGCAAAATTTCGTGCACCAGATTGCCAGGTATCATCGTCTCCGTTCGAGCAAGGTGATCCCTGGGCCTGGGGCCCGAACTTCATCCTACGTACAAAGTTGCCATTGGCCAGCTTGCCGACTGGCCGACTTGTTTTCTGGCCGTGTGCTGAAACTTCTGTCGCAAGTTGATGTATTATGCTCTTGATTGGCTGACTGCAGACCGATGTACATAGCATTGAATCGGCCAACAATCTGCTTTCGCGGAATGAAGCTTCGGAATCGGCAGCCTCCTCGTGTTTCGGGCAAGTCTGCTCTAGTATTGTCACCGTGGTCTTGAAACTTCGTCCGTGCTCCAGAGATCCCAATGCGGCTATGATTATTGGCAAGCGCTTCTAAACAGTCAAGGCGTGTTGCAACAAGCCTTAGTACGCGCTGACGTAACGCTTGGCCGCCGACTAGGAGTCATCAGCCATTCGTCAAACATAAATGGACACAGACAACTCAATGCTGCAGGCCACTTACGCTCACTGAATCAGTCAATCTGTTAAATCCGCAAGCGGCTATCAGAAAGGAGTACACTCATCGATCCCGCAGTCCCGCCCGCAGTTTTAGATGACCAAATCATCACCGTGGATCGCATTGTGCGACACCTCGCCACTACGGTCTGTCCTTCTGCGATGTCCAAATCCTTGAAGCTAGCCACGAACTTAGAGCTCCTGTAAAGCTTTGGGCCGCCTGACAAAGTCGACTAGCACACGTTTTCTCAATTGCAATGAAGACTTACAGCCACATGCTGCAGCTTATACGCTTGATGTTCAGAATTCACATGTCCACCCGAGATTGGCACCCAACAATAATCTGTTTACAAGCGGATTCTCTATATAAGGCCAGGCTTTGAGTCTTTGACCCGCCGCCGCAATGGTCGAGCCATTCTGCAGCATCATATTTTGTGTCTGAGGACACAAATGGACTATATACTAATCATGAATATGCAGGCTCAGCGCAGTCGAAATCCGAAAGCGACTAAATGTGTAGTACCATCAGGGCACCATCATGGCAATTGCTAAAACTTACGTTCGATCTGCAAAATACTACTGAGACTTGAATTGTGAAACTCTGTCCGAATTGTGCAGCTGCGCAATGCTTGGACATATCCGTGGCCTTGTGACTACGTTCAGCAGCTTGCCCTCAAAGCATGCAAGGCCGGCGCGGTACTTTACAAACAGTCACCTCGGTATAACTGTACAATGTCGATGAACACTTAGTAGTACCCGAACACAAGGAAGGACAAGTGCTCACTACCTATACCGCTGCTGATCAACGACGTATTATATCGTTCCTTGATCATGCCAGACAATCAATGCAATGAAAGCCAAGTTTGCAATCATAAAAGAGTATGTTGGTGGCGATCCAAACATAAATTTCCCTTGTGCTCTTGCCTTCCGCATAAATTGCCGCCGTTCCTCTTCGCTTTCAAACTCCAGTTTCTTTGGCGGGTACTTCAAGCCCTTGGCAAGAAACTCCGGTCTTGGACGAGAATAGGGACACTTGTTTCGCCATGATGTCTGCAAGCGGAGAGTCAACAAAGTATATGCTCAATGCTAAGGCTGGCCCCACGACGTAGACCTTGAACTGGAGAGTTTGCCTTTTTGACTTGTGTACAGCATCTGATGATAATGAACGAAGATTTCATGCCTCCTGTTTGCTGACATTCTTGCTGAAACGAATGCAAGTGCTCTAAGATGTCATACTTTCAGCCCAGTATACAAGCAACGACCATGATGGAATCATCAAGAGAAAACGCAAAGAAGTACATGAGAAGAAGATAAAACTTACTCAATCCAGTTGAGCATTGAACATGTTGCAAGGACCGCAACAGTTTCGGTTGTGGCTGAATTACCTTGATGAGCCTGTCCTGAACTACGTTAGGGGCGAGGAAAGTTGCAATTAAGTAAATGGTAATCTCCTCTTTGATTGTAGAGCTTGTCTAGGGCGGCATGTGAATCTGTCCTGACACCATGTACCCCATTAGGTGCGAGCAGATGACATCATTCTTTTTCTTAGTCATAAATGCAAGCGGACCCTCAATACGCAACTAGCAGTCTTGAAAGTCCATTCAGCGGACGAACACTTACCTTTGGCAGGCCAAGTCTCCGCAACCAGCCCAATGCATTGCCAATCCGCTCGATCAATTGTCTTGTCTCTTGTAGCAAAGCAGCACCACTGGCTTCATCTGGTGGTGGCAGACAGGCAAACGGAAGCTTTTGACTTGCACTGGAAGCAGGTTCTCCTGGGCACCACGCGTTTGCATTGAACCTTGCCATATTCTACTTGGAGCGGGCTTGGAGCTGCGTCTGTTCGGTACCTGATTGCACTCAGATACTGAGATCGAAATGTACCACCAGCAAAGCCGGAACGACTTGTCAATTGAACACCATGAAGACAGCCCAGGATGCCACCCTCTCTTCCGCTGAGACGCCCCAGCCACAGAGACTCAGAGGCTGAAGTGCAGCTCGTCCTGCCTTCCTTTGACCAACACTCTGACCGTCAGAATTCCTATATAACCTTTTTTGTTCTGCCAAAAGTAGTTTCGTCTGCGCAACTCAGTTTCAAGTACTTGCCATTTCCGGCCGTTCATGTTCTAAATGTATGACCGAGATATTTGTCGGAAATTTAATGACGAGGCGTTTGCCAAACAATGTGCCCGCAGCACTTTTCCAGGACTAGCATGCAGTAGAGTCCAGCACTTTCTGCTGGTTGCAGGCTGGTTCAACAGCGGAGCGAGAGTGTTCCTGGGCCTAGCTACTGCAAGCGCGCCATACCTGTCAGTATCAGCCTGTCTTCTGGCAAGAAGAAGGCCTATATGCTGGTTCTGTGCGCCTAAAGGTGCGTTGCTTTTTGGGCGTTTATTCGACAAGGAATTTTTTTTGATCGAAGCTTGCTAGCAAATGGTTTACAGATGATGAGATTTTTGTTGTTCTCTCATGGCATTTTGCGCTCCCTCCCAAATTTAGGAGTCTTCCAACAATATCTCTACCAAAATGTTTTTGGTAATATCCTGATCGACGTTGACATTCATCCCCCTCACGGCGAAGCCCTATTTGTGGTTTACCTTCTGTATCCCGTTGTTGTGTTTCAGTCATCAAGAGTTCAGGCCTTTTAGGCTTTCGTTAATTGATGAGCCCCAAAAATGTTGAGGCACTCCTAATGAGGTTGGGCAAAGCCGGAGAATGGTGGTATTAAGTCTCTCTGTATAGATAGATGGAGAAGGAAATGACCCAAAGACGCTGTGTGCAGGCTGAAGTAAGTTTAGGCCGTCATGGACCAGGCTGTATTGGTGGTGGACCTTGAGACTACTGACCTGAGACAGCAAATGAGAGAGCAGATCAGCCTGTGTCAGCCCATGGTGAGGAGGGCTTTCAATTTTGAGTCAGTAAACTTGAACCGGATGCGGAAATGCACATAAGCTCGGGGACAAACAGGTTGGGGTTCAATTGCATGGTCTGATATGAGTCTGGCGAAAGTCCAACCGAAAGAGAACATCTGAGTTCATCGATGGACGCCTCAAGAAGCGGTTGCTGTTTTAAAGGTTGAGCAGCCTTGGTGACGCTCCACCCAAGCCCCACCCTTAAGCCGCAGCCTTGGTCTCCCACGTGTTGAGAAGTCGGCACTGGGAGATCTATCAAGCGGCCTTCGTGAGTTCCTGGATGTGAAACAATCAATGATCAAGCTTTGACCCCTTCCTCCCACCTCGCAGGTCATCCGGGGAGCTCTGGCACACTGGCCAGCAATCGCCAAGTGGGATCCTGCAGCTGGTGGCTTCAGCAGGCTTGAGGTAATTGACCAAGCTGACTCGCCCTCTTCTCAAGGCAGCTGGCCAGTAGCATGTCACTGTGGAGTCTTGCCACAACGCCTTCGAAATGAGAAACAAAGTTTTCGATCATCAATCTGTTGATCGCCATCGATCATCTTTTGGGCCACGTTACAAAGGGCCACATCAAGTGCTGTGATAAGCTCTCATCTTTGGTGTTTCTAAATCATGAAAGTCTCGTAAGGTTGCCAGAGAGAGAAATTTGTGCTGTTTTTGGCCCTGCAGGATTTGGCTGGCGAGGCTGACGTGCAGGTGATGGTGGCACCTCTAGGGGAGGCGTTCTATGGGGATGTGCGCAGCAAGCGCTTGGTAAGCAACCCGGTGGGAAACGTGGACCAGGATGTGCCTTTGGTCATAGCCAGTGCTTCCACTTGTTTGCAGTAAGGATCTGATGGTGACACAACCTGTTGATGGAGAACATGGAGCTACGGCGAATCTTCTGAAAGCCCTGCATTCCCCTTGAAACATACTCCTCTTCACTCAAGCTGCTTGAAGCTGACCTCTAAATTCGACTTGGATGGTCAAGTTAACCAAGAGTCAGAACCACTTGGGATCCGTAAGGAACTACGCCTCCTTGTCCCATGAGGTCCAGCGGAAGTTCGCAGGTTATCAGGTCGGAAGTTTAGCAGTACGTATTGCAAATTTGCCGGTTGGTAAAAGGTTTTGATGTGCACTGGAGGGCAAGCACCACTCGAGCACAGAGTCACGTTCGTACATTGTTTTTGGGGCCTTCCTGTTGATTCGAACTCGTCTGTTTCGCTTCTGTGGCAGATTGGAGCTACGTTCAAGGACTTCCTACAGATGGCGCAAGCTGCCGCCAGTCAAGCGGAGGATGGCGAGAGGGAGCAGCTTTACCTTGCGCAAGTATGGTGTCTTTCTCAATTTCCACAACTGTTGCCTGTCAGTTGCTACAGACTTCCTTTGACCTCTCTATTTCTCGAGCATCGGAAGACTATTGGCCCTTCTAGAAGTGTGCTTTCAGAAGCTTTGTTCGACATGGTTGATTGGGTTGTTTACAACAGCGGCTGGCTTCGTGCAGTCTCCAATTCTGGACGTGGAGCAAGAACGTCCGCAGCCGTTGGCCCCCCTCCTCGAGGACGTCCGCATGGTAGGTGAGGGCATCATCTGCTGGCTGGGCTACTCAAGAGAAAGTTTTCTGAGCCGCATGAGAAACGTGAAGTTCCTTAAGTCTTCTTCTTGACTCGGCGTTCAATCAGCGGCCGTTCATACATCCTGGTTGAGCTGTACTTTTGAGATACCAGTACCCTTGGCTATACTCAGGTTTGCTCTCTCGTCTTCAAAAGCCATCTCCTTGAAGGGTGGGAGCATCGATCAGACGCGAGAGGAAGCTTACTAAGACGTGTCTCCGCAGCCCTCGTTCCTGGACGATGAGAAGGTCACCAACATCAACCTGTGGGTCAGCGTCAACGGCTCCAAGTCAAGCACGCACTACGACCCGTACCAGAATCTGCTCTGCGTGGTGGCAGGAGAGAAGACAGGTGGACGACCCACACCTTCGCAGATGTGTCTTGAGCCGTGCTGGGATCGAGGTGTGCGATGGAACTGGATGGCCTCTGTTTATCACCGTCGAGAACACGGTTTTTGAAACGCGGTTGAACCCGTGCTGGTGTCTGGAGCGATACTCTCGCCAATATCCCCTTAGCCAAAGCGCTTGAAATGCAAGGTAAACAAGGCAAGAGCCCATGCAGGCAGCGTTGCCAGCAATACAAGTGCGTCCGAGAAGGAGCTCTGGACCCGCCTCTCTACGATGAAGCTGCAAAGTTCTGACTGTGTCACTGTGTCGTACAGTGTCGCTTTGGGACCCGCGGGCTACGCCGGGGTTGTATCCGATGGCCTTGCATGGCGAGGCGTTCAACCATAGGTAGGACCAGCTAATGCACCTGATTCCGTGTCTCATGAATGTTTTTAGAAAGCGAGTTCCAACCTGCGTTCCCGACATTATCCCTCAAACGAGCCTCATTGAAATGCGAGACACTTTGCTACATCAATGCGAGAGCGGGAGTGGTCAAGCAGTTTTGACCAACACTTTTTCCGGGTTTCGCATGAGCAGACAGAAGCTTGTCGGCTATTGGCACGACATCGGTTATGTCGACGCAAAAGGACCATGTGACCACAGATATTGGAGCTTTGTCACACGCAATTGAATTCCTAGCTGTTCGTATCATCTGCTTACGTTAGACTTTGGAAGAGTTCCAAAATTCAAGAGTGTCTTTTAGCACGCGTTCGCCCTTTCTGTTAAGCGACTCATTTCAACCATAATTGTACTCATGCAGTGCAGTCAACTTTGCGGCCCCCGACCATGCCCAGTACCCCAACTACCGGGACGTCCTCCAGAGCTGCAGAACGGTGCGAGTGGGGCCGGGGGACGCGCTCTTCATCCCCGAGGGATGGTAAGGGAGGTGCTGGCACTTGCTTCCATGACGTCCCTTTGCCTTTGAATGATAACCTGAAGGCGTCCTGCTTTAATGGAGGCGAATGGCTTAGCCTCGACTCTGCCCTTAATCCTCGACTCCGCTCCATCTCTTCCGTTTTCATCGAAAACTTCACTCTGTAGTTTGTACGTCCACTCTCGACGACGGTGTCCTGCTAACTCGGGCCTCAGCTGCAGAGTCGACATTCCAACAGCTTGCGTCCCGAGTGTCAGGGAGCCTTCAAGACTTTGAGGCCTTGTTTCCACCGTCTTGTTTCTCCAGAGAAATGAAGCAACCTCCGAAAGTCGCAATCCACTCTTTGGGGTACTCCACCTCTGTCCTTCCAGGATGCGAATCATGACACGTGTCCCCCGTCCTTGTCTGCCAGGTGGCACCAGGTCGACAGCGGCGGCACCACGATTGCTGTGAACATCTGGTGGCAGTCCGCCTTCTCTGCCATGCTGGGCACCCACATGGACGCCTACTATGCGCGCCAAGCCATCGCCAGCCTGCTCTTCACGGAAAAGGTCAGTTTAAGGGTTACCTCGTTCCAGGCCTCCGCGAAGGTTCGTTTCCGGGGACAGCTACGCCTTAATATAATGGGGCAAGTGCCGGATTCAAATCATAAAATGACCCTAAATTGCATTAAGCAGCGGCGGGAAGACTTACGTCTCTCAAGAATCTGCAGTTGCCGATGCATCCTGCGGAGGGGAGACGTCTCCACGCTAAGGTCTAGTGCCTCATTCTCGAACGTCCACGTGATAGCGTCAGCAACTTGAGACATCAGCAGGTCGTCCAAGAAAGGTTTCCGAACAGGGAGGGCTCGAGGCACGAGTGGCACCAAAAACGGCTAGCTTACCCCCGGATTGGCTGCTTCCGACTTTCGCATAACATCTCAACCAAAGGGCATCGAGACCGCTTCGTTTGGCGTCTAACCACCCCTTCGTAGGAAGCCCACAGCTCCTCCCCTCATGTAATCCTCTCATGTTCTGCAGAAGAGACGGCTGGCCTCTGTACTTCCTTACCGGACAGCAAGCTTCGTGCCGGCAAACCCCCCAGCTCCGTCTCAAAGCGCTGCCTCCCACCTTCCTGCTGAAAGCGCAAACATGACGCTCCCAAGCACTACCGCTTCGGGAGCTGCTTCACGAGAGCCGGAAGAAGCTTCTCCAGTGACTGCGTCCACGACAGCTAAGGCGAGGAAGAAAAGGGGCGGCAAGAAGGCCGCTGCTGCCAAAAACGACCCTGTTTCAGAAGGGAAGAAGAGGCATCAACCGGTTAGTGACCCCGGAGGATCGAGAGAACTGCTGAAGGGAACAGAGACGGGGGCCCAACAGGCGGGCGGAGCCAGTAACGAGGCGATAGGCCGAGTAGCTGCTTCATTAGATAGTTTCGTCAGTCCCGCGAAAGTGGCAAGCGACGACCGCTTCGACCCTAGCAATTTGAGTAGTCCACCAACGCCAGGCCTGCCGGGCCTTCCATCAACTGAACCGACTAGTGCTGCAGCGAAAGAAGGATTAGGTGCCCACGGAGAAACAGAGCTGTCTAGCGTCCCTCCCGGAACAAGAGGGCTTGGAAATAGCGATCAGACCGGGGGGAAGGGGGAGTCTCAAGCTGGCGAGACTGCAAGTGAGACGATGAGCGCAGCCGCGCGGAAGAGGCGGCGAGTGGTCGAGTCGCTTTCAACGGAGGAAGCACAACTGCTGCAAGCGCTGGTGCTGCACGCGGGGACCGGCAGCAGGACCGGAACGGACAGTCGCCGGAACGGAACTGACTTAGCCGGGACCGGGGGATGCCAACACTGCGGAAGCTTGCGAAGTCCGGGAACAGATGACGAGCGCTCTGACGGGCAATCAGGAGAGGGAGCAGTGGGGGTTGAAGGCGGAAACGGAAGCGGGGAAGAAGAAGGAGAAGGGGCCCAAGAGACGGACACGGTGGCCGGCGTCTTTGCGACGAGCCAGGCGGGCAAGCTGCAGAGAGTGCTTCTGGCCATGGCGGTGAGGATTGATCGCTTCGTCAGGGGCGTATCTTTCCGCTAAAAAGAGTGGCTCTTGGACGAATCGGTGCTCATTCATCCGTCAGGCTGAGAAACAATCTTTTTTCGACTTGTATGTGGAACCCTATGTCGGGGCTCTTTCTGACGGTGTCTTGGCAATTATGATCGTACGTCTATCGAGCCTCGGCTTTGCCCCTGGGGACACGTTCCTCGCCGCACGCTGTCTTCGTGACTTCTAAAGGATCGAAAGGCGCAACCATTGCCTGCGCGCTCAACACCGTTGCCTGATTGGGTCAGGCAACCCCCAGCGCCTGTTCGGACGTCTTCATCTTAACCTTTGTGTGCTGCAGACCGCTTTTCCGCGGGCCTTGGAACGGCTCATCTTGTACGGCCTATCGCCCGTCGCTGCGGAACTGCTGACGAGTCGCTTCGACGACTTTGACAAATTGGAACCGAGAGAAGCAGCAGCCGCCGATGACCCGCTCCAGGTTGAGTCGACGGCTGCCTTCTTTGAGCAGTTCTACTCCGTCTTTGAGGACCGAAACGCTGCGATGGGCGCGTTGCTTGACGGCAAGGAAGCATTTGCTGCCCAGGTGAGTAGAGAAGGGCGCTGCGGAACTCTCTTTGGAGTGACCCTTGCCAAGACCGATGTTGAGGACCCTACAGCGTGGTCCGTCATGCCAAAGTCATCATGGGAAACCAAGTGGCATCCTTTAGTCCGGCCCAACTCGTTTCTTTGTGTCCATTTTTGTTTTCTATTGCCTTTTGCCAGACGCGTAGTGACGAATGAAGCGGCTTACAAAGTGGTAACGTCTGCAGGCTCTACGGGACGTGCTTAGGGACCTGCAAGGTGTCGACGATGTCAGTGCCCAGTCCGGCATGAGGAAGGAGCCAGTACGGCGGTAAGGATCACCCGAAGGTCATTATGTGCAGCTTCTGTCGCGTGTGACGAGTAGAATACGGGAACAACGGCTGTCTTCACTCACAATCACCAGTGAGAGAGCATATATACTGCAACCTGGATAGTACAGTGTTGATCCACCATATTGCGGTACGTAATGTGGAAGTCGAAAACTGCAACATATCCAAATCAGTCACTGTTGTCCACGGTTGCCATGACTCCAGATGTTATGCGCTTACAGGACCAATGGGCTGACAGCATGAAGTCTCCCCAGACTCGAGCTCTAATAAATGTGATGGTTGATGCGGGCCAGGATCCAAATACTGGTCGCAGCTGCGCACATGTGGTCATACACACCCGACAGGGTCGGACGCATATATACTAACATGTTCAATATAGCTCAGAAGCTCTACCGCGTCTAGCTAGCTTTTCTGACATGTTTAATGCGTCGTGGCGCATGCCAATTGACATATACCGATATACGACCATGCTGGAATGAGTGATATCTAGCTCAGTCACTGCGGGCGGCCCCCATGCAATACTATAGCATGCCGGGCCACCATATGTCATCATGGCATGGCTCTTCATGATGATACCGCGGCCCTATTTCAGCGGTGTGCGTCGCGGCGCGCCGCGTTATGGATCAAGCCGAGCTAATACGGTCAGCGAAACGCGATCCCGCCAGCACATGTACCACTCGTTCTTCGTAAATTCGACGTCCATCACATATCCACCAACCAAGATTGTCGAGGCACTCAACAATTATTTTGCAAATGATTGTCTTGCGGTATACTTGGTAGCTCATTTTTTGTACAGTGACATCAGATTGATCGGATGGCGCCCTGTGCATGACAAGTGACTCGCGGACCATAAGCATGCGCGCGACTTTGCCAGTCAACCTACGTGACTATCCCAAAATGTAATCAGTTGGCCTTCTCAGTTGCGCCGAACAGCTTGGCTGTTGGCTGTCGCCTTGCAAATGGGGCTGGGAGCGCTGATGTGAAAAAAATTGAGTACAAGGGCAGTCCTGCTGTACATCTACTGCTTACGATTCCCAAATGTGTGATTACAAACGACTCAATGTACAGAGCAGACACAAACTAAGAATCTGAAGATTTCTCCAGCAGTTCACTCAATTGGGTTTGCAACTTGGGCGCCATCTTGCCCAGAACTATCCTGAAACCGACCGAACAGCCCCCGTCGCCTAAGCTCCTCTGTATTTGCTCCTCTGGATCTGCAGACTCCTCGTAAGAAACCGTCCCCGCAGTGGTTCCCTCACTCTCGGAAGTGCTCGCTGTTTGCGGCGCAGAACCGGCGTCCTCTTTCCACTCCGGCAGACTGCCCACCCGCTTGCCCTTCAGGTAGGCTGCCAAAGCACCCAACAGGGCGGGGGCGCGGCGCCGGTAGAAGCACTGGACCAGCTCCTCGAAATACTGCACCAGAATGAGCAATACGTTCGTACGCAGATCATGTGCTGTCTTTGACATTGATTTCAAAACTCTTGATCAACGAAGTTCTTTGGGCAAGCACAACTGCTGCAATGCTGCGGGCTTACTTGCCTAGCAACTATGAATGTGCTGCAATGTCACGTGTAAGCTCGACTTTCAAACCGCTTCTATTAGAAAAGGGAAACTAAGTTCCACGAGAGCGACAAGCGTCCAGAACCCGCTCTAGCCTTTGGTTCAAGCTCTCGACTTCACTTGCCACCTGTAGAGCGTTTTGAAACAAAATCAAGGTACAAGTAGTCTCACCTGCGGCGGCCGCCGGATGAGGTACTGCATGGACTTGCAGACGAGCAGGTACGCGCTCTCGTTGTACACCAGCGAGTTCTTCTCGCCCTCGATGGTGCCCTGCTGCTTCTCGTAGCCGGCCTCGTTGAAGTACGGCTTGGGCACCAGCACGAGGCCCTGCAGCGAGATGAGCACCTGCAGCCACACGCGGCCACGTCAGCACGTGGAGGAATGTACCGCGGATCCGAGAAGACTACAGAGAGCAAAGCAGGCGAGAAAGGCGGGACGGACCTCTGAGACCGCTTTTTTACGACGAAGAAGAGGGCACTGTAAGAAGCGGGAGTCACAGAAGCGGACAACCTTTAGGAAGCCGTTGCGAAGCTTGCAAACCTTTCGCCCTTGCGTTCCTGGCATTCCTGGCCCACTTTGAACATCGGCTTAGCAGGATAGAAACGGGCATCTTTGCCTTTCGGCAGGCAACCTCTTCAGATCCCATCGTTCTCAAAAATAGGCAGGTGCTAAATCTTCACCGTGCCTGTCTCGTTCGCGACAGGAAGAGCAGAGCACGACCTCCAAAGACGGCATTCTCCACACGTGCACTGAGAGCGGCGGCTGCGTACCTGCAGCATGGACGACGTGGCGTCCCAAAGCTCGGTCCCCTTGCCGTTCCAGGTGTTGAGCAGGCTGAGGCACACTTTGCCCGACTCGTACAGGTTGGGGTTCACGCGCAGGCCGCCCGAGTGGTAGTGCGCGAGCGGCGGCGCGTTGGGGTACTCGGGCGGGAAGTGGAAGTCGAAGAAGAAGAGGTTGTCGTGGTACGGCGTCCCCGCGGCTCCGACGATCACGGCGCGCAGCAGATCCATGCGGCCCTCGTAGACTTGGAGGTAGATGCTGTCGGGGAGACTCGCTTCAAGGGCGGCCCACTCCGTCTGAATGCGCTTGGCCCACCGCCGCGGGTTGGTCGCCTGCAGGAGGGGCGGCGGGATGAGAATCACGCAGTGAGTGAGGGGGGTTTTGGGCGGCGTGAAAAGAGGTCGGAAGCTCAAAGTGAGGCTAGGAACCTGCGTACTCCAAGAAGAGAGTGGTGATCCATGAGAGCAACTGTAATATCCGTGTTGTAGCGCCGAAAGCTCTATCTAAATACACATGGGAAAGTTCGACCATCTGAAGCAAAGATATTGGCGACGGAGAACCGCCGCTCTTTCTTCACTGCGAACTGGGCGGCTAGGGTACATATATTCAGGCGGCTCTAAGAAAGATCTGGGCCAGAAACCACCGTTTCCATGCCGTTTGACAGGTAAACCTTGTCTCAGTCTGCTGAAGAGCAACGAAAACGTCGCCGCGCAGGATTTGCACCTGCCCCGTTTGGTCCAGGAACTTGTGGTCCTCGGGCGCTGTTGGCAGCAGCTCGAAGTGCTTCAGCCCGCGCAGCTTCTCCCCCGCCGCCTGCACCGCGGCCGCCTGCTTCTCGGTCAACCGCGGATCGGGCACGCCAGGTGCGCTCACTGACGTCTCGTCCGTCCTCTGAGTCGGCCTCGTCAGCGGCCAGCTCATCTCGATCCCGCCCTGGTAATCAGGCCCAGCTGTTGCAGTCGCAGCAGAATCGACAGAGGGTTCCACGGGCACTGACGCCTCGCTACCTGACAAAGTGGCCAGAGCTTCAACTTCCATTCTTGGTGCACTGCTCAGCGGAGGAGCGTCCAGGCACGGCTCTGGCGCCTCATCTGACGCCACTGCTCCCAATTCCACCGCCCCACTTTTGCGTGCCTCCGCCGCTCCCCCCTCGTTTTCCCTCCCCGCATTAGCATCCTCCGTCTTCTCTGCTTCTGCGGCCGTTTCTCCTCCAGCCCCCGTACCGGCAGCATCCGGGCTCGGGGCCCCTTGCGACACACTCACCCCCTCCGCCCCATACATGAGCCACCCACGCGCCACCCGGCCCAAAAAGCGCAGCCCCGCTCCCGGCAGCCCAAGAGCGCCCGGCGATGCGCTCAAGGGGTTCGGCGGCGGCTCGTACCGGGACCCGATCCCTGGCCGAATCGCTTCGACGTTTGGTGGCTGGCCGGAGGGTCCGGCCAAGCCGTTCAGATTGGCGGCAGGGAGGGCCGGGAAGTCGTCAGCGGTCCACAGCGCCTCTTCTCCGAAACGAGACGTGCCCATGCTACGAGGAGCGCTGCCATCGAGCGCGGCGAAAGTCGCCTCAGCCTGCTGCCAGCGCTGGACCACCTGCAGAGCAAAGATCGTGTGAAGGGGTGTGGCCCGTGCTGCTGCGATAGGGGAACCGAGTGACGTATGCTTGCCGCTAACAATGACGAGGGGGCAAAATGAGAGCAGCTATGTGAATCCTCGATCTAGCTTGCTGGAGATAGCTTCACCAAGCAGGCAGCGGAAAAGGAAATCTTAGAGCTCACCGCTCGAGACAAAGAAACCCTATTGCCATGGCTGAAGAAACGCTCATTTGTGCCTTGCGCAAAGGGATTTTCAAGACCCAGCGACGCGTGCTACCGAAGCCTATTCCAGCAGCCCACCTCGTTGGCCGGGTCCTCCGGTGGCGGCCCCTCCTGCTCGCTGCCGTCCCCCGAGAGCGTCTCCCAGCTCTCGGCATCCTCCTCGTCGGAGCCGTAGAAGCTCTCGTCCTCCACTTCCTCGTCCCCGTCGTCCTCGCTGCTGGCCACCAGAACGTTCTGCGGCCCGACCCGCGACACCACGCCGTCCGCCCACGCGACCGTGATGAGGCCGTCTCGGAGCGCTACGATTTCGCCGACGTACTCCAGCTGTGGCGCGGCGGGGCTCGAGCTGGTGTCGGAAGTGGGAGGGATTTCGTCGCTGGGGTTGAGGATGGTGCCGCGCGTGGCGCCGGGCAAGCGCGTGACCACGTCGCCCAACCTGCGGCCGCAACAAAGCGTTCCGAGTTGGCGAACTGAAAGCTTGCCGTGTCATCGTGTGCACAAAAGGTCGGCAGGAACCCTGGCCTTACTCGTTGACGAGTTCTCTAGAAGCTTCATAAAGAGAAGGCAGGAGTTTCCGAAACCTATGACAAGCGCATGAAGTCGATCGCTGGCTAAAGCGTCTAAGTCTGAAAGAGGCAGGACGACACCTTGCAACCACGTTGCCTAGGCTTCGCTGCAATGTCTGGAAGTGATCAGTCTGTCAACAAACGTTGTAAGTAAAGCAAACACTCTGACCAAGCTAAACTCGTGCTGGGCAGATCGTGAGCAGTGCTTGCCCTCACCTGTAGTCGTAGTCGGGATGCTCTGCCAGCTCATACACGCTGACCACTTCCTCGGGCCCGAAGCGCAGGGGCTGCTCATACTCGAGTTCGCCCTCCAGCCACTTGACGACCGCGGTCCGCTCCTTGGCGTTCACCGCCTTCACCAGGCACTGCCGCTCCTTGCCCTCCTCGCTCGGCTCGCGCTCAACCACGTACTCCTCGGGCCAGAAATCGTAGTCTCCTGTACCAGAGAAAGTAGCGTTAAGGAGAAAGTGAAGAAGCAGCCGGTTCAGCGCCTTGCATTTCGCAAATCAGCAACAACTGAACGGATACGTTGGGCATCTCAAAGCCTTGTGCCAACAATTTGAACGCCACTTCTGGCAACAAGTTCCTCTGAGGTCGACATTGCACAATTGCTTCTTCTGACTAGGTCACAATCTCCAGCCTCAACAAGCGAGCACAACAGAGAAACAACGTCAACTACCACGTCATCAGTAGGCCGAACCTCAAGATGGTACCCACTGCTCACCCAGGTCCTCCACTGGGAACAGGTCCGCCCCCCTGAGCCCCTCCGCCTTGCTCCCGTCCTGCCACAGCACCGCCACCGTCGTCCTCGTGTTCACAATCACGGCCGCCGCCTGCAGCTTCACCTTCTCCTTGGCCGCGGGCCCCTTCTGGTTCTTGGCTCGTCGCCGCTCGCGCTGCTGTGCCCGCTTCTGCGCACGCTTGCGCCCCTTTCCCTCAGCAGCCGGGCCGTGATCAGTTTCCTGGCCGGGACCAGCGCCCGGAGTGCCAGAGGAAGAGGCAGCCCCGGAGGGTGGGGAACTAGACGCGGGAGAGGCAGTGTCCGGCGCCTTACCTGCCCCTTCAGACTCGTCAGCAGGGCCGTCTGCAGGGGACGCCTCGGCCCCCTCCGCAAGGAGATCTGGAAAGGAGAGAAAGAACATCAGTCGCGTTTGACTTGAAAGTGATAGAGCTTGCAGCAGTGCCACCGGGCGACGCAACGAACAGCTTGACGGTCCCTTCAAATGCGTTCACGCTCACCAGGAATCTATGAACGCTACTGCTAGAAACAACAAATCGTCGTCAGCAAGGCCCTTACAGCCCTCCGTACACCAGACGAAATCCCACGCAGATTAGATTGAATATAAACTCCACCCTTGTTTCGGCAGGGACTCTTGAGTGGTGCACTGCTCACCTTGGGGCACAAGGCACCTGTCCCCGAGCTGGAAGTGCGTGTAAGCGAAGTAGGTCAGAGGCGTAAGGGCAGACCCCGCAATGACGTCCGTGGGCGGGTTCAACAGGTCGCCGTTGCCACTTGGCATCTGCAGTTGCCGAAGTGAGTCAGAAGAAGTCAGGGTGATGCATCAAGGACGAGTAAGCCAATTGATAACCAGTGGGAGATGCATCCATTTGTTGATTGGCCCTCAGGCTTATAAACATCGGACTTGCTCCAATCTGCAGGTTTGCAGGCACTTGCTTGTTCCATTGCAATAGAGGTTTCCCAGATGACTTTCAGGAAGAAGATCATGAAAGCAAGGCATACCTTGACACAGGTGCGCCAGGTTATGGTGATAGACCCGGGCTTGACTTCTTTCACAGTTCCCGTTTGCTTGTTTGGACTCCAACTGCCCTGCAACCACTTTGCCGTTCGAAAGGTGGAACCTGGGTTGTAGGCGCGAACAACCTGCAGGCATCGACTGCTCATCATCAAGGCTGGGGACATGCACGACAAACGCCTGGCTAAGTCTGCAAGCAAAAACTTGCTCAACAAGGTCACGAGATCCAAAATAAACATATCGTGATCTGACGTAGTGTCTTAACAGAGGCAAGCAAGTAATGAGCAGCCATGAGACTGCAGGCAGGTCGAACGCCATGCATCGAGATGCATGCCCTCACCTGGCCGGGCCAGTACGGGCACATGTTCTCATCATCGGCTGCTGAGAGGGCCACTGGGACCACCACCGGGTATGCCACGTCCTTAACTTCGCACACGCCCCCGTCTTCAAAGCAGATGACGAGGTCGTCCAGCACCTCCTCAATCTTCCCAAGCCACTGCTGGTACATGACATAGCAGCCGACGCTGAACTTGCGAATCTGGCCCAGCCGCTTGGCCGAGACATCTTGGATTAGCGTGCCGTTTGAGAGCTTGAGGTCTACCGACAAGTCAACGTCCACTACGGTGCCTGACTGGCCCAGGGGGTTTGCCGACACGCCAACAATATCTCCGTGCATGAGAGACCTGTCGACCAGCGTGAGCTTGCTGCTGTCCACAATCTCTTGGTTATCAGGTTCCTCATGGTTGCTGTCTGAGGCACTCTCTGGCTGTCCGATCCAGCAGACCTCCACCTGGCCGGGCTCGAGCGGCGCGTCATCCTCCTCGTATTCGTCCTCGTCCTCCTCAAACTCTTCGTCGTTATGGACTCGCGTGACGACTCCGATCACGCTCGGGTTTTCTGGATCGCAAACGATGTCTTCCGTGTGGAGTCTCTGCATCAATTGAAAGAACCAAGTAGCAGCATTGAGCACTCATGTCGAAAAGCAGTTTGCAACGAAAAGCTCTGTGCAGCCTGCCTCAACAACTGCTGATTGAACGACGCCACCAGCATTTCTTCTTGAAAGTCCAATGACAGAAATTTTAGAGTCATTTAGGAGGAAGGTGGAACTGCAACGGCATCTCTGCAGAGCGGCAGGACCGTTAGACATCACCTCTCAAACCGTCAGCTACAAACCACAAAATCCAGGCAAGATGACCATCCTTACCAAGGATAATCTTCTCTCACGGTCTTCAGGATTGCTTCGGCTGCCGACTTGAGCACCGATTGCTGGAGTCATGGCCACCAAAACCTAGAAACCCTTGTGGTAAGTGACCCGTCCCACTTTTGTCCAAGAACGGGTTAGCTGTGGCGAGCACAACCTTCTCCAGCCAGGACTCCTCAGCTCCGGCCCCGGCAGAAGCACAACAGGCGCTGTGCTGTCAGTGTCATGCACGCTTGCTTGAAGTTTTGTCACTGCATGAGTTGAAAAGTCATGAAGAACTCGCGACAATCATCTCTCTTTGAGTCCTTTCAAAGTTTACCCGCCACAATTTCTGCACTCCTAGCTGAGGACAGGAAACCCTAACTGCCCTGCTAACCCAGGGGCAGACGAAATGTTGCACACACGCCGGCCGTGCACTACCGGGCGCATTGAACCCTCATTCAAGTGTCTAGCTGGGCGTGGCTGGGCGGGCCTTGGTCCACGTTGGTCCTGGCCGGGGCTTTGGCACAGGATTAACAGTATTAAATGTTAACCTGATTCAGTTTTGGCCTCACCTCCTGAGCTGGCCACCTTGCATTGCAAGATGAATCAATGTGAAGCGCTGCGCAGCTGAATCTTAGCATCGAGGGCGCTGTTTCTTCTGAAAGTATGAAGCTTTCCAGTTTTCTATCGTCTGGGCAAGCACTTTATTACGCCATCTGAGATCAAACCGTTGATTAAGGTAGTCCCATGAACCTTTGAGGCCATCTTTCACACGTTCCTTTGATCCGTTCAGTTGACGTTCTGCTGGCGTTGAGCTCATCCTTTCGGATTGCTTTCCATCTTGCATAGAATCTGCGGAATCCAGCACATTTAGTGCCTGGCTCTTGACAAAAACTTGCTTGCCGGTCAGATGCCCGAGAGTCACTCCCTCGCAGTGCCCCAGTCCGCAAATTAGTACGCTACATTGCACGGCCACTTCGCAAATCCAAAAGCGTCAATGTGCACCCACGCACCACCTCTCCGCGAGGTAGCGTAACTTTGAATGCAGCGCCGCGGCGTGCTTGGCCCCAAGTCCCGTCCCCGACCCCGAGTCATGTCGAACGTTGTGCGGAACATCGCGGGGTTCCCTCGGAGCCTGGCCGGCAGGGTGGGCATGATCACCCTGCTTGCCGTGGTCCTGATCAGCACTGCGGCGCTCCAGGTGGCGCTGCCCTGCAAGCCAGCGCTAGATAGGGCCGACCTATCAGAGTTTGGAGACACGGGCAAGATCCTCGTCGTGATGGTCTTTGCAGGTAGGTGTGGTGCTCCTTCTAGATGGCTGCAAGGATCCGGTGGCTGCGCGCTGTGTGCGCTCATTCTCAACGTGAACAAAGTAACAGAGGTTCTGTGAATGAATACGTTTGTGAAAGGGAGCTGGTTGCTCGCCCAATGCAAGCCGGTGCAGTAGCTGCCAAGATGATGTTCAGAGCCTAAAAAGGCATACAACCATGGAGCAGCTTGATTTCTGTCTGGCAAGTTCGAGTGGGTTTCTGATCTCGATCAGCTGTTTTCTCTTGCAGGCAACCAGCTACAAAAAACAATCACGGCCTTAGAAAGATGGGAGACCGTCACTCCGTGCTCGTCTGACACGACCAAGTCGCTAGCACACCTGATGCTTTATACAGACGGGGAGCTAGGCGAATCGGAAGGCACCTTGAAGAACACAATCAATGGCTTGGCCAGTATCAAAAAGTGCTTCAAAGAGGTGTCTTACGCATCAGCAGCGCTTACGGTGAGCTTCATTACTTCATTGCGCCTTGGGTTGCTTTTGAGACACATCCCCTGCAAAGGTGCAGCTGCAGAGGGTAGCTCTGTCAGGGAGATAGCTCAGTTGGAACACGTACAAGGCACTAGCGAAGCCATCAACTTTGTCAGTAATCCATTTTTCAAGACAAGAGCTCTGGAATGCGAGATTCGCAGCTTTGCTATTTCAGAGTGGCAAACGCGTTATCAAGCCTGCAGCAGAAAGGCAAGTGATCGATGTTCACTCCTTCATACCTCTTATCATGCTGATGTGGCACCCATGCCTCATCCTGGAACATGTGCATCTCAAATCCTCTGTGAGGGGGCCCAATACCATGCCCGTCCGATTTTCTTGTAGGGGGTGGACAATACATATGACAAGAAGAGGGAGAACCACCTGTGGGTGCGGGGACCAAACCAGCTGTTCTACACCATGATGCTCAAGATCGTGCCTGGGGAGGAGTGGGCCAACTCGGGCGTCAGCCACCTCTTCTGGATGGAGCCCGACAACATCCCTCAGCGTAACGACTGGCTGGAGCACCTGTTGGCCAAGGGGCGATCTGGCCCTTACTGGATTCAGGTAAGCCTCTTTTGTGATTCTCGGGAGGACCTCTCGTGCGGCTACAGCGATCCAACTGGCAAAATTGATCATTGGGTGGTCGAAAGAGAGTTGCAGGGGCAGCTCAAAAGATTCAAGCATCATAGCGGCCTACCAAGATCATCGTTCCAAACTCCAGCCGACCCCCCTTGAGTCAATCCGAACAAATGATTTGAGACAGTCTCCACGTCAACTGACTTGAGTGAGAGCTCAGTTGCCCTTTGAACCAATGAAAGATCCCATTCGACCATGTCGCATTGACCGTACTGACATGGTACACTATCTGGCTGGAACGAGAGCTGCAAGCATGTAACTTGGACCAGACAGTAGAGGCTGAGACAATGGCTGGAGACCCCAGCTTTATCCGGCCAACGCGGAACCTCGTTCCCCCTCCGCTTGCAGGGCAGCAGCTACCGGGGGGACTGCATCCCGCAGGAAGGTGGCGGCTGCGCGCTCATCGGGCGCGCGATCCGGGCGCACATCAACGGGAACGCCCTGTACCATATTGGCGACCCGTCCTTTTTGGACTTTGTGGATGAGGTCAGCGAAGGCGAGTGGAAGCACTGGCCGTTCGACCTGGCCATGCTTAAGGAGGTGCACGAGTCATGGCCCGAGCCGCGCTTCCGGCAGAACGTGCACCTGCTGCAGCTCGTCGACTGGATCCGCAACTACGGGCCCTATCCGGTGAGCGCTTGCCGCCTGGGCTGTGGTGCAATCTGTTGATGCGGACTTGTGCGACTGTACGGCCTTTGCTCGTTGGCCCAACCCGGGTTGCAAACACCATGTCAAGTAGTTCTGCGGTCATGCGGAGAGCCTGTTCTGTGAAAGAGTGTAACGAAAAGGCGAACTCGTCTCGTCGTCAGGAATGAATCCAATTTTCGGCTTGTCCTTTCGAATCGTTTCAGCTCTGGCCTCGTGAGTTACTCATTCCCGCATCAGCGTGCTGCACCCCTCAAAACGAGCGCCTGTCCCCCGCTGCAGTACAAGGCGGAAGATGTGCCCCGCCACGTCCTCTTCATCCACGCGGACCCCAAGCCCGCGATCAGCCAGGAGTTCAAGGGCACCTTCACGGAGTCCGAAACGGACTTGGCGGACAAGGCCGCGGCGCAAGCAGCACAAGAGACGGTGCAGCTCCGGGGGGAGCTCGAGCGAGTGAAAGCCGAGCTGGAGAAGGCGCGAGGGGCAGGAGCAGAGCAGAAACCGGCGGGAGATGCGGTGGCTGCGCGGCTGGGGAACGAGGAGACGCGCAGGATGCTGCTCCCGACACCGCTCATGATAAAGAGCCCCGCGGAAGAGATGCAAAGGTGGGGAAGTCAAACGATCGTTTGTGATCCTAAAAAGGTGTTCCGAGGAGGTGCAACCTGCGGCAAAGGAGCACTTGACAAAACCTGTACCTTCTCAATGCGGTCGAAAAGTTGGAGGACGCATTGATTGAACAGGTTGTGCGCGCTTCGATCATTCTTCGGTGACTCCAAACGGCAATCATTTCTCCATGTTCAAAGTTTCATCTCGTGTGTTGTTTACAAACTTCATAGCCCCCTCCTTTGTCCCCGCAGCTCGCCCGGCCTCGCCGCCGCGGCCACCCCCGAGGGGAACCTTTTGCTGGGGGTCGTGACGGCCGCCAACGCGCCGATGCTCGACAACTACGTGCGCCTCGTCGAGACGACCGGCGCAGCCCGGCACCTCGTTCTAGTTCCCGTTGACGCGGCCGCCGGGAAGGCCGCCACCGCTCTTTCGAAACGCGTTGGGGCCATTGTCCCGTTCAGCGGCGCGCCCAACTCGAGCGCGCGGGTGCAGACTCTGCTCTCGTTGCTGCGGCAGGGGTTCGGAGTGGTCGCTGCTGACGTGGATGACGTGGCGTGGTTGCGGGACCCGTTCCTGGGCTTCTCGAAGGAGTTCGAGCTGCAGGTGCCGGTCGATGCGCGGCAAGGGACGCTGGAGACGCGTGCGGGCCGCGAGTGGGATCCGTATGTGAGCGCGGGCGTGAGCTACTCGACGCCGACAGCGGCAGTGGTGGCGTTCTGGGAGAACCTGCTCAAGGTAGGTTGCGAGCAGTCCGGACGAGAGTGCGGCAAAACATTGCGCCGGCCCTTGCCTGATAATCTCTACCGTTTATAGTCACAAGATGGGTGCAGCATGTTTTCAAAGAAGAAAACCGTAGTGCGTTTTTTTTGATCGCCCGACGGTAAGCCAACTAACTACTGTAGACGATTATTCAACTAACTAGCAGAGCACTCAAATTGACCAGTAGGAATTCTTTCCTGACACGAGTTGACGCTTGGCTCGAACAGTCGTATTGAGATTCCAGGGAGGTTTAAAGGCAGCCGAAAAGATTGGTCTTGCTAGGGCTTGCTTGACCCCCGTACGTTCTGCCGGTGCAGGAGCTGGACGCTGATCCCGCAGCCGACGAGGGGGCGCTGCTGAGCCAGCTGCTGAAGCAGGCCGGGACGTCGCTCCTCTGGGGCACCCTCAAGCCCGCGCTGTTCCCAAACGGCCCGCACTTCTTCGAAGAGCATCTGCCTCAGGTGAGGCGGTTCGATTCGATGCATCGGGAATTGCGTGCGGTCAAGCAGCAGCGTGTCGCTCTTGCAGACGGGGACACTCCAGCCAGCCATGGGAGCGGGCTGGGAATCCTGGTGCTCCCTTCGTCGCATCAAGGTATTGTAAGAGCTTTGCCTGTGACATGTATGCCTTGGTTATGGCGGGGACAATTCTGGGTCCAAGTCCCTCACGTTGCAGTATCTTCCGATATTTCCTTAGAATGGCTCTTGCGAACGGAGCAATGCTGTTGTGTCAGTTCTTCTTCCAACGGCAAGCATACTGGTCTGAGCCGCTGGTCGCCGCATGCACCACGTGCGAACTCTACTCACCGAAAGACTTGCGGTTCGCTTTCTTATCTACAAGAGATAAAGCGTCCAACAGTTACGCGCTACAAAACGCCGGAGGCGATTGCTAGCGGCACAGCACTCTGATCGCGAGCCGCTCGGCTCCGTTGATGTCCCCCGCTTCAACCTTAATTGACAAAAGCGCACAGGCATCGTCGCTGAGCTTCTCCATCTCCCCTCTGCGACAGGCGTCCGGCGCGGACCCAATCGCAGTGCTCAACGATTGGGTTGCCCCAGCCTCCAAGCGGTACCGGCTCCGCGAGGCTGGCCTATGGGCCCCCGCCGCACCCGCCCCGGATGCCAAGTACCTCACGTACTTCGATGCGATCGAAGAGAACGGGCTCAACAACCAGCGGCAGGCGTTCCGCAACGCGCTCGCGATCGCGCGCGTCTTGAACCGCACCCTCATCATGCCGCGATTCCACCGGCGGCACCGGCAGGAGTCTCCGGTGCCGATGGACTACTTCTTCGACGTCGGGCGGTTCGAAACGGAGTTCCCGGAGGTGCAACCGCACCATTTCCTGGAGGAGGCGTTCCCCTCGTGGGAGACCCTGCCCGTACAGGTGCGCACTGTGAATGATTGGAGAAACGAAGTTGCGAGGAAGAAACGGGCTCAGGAAGGACGTTATGTCGACCGTCAATTCCCATTTCACAAGAACACCATCCTGAGTAGAGCACAGCAATAGTTTCAACGAAGGTCTGCCGGACGTACGAGTGCTACTCTCGGCCCTTTAACCCGGCAAACGTTCAGGTATTCCTTTGTCGCACGCAACTGTCCAATTTCCAAAAGTACTGGTCACTTACACCTGCTTTTCGTGCTCCAAGCATGAGCCATCTGCCACAATAGCTTCTCGGCGCACAAAGGTCCCTCCTTCTGCGTCAAGCTTTTTCAAAAGCAGCCGTCCTGGTCCGCCCAGGTGATGGACGTTGCCATCCCGCCCGTCCCGTCGTCCGCGCCGTGGCTCGACCGCGCGGTCATCGTGAAGCCGGAGCGCGAGTGGCATGGGGCGTCGCCGGCGGAGCTGCGTGGGTGGTACGGAGCCAATGAGGATCCGCTGCTGGTCTTCCACGGCCTCTTCCGGCGCTTCGACAAGTTCGACGACCCCGACGAGCATGTGAGCGCACGTCTGTGGCTTGAGTGATTTGAAGTTCGCCAGAAGTTTCAAGCTTCGAGCACCGTGTCAGCCAGAGTGGCAAGGCAGAAGCGACTTCTGATTGCGCTGAAGGCTCGGTTGTTATTGGTGAGATATGAGGTACGTCTCTCGTCCTTTTTAGCCACCATTTGCAGTGTGCCCAGCGTGCAGAAGAGACTGCCCTTCCTGAGCTTGTGACTCGAAACGCTTACTCATACAAGTCTTACCGTCCTTCTATGTCCAGGGCGTGCCGGTTGCGGTTGCTTCGAATCTACCAAGACACTCGGGCTCCGCGTTTTTCCTCATCGTTCGTTATCGTTTCGGCTTGCAGGCGCGCTTCAACGAGCAGATCCACCGCGCCGTGGTGCCCATCAACCGGACCCTTGAGATCGCCGACCACGTCAGCCTCGCGGTGGCGGAGGCGTCCCCCTCCAAGAGCTTCGACTGCTTCCACCTGCGGCACAGCCAGGAGTTCCTGGACAGCCAGCGGGACTGGGGGATCGTGAAGCCGCTGGATGAGATCGTGCAGATCCTGGTGAAGAAGATGCCGCCGTCGGAGCGCACGCTATACCTTACGACGGATGTGCCTACCCAGGAGACGAGGGACGCTTTCCTCGCTGCGGGGTACCCCACCGTGGCGTTCCTGTACGACCACTTCCCGAAGTGGGAGCTAGCGCACGTGCGGACGCTAGAGGGGGAGGTGACGATGAGGGAGGGCCAGATCGACCAGCTGGTGTGTTCGCGGGCGCGCACTTTCATCGGGAACGAGTACTCCACATTCACGTGGCACATAGCGTTCCTCCGGCAGCAAGCGGGCTTAGCCCAGGTTAGCGAGGACATCTATGACAGGAGCCGGCAAGGGATGGAATTCCTGTAGCGTCTGCAAGTCTAGCTACAGCTGCACTGAAACTCTGTGCCACTTGGCCATTTTCTCTTTGTTCTGGGTTGCCAATGTAAATTATTACCAAGACCTTGCAAGGCAACCTTTGCAGCTTTGGCAAGCGAAGTGCTGTTGGTCAGGTTCTCATTCATGACTGCATGGTGACTTCGCTTCAAAACCATTCCACTTTCTGCGGTAATGGCCAGGGCCGCAAGCAACTGTATCATACATGCTATGATGTGTATGGTGACGTCGGGAATTGATGATTGCCGTCAGCCTATATAGCAATCAGCATGGCCGGCCGCCTGAGTCATGCAATATAGCAGCTATATTGCATGTACCTATAATGATGACGGCTAGTTATATATATAGTATACGTCGAGGTAAGTGCCAGAAATTGTATCGGATCGTTACGATAACATGCGAATTTGTCGCCGCGCGCCCCGGCAGCCACTTCAATGGTGGCCGGCCCAATTTTGAAGCATTAGCTAGTATGGCTAGCTAGCTTATATCCGCGCGCGTTACCATCCGATTGATTACGAGTATATATGACGGTGCACGACATGCTCTCCATGCATGGATCGACAATTGCGAGCGCGCGTGCTACTAAACATTCAATCGTGCCAGATCTGGCTGGTTAATGTGCTAAAAACCTGACGGCTGACCATGCAACCATATGACGGTGGCGGGCGGCTGGCTCGCGACTATATAGGCCCATGTTACATTTCTTGGATAGCTGTTGGAGCGTACTCGGGCTGCAGGGCGAATGTCAATCTCAATCATGCTCGCTGGCACATAGTATCGCACGGCCTGAGTCACTTCTAACATTCGTCCATGCTCGGAGTACCGAATATGAAACTTCACCTAAGTGTTTTCCGACACCTTGCAGCACAGCATACACCTCAATCCGACTAACTGAATCCAATCAACTTGGTCTAAATCGGAAAATGATCCCGAATCCCAATCTGAAGGTTGCACGGAACCATCGCCATTACCTTATCAACAAACACCTGAAGCGCCCCAAACGCATCGGCTCTTCACAGGAGGACTTCTTTATAAACACCGGATCAAATCGGACTTATTGCCGGCCTCCTGGCATCCAATTCAGAGTGACCAACGTTGTTGAGAAGATAGCACTTAGAACTACGTAGGCGAAAAACCCCCTGCTCGTCACAAGCAACCAGATCGCAATTACCGAGCTAAGCGTGAACAAAACGTACCCCACCACTGCTTGTAGCATTGAGATCTCCCCCTCGTCAATCTGACGCGATGGAAATGCATTCCTCTTGTAGAACTGTTCGAGCTGTAAGTGAACCCGAAACGTTAGCACGCGAGCGACGATCTCAAGGAGATCGTGGCAACAGAGAGGTCAAATCCCATCGAAAATTGAAACCAGAAAGGGCACGAGAAGTTCGAAGTCGCATCTCCACCACTTCACGTGGGCTTGGATTGCAGAAAAGCCGTTGTGCTTACCATCTCATCCTTCCGTTTGAAGACCCCATACATCCACGTGCTCGCTTCGTCTTCTTTAGATGGGATCGCTGCGGGCAAAATCCGTCTCACATCGATGTGCACCTCCGCCGGGTCCAGCCCGAACAAATTGTCCACAAACGTCGGCGGCCGAGGTACATACGCGACTGTCAGATCATATACTGCACAGAAGAACGAGCATCAGATCTGCTCGTCGCCTGCAAGTTGTTTGTAGTCCATCGGCTGCCACACAACACCACGGAACATACTCTTCTTACTTAGTGCTGGTAGCTGTCCTTAGAGGAGAATGACTTTCGTTTTAAGAAGCAAACACTGCTGGTTTAACAAGGAGCCCGACTGCAGGGGTAGCACCAATTGACGTCAGATGGACCACCGGGCGAAGTCTTACCAGCATCAATAGCGTCCCGTACTGGTTCAAGGCATGCATGGAATCCCTTTACCCGTGGGAGAAGGCAATGTTCCAACACCGGCAGGTTGTGCTCACGCGCGTATGCCTGACTCCTCTCCTTCTTCTTCTGGCTGGAAAGCAACGGTTGAAACCATAAATGAGCAGATCAATCAGGACGCGGTTTGTAATGATGCGATCACTTAACTTTCAAAGACTTGGAACCGAGAGCCGTAATCCTTCCAGGTAAATAGATTTGGGAGACTGACTTTGAGTGCAATGCTTCCTGATGCTTATGATGTCTTCCTTGAAGCAAGTAAGATAAACAGACTTAAAAACCAAGAGGGCGCCCCCCTTACAAGCAAACGATAGTTACACGAGACCTGCAGATCAAAAATCGTGGTGATTCATTGATGGGCTTGGGCAGAATGTAATAGGAGGTGGTGGTCAGCTCCAACAAAGCGCCAGCACGGCGGCAGGGGCACTCACTTGAAGTCGGTGCCTTCCGGAAAGACCACCTCCCACAGGGGATCCCTCCTGTTGCGGAACGAGCTCATGACGGTGCGGATGGTGTCCTTGTCTAGTTCCCACTTCCTCTCGAGCAGCAGGAACTCCATGCAGTGGAACGCCCAACCAAAGATGGGGGCGTGCCGCACGGTCGCCTTGAGCGCGTATTTAACGGCCCCCACGCTCTGCTTCCGATACGCCAGGCACCAGAGGTACATCCAGTCAACTTCCGTCAGGTGGTTGCACATGATCAGCACGCGCTCCTTGGGTGGCACGCTCTCCCCGCTGAACACCAGCTTGGTCCCGTTCACGTACTCGAACATCAGCACCCACATCGAGAGCCAGTAGCCAAACAGGTGCGAGGCAAAGCCACGGCCCCAGCTCCATTTGAGAAGTCTGAGAAATGCCCAGATCGGGATGCAGGAGGTGAGGAAGATGAACGCCGACACGACGAGCAGCGCGAGCATCAGGACGCCACGCAGAGCTCGGAGGACGGTAAGTGGCCGATGTGTCGGGGGCTTGCCTACAGGTGCTAGTTGTGCGCTCTGCGAAGCAGCCTCAATGGGGGTCTGGAGCTGCCCGTTTGCAGAAGCCTCCGGCTGGCTGCCTGGATCAGACGCCATGGCGGTTCCTGAAGAGAAGGGGGCTCATGCAACAAATCAAACCAGAATGCTGGAACAGAAGAACGGCCGCTCCGACTGGGGCACACGGCCACAATAGGGCACTGCTCAGGCCAATGCTGAAGATGCTGGCGACGGTGGTAGATCCGCTAAGATCCTTTGCAAAGCGAAGGTGGTACTGACGTCGAGAATTTCGTGATAAGCTGATGAGGCGCCTGAACCAATGCTATGTGCTCCCTCCATCACTCCACGAAACTGCAGCCTCAGGCCCAGGGGCATGGAGCTCGTGCAGCGTGCTGGCATTGGCATTGGCATCTGGGATTGAAGCTTCTCGTCGACTTTATAATTCATGCTTCCGCATTGTGCAATCAATTAAACGTCGTCGGATATTACTCCAATGTATCCAACAAGTTACAATTGTCCTACACTAGATGCAAGAATAACTCTTTAATCACACCTAGAGAGATAATTGTGTATACCGGTAACTCTCGTGTGACCTAACGGGCGTGTGACCTAAGATACGAGTAACCCGGGCACCACAAACTAAAAACCTAACCCAATTAATCACCCGCTCCGCACCCTAACCCACCCTAACCACCATACCAACCCCACCCGTCCCCCGGGTACCTATCTTAGGTCACACGACTCTTAGGTCACACGAGAGTTATCGGAGTTAATTGTGTCATGCTCTAAGCCGTCACTTACACCTGCTGTTCTGATCCGTATTCCATGTTACCACGGCCTTACATATATTATGTTATATAATGTGATATTGAAAGTATGAACGAACGTTGAACTCGAGATGGGCGAGCAGCAGCTGCAGGACACAAATTGCTGCCAAATTTGCCTTGCCATGGCATTGGCGCAGCTAGCTGGCAGGGAGCTGACTCCTGAGCTTGTATTTGCGCAGCAAAACGCCAGGCAACAGGGTGATTAGGACAGGTACGAAGAAGCCATGATAGTAAAGAGAGGTTGCTTGCTGCCTCCTTATGCACCGTGAAAGGGCAGCATAGGGAACTGACCCACCCTGGAGGTTGGTGAAGGTGTGGTGGTGTATCGCTGATTAGTGGGTTTTGCGAGCAAAAACATGGCAAATAGGACGGACCCCCGTGCTCGGAACATTCATGGCACGAATCCACAGAATCTTGTGGAGAAAATTGTAAGATCAAAAATCTATTCTAATACATACTGGAGGGAGCACTGCTTTGGGCTGACAGGTAAGCTTAATAACACCAATCGTTGTGGAGATATTGTATCTGTGAGAAAGTCGTTGGCTTTGATGCCCATCTTTCTGCATTTTCCAAAACCTGCCCAGTAGCAAAATGTCAGGCGAGGGGTGCATCTAATTGTTGGAATTACAGGTAATTGAGGCCTCAGATTGCAGCAATTGAACTCACCGATGTCGTTCTCTAGCATGGATGTGCTATATGCCTGTTTTCAAGAAATCTTGTCTACCGACCTATTCCGCTCCCTCAGCTTGTAAGTCCTTCATCAGGAGCGTTGTTAGAAGCAGATTGGACCTTCCTAAAAGGTTGATAATGATTTTCACACAAGCAGGTTCTTGCATCAAATCCAGATGCTCTCATGATGAGTTGGGAGAGTGAAATCTTGTACTGTCACTGTCTACTCTTTTGGTGTCTCTACAGGAGATGCATCATAACGTCTTCTATGCACTTTCTCGATTATTTGGCAGGAAGCGGGTGGTGCAAAAAGGTCAAGAATGCCCAACGTAGGAGAATCATGCAGCACTTCATATTATTCTATTTTGGTTTCATTTCTTCAGCTGAAACCCTGGTGGACAAGGCCATGGAGCTGGACCACTTTGGCGGCACCTTCGGTGGCAACCGCAAGGCGACGCCCTTCCTCTGCTTGACCCTCAAGATGCTGCAAATCCAGCCAGAGAAGGAGATTGTCGTCGAGTTCATCAAGAACGAAGATTACAAGTGAGTCTCCCCTTGCAAATGTGTTCATGCCCAACCACCTCTCATCGAAGTGCTTACCTGACAGCTTCTGGCAGCATCTCCTTGCAGCGCCAATCCTTTCACAAACCGTCATCTATTAGTTGTTCAGTGCCCTGGGGGCTTGATTCCGCATGATTGAGCCGTACTGCACCTCGTAGAAGACTCTGATGAAACCTCCATACCTGTGCAGATATGTGCGCATCCTAGGCGCGTTTTATCTGCGCCTGGTTGGCAAGCCCACGGACGTATACCAGTACCTGGAGCCCCTGTACAATGACTACCGCAAGCTGCGCCAAAAGACAGCGGAAGGCAGTGAGTTACTGCCCCCTGTCACCAGAAATGGTTGCCAATCATGTCGACTGTGTTCCAATGTTCACCTACTTTTGAATCCAGTCAGAAACTATGCAGAGAGCTGAAACTATGAGGCACACCAACCTGACTGTTGTGCTTGCCTTGAACACTTAAGGCAAACTAAAGGCGCCTTCCATGGACCACTTTCATAGGAAGCGATGCTAGTCTCGTCGCACTGTTGGCACTTGTCGCCTTGTCAATTCAGCAGTCTCAATCTAGGCCGTCCCTTTGATGTTGCAGAATACATCCTGAGCCATGTGGACGAGTTCATTGACGAGCTCCTCACCCGAGACTCGCACTGTGACATCACTCTTCCCCGCCTGCCAAAAAGGTAATTGCGGTCGCTCCTGACCAACTTTTGTGACTCTCATGCTTGCTTAATGTCGCTCTTCTTGCCTCACTACAGGCAATTGGCCCATGGTTTTATGTCGTGCTGATAATTCTCAATGGAAGCGCATACCCTCAGAACCCCATCCGCTCGGTGCCTCTGAAGCTTAGTATAAGAACGGTCTTTTAATGTCATTCCGGCTTCGGATCCAAAACAATTGTGGCACTTCTCGTTTCGGCTAGTTGTGTTGCAGATGCGAGAACTCACAGGGGACTGCGGCCCTCTCACTAGCATGTCTGATGGTGCTTGTAAAGCTGGGCCAGTCTTAGATTTGTTCTGCTCAAAAACCCGGGAACATTCTTGTAGCTCCTTGTGCTCCCTGAACATATCGCATTCCCTGGCCAGGTATACTCTGGAGTCAGCGGGCACTCTGGACCCTCGGATAAGTGCGCTTGAAGACCATTTCGAAGAGGAGGACGACGAAGAGGAGGGGGAGGACGCCAACGGGGCTGCACCCATGGAGGTGGATAACGCGAGGGTAGGCACCCCGCACCGCTCAACCGGCAACGCAAGCGCTCACAAATCAGCGGCCTTGCTAGCTCGCTTCGACGTGACTCGAAATCAGTCCAACATTTTTAAATACAATCTAGCGAGTTCAGGTCTCCGGCTCCTTGTCCGCGAGCTTGCCACAAGAAAAACAAGTGCACAAATGGGCAGAAGATGAGGCAGGTGGAGTGCTTTTACCGACGGAAGACTGCAAAGTGGTGTTTGTGACGATGATCTGATTTGTCTGCAGGGCCATCACGAGAACGATCGAGACAAGGACCGAGAGCGGGAGCTGGACAGGGAGAGGGATCGACACCGGGATCGGGATCGAGACAGGGACAGAGAGCGCGACAGGGAGCGCGGCCACCACCGAGAAAGGTGACGAGGCTCTCTCATCGCTCTTACAGAGCTCTTTCCGTTGGGCGACGGTTGGCGACTGCGTTGATGGGAGCACACCCTGACGACCGGGGTTTTCAAAGTTGCCAAATCTGCGAGTCACCACACTCAGAAAAAGTCGTTCATCTGTGGTGCAAATTGATGCAAAGGCTGAGGCAATAACTGGTATTGGACGGGACAGGCTTGCGATTCACGGTTCAGAATACCAGTCAGCCTTATGGCAAACAGCATCAACCAACCTGGGTCTACACACTACACCAGAGCTTGCCGGATGACATCAGCGAAGTTCTTCTTGGCTGAACGCTCAGTGCTGGGTGCCAACGTGAGACAAAATCAATCTCAAATGGAAGACGAACAGCAGGGCTGAGGATGCGATTTCGAAACGAAGTCTTTCTTGATGCCAAGCATCGCGGAATCACTCGTGGAACGCAGTCGTCTCAATGTTGCAAGAATATTTTGAAGCTATGCTGGAGCTTGGTCACCTTTGAGGCAATAGGGCCTCGACTTTTTTCTTTCCCGTTTCTACTGTTTTCTTGGAGAGAATGTGGAATTTCCTGAGAAAGAAGTTGCGCACCCTTCTAGAACGGGGAAGATCACCTTTGTTGCAGTGAGCGCGACCGTGACTATTATCGGGACCGCGACAGGGACCGCGACAGGGATCGGGATCGTGAGCGGGATCGGGAGCGGGACCGGGAGCGTGGGCGGGGCGTGGACCGGAGGCACCGCTCGCGGTCACGAGAACGGGACAGGGACAGGTGCAAGCCCTTTCTTGACTGTTTCCTTACATGGCCAGCCAGGGCGGGCAGCGTTCGCTGGCGCCTCTTAATGGAACCTTTGATTATTTTGGTGGGCCTCAAGTCCCCGATGGACTTAGCCATTTGAACCAATCACGGCTTCGTACAGCTGTTTGCGTGAAGCCTGTCCCCTCGAAGTCCGGTCGGAATCGCCTTTCCGCGATCTTGGAAGTTCGATCGCTGTGCACAAAGTTGGAAGATTACCCCCCCAATGAAGCTCTGGCGTGTGCGCTGCTTACCACCCGTATCCTGCCAGTGAGATTTGCAACTGTCTCTTTTCGGGGGGTCTCAGAGAAGTTTTGTACGGCGATCGAACTTTCAACTTCGCGTACCGGCAAAATGCGACAAGATTGATGTGGACAAGGTTCACGCAAACCGCTGTATGAGCTTGCTTCCTTTTGAGGGAATGACGATTCAGCCTGGTTGTTGATAGGAAAGGAGAAAGGTCGTTTGGCACTTGCCGTGGGGCATGGGTGTTTGGGCTGAAGTGCGTATGACCTGGGCCCTTTTGGGGAGCTCAGAGATAAGGTCTCGGAACTTCTCTTCGTCATGTCGCAAGCCGCTGGGTTTATTTTCTGCTTCGTTGTGGCAGCGATTGCTTCTCGGATCGTATTTGAAGGCTTTGGCTGCGGCAGGTATCATGATCGAGAGCGCAGCCGGAGTCGCGAAAGGGGAGTCGACAGGGATCGTGACAGAGACCGGGGCCGTGAGCGAGAGCGGGAGCGCAGGCCTAGGGACCGCTCTGCTTCAGCAGAACCCGAGGAAAGAGGGGCGCGGCGCAGGCGAGAGCGGGACGAGGGCGCTGAAGAAGGGGAGATGCGCGAGAATGGTGATGGAAAGGTAGGACAAACATGCATCAATGCAACGGACTCCTGTCAATGCAACGGCCAGGCGATGCATGGAAGATAACATCCACTTCAGCAAGAGGCTGCGAGTTTTGTTTTGAAAAGGGTTTCGATTCTGGACGATACATGTACAGCCCACGTCGTGCCTTTACACAGATGTACACCCAACGTTGTGCCTTCACACAAACTGCCGCTGTTGACGTTCTTCAGTGCAGTTTACTGACATGACTTCTTTCTCTTATGTGATTGCGCAGAAGAAGAAGAAGAAGGCACCCGCCGCTGATGGGACTGATCACCCGGACCCAGAAATTGCTGAAGCCAACAAGCTACGTGCTAAGTTGGGTCTAAAACCTTTGAAGTAGAGCGGTAAGTTGGGCACCGCTGTTCTCTCAAGCATGTTCGGAAAGAGCTTCGAGTTTAAGAATCATCAGGATATTTTAATCATGAAGCTCGGAACTTTTTGTTCTCAACCTGAAGGCACGTATTGACATAGTTGGCTTTTGTCATCCTTGTCGTGGAAAGTTTTCATCAATCTGACGGTTCGTGATTCAGCATACAAATTTTGCCTGTACCAGTGGTGCAACAAAACCTTAGGTAAAGCATGCTTGAAGCTTTTGGACGATGTAAAAGCACCGGAGCGGGAGCATCTTGCTATAGGGGCCTGAATTGTTACGTTCATCATGGCTCCTTAAAACATAGTAGTTTGTTGGAAACGGGCTTACTCGCGGAGGAAGAAAGTCCTTCAAGTGGAGGCACATAGCAAGCCGGTTGTGCTATTTGTGGTCATACCTTGATGTGGTTGAGTGGTAAGTTGAGTGTTTGACTTGTGGAAACTACCAACTCCTACCTAGTGCGTTCACTAGCCAATTGCAACTTCGTATACTGGCAGTGAGCCATCGATTGCCTCTTAATTGCAAAAGGTGGTGAGCATTGGTGGCAGCTCCGTGTGCTGACAAGCAATCTTCCATAAACATGGTCCAAATTCCTCCTCTCAATTGCAAAGATCGATGTCATACTAGTCCTGACTCCTGAGTCCTGGGCAAAATGTCAGTAATTTTATGGTATCAATATCAACAATGGTTGTTGGACAAGCCGACTCAAAGTTGCATGTGAGACCCACGTACAACGCACTTCAAATGTCACTCCTCAATGCTATTAGCTCCAGCACTGCGCATGGTGAACAAATCAACGCAACTGAAAACCAGAGATTGCCAAGGGCCTCACGTACCTGCTGTGCTCTAAATTCCGCACGAGCCGATAAATGGCTCGAGATTGGCCGTGCTGTAAACTGACTGAGATGCGCGGATGGTAATAGGACAATAGCGCATAAGACGGGAAGCTTCATGTCTAGCTCCAGATTAACTCTATTGGCTAACCCACATCATAGCCTGGCATGGTACGGAGGAGCCGCGGTCGGACGGACTCGGACCACCAAACTTCCCCACCAAAACAGCCAATGGCAAAGGTCTTCATGGTGAGATGGTGGCCGTGGCTACCGCGAGGCGCTTCCGACACCTTTGGTCCCTGCCAGGGCATGCGCTGGATATCAGATTTCAAAATTTGGCGGTAAATGAGGCACCATGTTGCAGCAAACGGGCCCGGGCACTCCTTCTGATCCCAACTTTCCGCCCCGGCCGTATCAGCCGCTGCTGGTCCAATTTATGCCCCGGGCCCTCATGGAATTGTCGGATGATGGATCGTCCCTGAACGGTACATACCTTATTGCAATGTGGTACCGATGCGACATTCTTTTGAGAAAAGTTGCCAGCGCAGGCGCACAGACTGAGAATTTGTGAGATGCAGAAAGAGAGAAAGCGCTCTAGAGTCTAGGTACGGTAGTCTCTGCAGCAACAGGGTCGAGCCTAGGGTGCTGGCTTCTGGTGAGGGGGCACTGGGTGTTGCGGTGGCACTTGTTGAGCTTTGTTGGTGGGGTCCGAACAGGAGCAAAAGTTCCAAGAGAGGAGCATGACTCCTGTGAGGTTGAGGAGCCATAAGGACCAGATTACAATAGAAGATGAGCTGGACAACCAAGTAAGAGCATTCATAGCATTGGAAACTGGAAGGGATATCCCCGATGGGCATGAGGATGCCCTGCTAGCCCGCTTGCAAAGCATTGCTGCGGATATCAAGGTGCATCTTCAAAAGAACGTCGAGTTGTCTGAAGATCTGCAGAAGGTCAGTGACACTCAGCAAAGGGGCGGAAGGAAGCAAAGAAAGGGGCCCAAACATATTGCAGGTGAGGGGCCACGCTCATTACCTGCTCTACAGTTGACAGGTTGATTCCAATAGGTCGTGCAACAACATTAGTATAAATTTATTTTCACTGCTTCTGATGTTGAGGACAGGATATGCTTGCAGAGCCAATATTAGGAGTTGCAGACTGTCAGGATACCAAAGCTTACAATGATTCGAGTAAATCAAGTCTGCCAACTTACTCATGTAGAATTCATTTCAACAAGAGCGCACCGCAATTCAGCAATATGGTTGGTCTTTTCTGATGTACACCGCAATCGCATTGGTTCTCATATCTATGCCCTACCAGTACAACGCCAGCATCAAAACAAAATGCAAGCCATCAGATTGGTGAATTTTCAAACTCATGCCTCGAGAAAAACATACTCACTGGCAGATACCTCTCTGCCAGTGAGACATGGGCAAAAGGATGACCGTACCAGACATCAACATGGTGGTAATTGCACACCGGAAAATGTACAAAAGGCGTCATATGTTTGCAGTGGAGGATGACGCCAAGCCCAGTGTAGGCCCTGCTGAGGATACACCGGCGCTGGAGAAAGATGTGACAGAGCTGGCTGCCCGAATAGAAGCCCACTGCGAGGAGTTCCCCCAGCGTGTTGCGCACCAGTTGTCGGAGCATCTCCAACGGATACGACCGTTAGCCACGTCTTCAGATCCACCGGAAACAGGTGCGGAGTCCCAACTTGAAACCACTTCTTGCATCCAAGCGTCGCAGCTGTGAACCTAGTCCTTTCGCTTGCAGTCTGTCAACTTTTTGGCAGTGCTGACTTGCTTATCTTGTTTCCAATATAGCTCACCGCCTTTTCTTCCAAGGCAGTGCCACATTACCAACTCTGGTACCAGTGCTGATAGCTGTATCGGGCAAGTCCAGCGGACTTCTTGGTCAGCCGTTGCCCCCTCTATTTGCGCTCTCGTCAACAGTACCACTCGTCCTTGTTGCAGATGAGAACCTTGACACGCGATTGGAGCCTGTCTCAGGGCTTCCGTCCATGGCAGAGTTGCAAGAGAAGCTTGGCGGGGCTGTGACCACATTGCTGGGCCTCCAAAAACGGCTGGAACTAGCTGAGGCCAAAGCGTCCAGGGTAGTAAATGCGGTGGAGCAAGAGCGGTCAAGAGGAGGGCCTTCTCTCACTGAACAGGTGGGTATGACATGTGCTACTGTGACTCTCCTTGTCCAACTTAAATGACACATTGCTGGGCTGATTGTACGACTTGTATTCCCAAAATGCACTTGGAGGGGATATCCATGAATATGTTGGTTACGTGTACTACATTTGGCAGCTTCAAAGGTGTAAAGGTTTGCGTGCCAACAACAGATCCGGACAATGCTTGCACACTACCTTGGACGTGGGTGGGCAAGGGCAGCTTCTATGAAGTTCAACACCCAATTGAGAAGTGAAAACACTGCAGGTCATTGCTGAGCATGACAAAGTGATGGGCTACTTGGAAGATAAGGCCCGAGCAAGGGGCACAAAACGAGCTGCCACAACAAGTGATCTTGGGGGTAGTCCCATGACGCGATCAAGATCAAAGGTCTGAGGGTGCCTTGGAAGGTGGGATTGGCTCTTCATAAGGAAATGTCACTGACCATGGTATCACATGGAAGAGGCTTACAATAGTACATGCTCGGTGCCACCAATCTGTTTTAGGGAGGATTTTCGGATCAAGAAATGCACGGCATTGAGCCTGGACGCCATCTACAGAATCTCTTGCAGGTTTTCTTCATTGATTCTTGCTTTGCGTTCTATCGATTGAATGACAATCTTGTACCTGTCTAGGTTGTGTTGTTTGGCAAACCGATCATGGCATGGTCACCCGGTTGAATGCAAATACTTGAAGCGATTGCTCGATGTGAATTGGGCCTAATTTGGTGTTCACTCGATGTACGGAGAACTCGTTTGAAATGGTGGCTCGCTGAAAATAAGTTCTCTACTGTACTGTTCGCTCGGACCTGGTTCACCTACTGTAGTCACTTCATTGACCAGGTCCATTCTGGCCCGTCGTCATTGAAAGCGAGGGAGTGCAGGATCCTAACCATGGACATGAGGTTTGGTCTTGTAGCAGTGAGTCATGTCAAAGTCCTCTGCAACGTACTGCATTCTACTTAGAACTTAGATACTTCTTGTCATGAATGTATATACTGTACATCATTGTATGCATCATGGCCCAGGTGGCTACGGCGTTCTGAAAAGACATCGCGCAAAGGGCCAAGGCAGAGCTCGGACTAATTTAGGTATTAAATAAGGGGCAGGTATAATAAGCTCGCCAGCCTGGGACGGGTGGGGTTAGTATGGGGGTTAGGGTGGGTACGGGTGCGGAGCAGGTAGATTGTTGGGTTAGGTTTTGTAGTGGTAGTTAGAGCTTATTATACCTAGCTCTTATTATACCTAAACTAGTCCGTCATCCAAGGCAGATCGTCATCCAAGACTTCCCAACTAGAGCGAGTACCATGCAAGGAAATGGCGCCCATCGTACCCGCCCCCAGCCTATGGACTCGGGCCCAGCTATACCGTACCAACACATGGCCGGTTGGGCATCAATCAATTACTTTTGATTTTGCCCAAAATTTTCAATACTATTTATATTCTGTTTTTCATTCTGTTCAAATTTTCATATGAATCAAAATTCTAATATTTTATCTTTGATAATTTTTGGTTGGTGGAAAAAGGGTTCTTGAGCATATATTTCAAAAATTTCAAATCCTCAAAATTCCAAAATGAGTTGCCCAAATTTCAAAACGTACGTAATTTGTAGTTATTGGGCAAAACTCTGCCCAACCGGCGTGTTGGTACGGCTAGTATAACCGGTAGATAAGTGATCAATCTTGGCCAGTCAAAATTACTTTATGTTCATTTGACGGTCAGAAATACGCCGATACAACAATTCTCTCATCGGACGGACCTCTTCGCGCAGGCCTGCCTCCGCCATCTTCGCGCGTAGACCTGCTGGCGTAGGGAGAGAGGGACGCGGTAGCTGCACTTCAAGTTCAAGTTCGCAACCTGTGCGGCCTCCTGCAGCGGAGTTGGGAGGGCTAGAATACCGGAGAGAGATCTCGTGAGTACTGTGCTCACATTCAAACTTCAAAGGACGGATTCCCTCTTCAAAGTCGGCAGCAACGATACCGAAGGATCTGACAGGAAAGCTAGCTGCTCTGGTTGCTGTACCCCGCGGCCATTGGTCCCTAGACAATAATCCTGCATTCTACCATTCTGGTCATCCCGTGTTATTATCAAATCAGCGTCGTTTAGTTGGACAGATCCATTTTACAGCCATGGCGGCTCCTGGCCCGCCGCCAGCTCCCACAGCGGTTGCAAGTCCCGCATCAGCAGGGGGGAGTGGCCCTGCAGCCCGAGCTGTCCTTGGCAGGGTTGGAGACACTGTCAAAGCAGCACTTGCTCAGCAGCGGCCTTGGACAGAACTAGCAGACAGGAATGCCTTCTCAAAGCCAGAGTCCCTCACAGAAGCCAGCACGCGGATCCGCAAGAACATCACTTACTTCCGCGTGAACTACGCTGTGTTCATGGTGTCTGTAGTCGGCCTCTGTATGCTGTGGAACCCTAGCTCGCTCATCGTGGCAGGACTGCTGGGGCTTGTCTGGGCATACCTCTTCTTGGTGAGAAGCGAGCCACTTGTGATCAGTGGGAGGACGCTGAGCGAGAAGGAAAAGTTCCTGGGGACATCCATCCTCACCCTCCTGATAGTCTTTGTGTTCACGTCCGTTGGATCGGTGCTCATCTCAGGCATTGGGCTTGGGATCTTCCTCATTGCTGTGCACGGGGCCTTCAAAACTCCGGACGACCTTTTCCTTGATGAGCCTGAGGCAGCAGGGGGCTTTCTGTCCTTCTTGACAGCAGGAGCTCCTGCTTCACAACAACCTATCAGCCACGTGTAAAGTCAGATCTGAGCACTACTACTGTATTGGACAGTATGCATATATAGGAAGGGTATCCTTGTAGGGGACTGTACACGAGGGACGATGAATAGTGAGTTCTGTCACGTTTGCTAAGCAAGGACTCAGGCAGGCAAGGGTTCACGAGGAACTGAGAAGATTATTTGCGAGTGAGAGTGGTCAACCTGGCCTGGGGCTTGGGTGCACCCTTATGTTGTATGAATGTACACTCATCCTTCGGTCTTTTTGAATTTTGGCTTCTGCTCCAATTGAGCGTGCTCAATTGCCTCTTTTTGTGGTTGTTCGTTTGCTGGCATAGGGTTCACTGGCCTTTGATGAACCCTCGCACAGCTGGGCTCCTTATCCTGGCAGCATCATCAGCAGGTTGTGGGTGGTCGAGGCTTGCGGGCTTGGTTATTCAGATGTTTGATGCTTGTTTTGGTGCTTGTCTTTCTTCATTTCTTGAGCTAGTCATTGAACAGCTTTTCTTGACTTTCGAGCAAAGCCGAGGGCAAGCTACAGAGGCCCCAATCGCACATTCTGTTAAGAAAATTCTCATAGTTTTGAGCAATGCTCCTTGAGTTGAGGTTCGCACGGTATGGTCACATAAAACATTGTGTAACGTTTCATTCTGTTTCTGTGCAATATGGCGCTAATAAGTAACCAGTTGCAGCAGGTTTCAAATCTAAAGAAGCACTTGTCGTTGATGGTTTATACTTGGGATGCCTGATCTTGTGCCACAATCCTGGCTTGAGCCTGGATGTACCAGCTTTCTTCTGACAACAGAGTGCATACTCAACAGGAGCAAGGTTCTTCTCCAGTCCCACTTTAATATCCTCTAGACATCGACACTTTTGTGTTGTGCATCCTGACCATTGGCGAGGCCCCAGTGGCTTCTGCGACTTAATTGCTTACAGGTTTGCACATTTATGATTAACGCCCTGCGTCATGTTGAGATCTACGGCAAATACAATCCATCAAATCTGCTGTGGTGTTCTGAGTAACTACTCTAGGCCTAAGTCATGCTTTTTGTCACGCTTGCCAGGTACTCAGAATGCAAGCTCTTTGGTCTGCGTTTTAGCTTTTGCAATGTGCTGCTCTCAACCTGCAAGCTTTCGGTGCGGCGCCCATTCATTGAATGCAATCAGTGAGGCTGAGCAGAAACTCGATTTTATGGCCTTATTGTGTAATTATTGTCCGCCATGGGCACATCGGCATCTCCATATAGTGCATGGGCTTTATAGGTTACAAGGATCTGTGTACTGCCCGTGGCATGAGCCACTAGCCACGCCACCCGTTGCGTCGCACACCTCAGGCTGCATTGATGGTCATGGCACATGTTGATTGCAATGCACATGTTACCCAGCAGACGTCGGACAATAGCTCAATATGCGCGTATACTATCATGGATGTCCATGAATCCGGGGGTCGACTTGATGTCGGACGGTAGTTCCAGCGTCGCATATGCCATGATTGTTAGATCTATCGAATGATAGATTGTAGCAACTTCAAAAACTTTGAAGCGGTCAATCAACTGCATCAGGTCGCATGTATGCAAAATGTTGGAGTCGATCCACCTCATGAATTTCTTTTCGTTACTGCAGACGGTAGATATATCCAGCTTGACACATATTACAGGCTTTTTCCTAGGCCGGAAGACTGATAGCTATAGCAGTGGTAGGACTGGCAGAAACGGCCTAGACTTGCACATGTGATGGCCTAGACTTCGCCCAAAAAGTTCAACAACAGAGTTGCAATCGTCCAATGCTAACTTTAAATCAACGCTAACCGTCACGGCCAGAATCGTGTTCTTCAAATCAAAAGGAACATCAATGATCGCATAGGCCAAATGCTGGAGTAGCTTGAAGCCATATGCATGATCCATAGTAAGGCAAATTACTCGTGCCTGCCACCCCAACCCGTGAAAGTACAAGCACTACACTGTACAGCTTTATCTACATTTCCCTCGTATGACGCCTCTTCGATCCAGCAAGCTACTGCATACAAGTGACGCCGCAAAGCAAAAATAAACCAATGGGCGCCTCCCCTGGTTGGTCCCGAGAACCCCACTATCTTCGCGCTTTCTGGACAGACGGCACTTTGGTCGACCATCGATCCCACCATTGGTCGGCCTTTTGCTGCTTCTCTGCCTCGTCAGCAGACTCGGAGATCGACGTAATGGTTTTCTCGACTTTCCGCTGCAGCTTCAAAGCAGCTGCAAGCGAGTTCCGTTGCAGTGTGCCCTTTCGCTTCTTCGACTTTTGCTGCAGGGAGAAGCGGAGACCCGATCAAACCTTCTCCTTTAACCAGAGTCCCCAAGGTCTCCGAATTCGGGGCCACAGAAGGAGCCGACAAGCAGAATCCATCATGCCGGGCATTAACAGATCTACCACTGAAAGACCAAATCCACAAGCTCGTCAGCAGCAAAGCGGGATCGAAGCACCCCAATCACAAAACCCCACAAATAATGTAGCAGCATTACTGCATGGAGCAGAAACGCAGTGACGACGCCAAGCTAAGAACATCCAAAATACTTGAATGATGCCAGTCTCTTTCAGACCCGACATTCACTGCGCCAGCAGCTGGACTGCTGCCCAGCCGGCGCCCTCACCCGAATGTCCGTGAGCTGCGCCTCGGTGAAGCCGCCCTCCTTCTCGGTGCCGCTCTTGGCCATCATGTCAAAGATCCACTGCCCCCACTCGTCCGTGTCCGCACGGAACGAGTTCCCGAGCGCGCAGCGCAGCTCCGCCACGCCCTGCACCGCCAGGATGCCGTTGGTGGTGAAGAACGGGTGGCTCAGCGCGCCGCCCGCGGAGATGCGCTTGCGCGCCTTGTAGCGCACCATGGCGCGCACCAGGTCCCACCCCAGCCCGTTGTCCAGGTCCAGGATCTCGAACCCGTGGCTGATGTCAGCGGTGGGCCGCGTGAGGACCACCTCGCGCCACGCGTCCAGGTCGTAGCCGCACCGCTTGAGCTGCCGGTTGAACTGGATGAGCCCGTTGTCGCTGCGCATGTGCGGGAAGGCCTGCACGAGAAGCGAAGCAAAGAACCCTTGAGGAGGATCCGTTGGCACCAAACGAAGCTCCGCCAACTGCTGAGACAGTTTCAAGAGTGAAGCGCTTAGCCAGACCGTCGCCAGACTTCAGGACCGAAGTAGGTAGAGATATTATGAAGAGACTTCCACTCCGGACAATGTGCCCGGATCCTGAAAGCCATGATGCTGGCTTTGAAGCCGCTGCAGTCTAGCAAAAGCGCACATCAAAGACTTCAAACAAGACGGCGCTATACTGGTGCCAAGGGGAACAGCTATCAACTTGCTTACAAAGACGTGAGCCAACTACGCCCAGATTATGGCGAACTGTAATCCGGGCACCTGAAACTCCACAACCAGCACATCAAGACTTCTGACGGGCACAGCTGCTCAACAAACGAAAGAAGGATTTGGAGGCTTACGGGATCCAATGACGATATGTTTAATGGGGATTTCAGAACGAAATCGTCAATCGGAGCTTTTGACTCTCCGGAAATACACCCAAATTATCAAAGGCACCGCCGTTAACAGGATTTCCCCTCACCATCTGCAGCATGATGAGTCCCGCGCTGTAGACGTCAAAGCGGTCCGGGAGGTTCATCTGCCACAACACCGGGGAGAGCGCTGCAGCCACCGGCGGAGGGGGGGCACTCGGGGTCTGCGTGCTCATGATGTACTGCTCCGGGGCGCAGTACCTGCTCGCACAAAGGAGCTCAGAGTTTGGAAAGATCATTTCAGATCTCTTCGGGAATACGAATGGCTGATTGGACGCAAAAAGCAAGCCTATGGCGCCAATAGCCCCTTGAAAGACCTCTGAATGACCTCAATCTTCCGTGTCTCACGACCAGACATGCAGGGGCGGAAAGAAGGGCAGTAACAAGAGCAGAGACAGGGGCAGCAAACAAGAGAAGCAACTGGTGAGGTTTGGGGAAGGTCCTCCCGCTGCCAAGCTAGCAGCAGCAGCGGGCTGGTCGAGCTAGCACACGCGGTCATTATCTTTTCGGGCTGAGCACCACTCTTTTCTAGTGACGTACGTCAAGATTTACACCAACTTCTAGTGACGTACGACGAATTTGACACCAACCTAACACAAGGCTGACATAATTCGTTACTAAAGACCGAGCCCGCAGTACATTCTGGTTGGGCGCATGAAGAACAACTCATGTCCGGAGCTGATAAGTTTTCAGCTCACAGGAAGACATGACTCCCTCTCCGATCCTTGTGTGCTGCCCTGAGTCACTACAAACGGCGTCAAACGCCCTTTCATTGAACGAATGTGGATCTCTGCTACCAGTGCTCACCTGGGGTCCAGCAAGAACTCCTTTGGCACGTAGTTGATGCCGACCCGGAGGTCCGCTGCCGCCCCCAGGTCAATGATCTTCAGCTGCCCCGTCTCTGGTTACACGAAAGGCCAGAGTGTTAGCCAGATTGTGGTGATAGCTTACCGCTGATGCATCGGCATGAGGCAATTTTCTGGACAAGGGCTGATATCAAGCACCCATCGCTAAAAGAAGTATCCAAGTAGGTCGATTGCCTACGAGGTAATAGGCCACGATTCTCAAGGCTATCCACTTTCAACATAATCTGAATGGAACAGCCTGGAACAGCCTGAACACAAGCTCATAAGTAAAAGGAAAGCGTAAAAGAGAGAAGAGAGCACAGACAACGCTTGTGATCTCCATGTGTTCTATTTCATTTCTCGAGGGACCCATGAGATCATTGAGGGGTCCACAATAATCATAAAATACCTTCCTGCTACATGGTTCCTTCACGCAATTTGCAACTGGACACTATGCACTTGAGTAGCGACAGCAGGCTACCTTTGCAGTACACAATGTTCTGCGGTTTGATGTCACGGTGCACAATGCCTATCCGGTGCAGCTGCTTGAGCGCCACAAGAATCTGCTTCATGACCACCTGGATAATCTTGTTCTCCCGCTCAGGACCTCTGCGGAGGCGCTGTGGCTCCCCAAACAAAGAGTCCTCCAGCTGCAGAAGGCAGGTAACTCAATCAGACCCCGAAACCATGCAGGCAGTGTGACATTGCTTCTGTCTAACATCTGCAAGGGGCACAAGCATTCCTGATCGTTGATCTGTTCAGAGGACTCTAAAAAGCACGTTCTTAACGCGTGATTGAAACATGCTGGAAGCCAGCCTTCGCGGGACACCAGCTTTTGTGTGCAGCATCCGTGGCGGGAACCTACGCTGTAAGGGAAGTCCTTGGCCACCAAAACGTCCGCCAGAGTGTTCGACCCTTCAAACTTCCAGACCAGCCAGAATTGGCCAAATCTGCCCTTCGTTTTCTCCTGTATGGAGAAGTGAAAGCGTCAGCAAGTGTACCACTGCACAAAGCGCAAAATGACTGGCAATCAGCTGCTGCAAGAAGCTAAATCCATGAACTCAGAAGTTGTAGCACACGAGAGGGGGCATAGAGCCCGGAACTTGTGATTGTTTGGCTGACTTGAGAAACTTACATTATTAGTGCATTCCCTATGCACAAAAAAATACCATGTCATTCTTGCCGCCGACAACTTTTAAAGGGGATCACACAAGGCCACCGCAACTGTCTAAGAAAAAGAATGGCCCCGCACAGGACTCTCCAGCAACCTTTGAGAGGTTGGTGTTCATCCCCAGGCTCTTGTCTGCCATAAGCGGCTTGCGTTCTGCTCACCTCCACAAAACCATACACATACTCAGCACACGCCTTTGGGCACGCTCGCCGCACCCTCTCGTTCATCCAAGCTTCGGCAGCTCCGAACTCGCTTGCCTTTTTTACAACTAGTGCCTGCACAATACCCAATAGAAGTCAGTCAAACTGAAGTAGAAGTGTGTGAAGTGTGTGAAGTGCCACACTGATATGAATCCAGTTTGCTTGAGCGTGGACAAGTGATGCAAAACCCGCCCCAGCCTGCAAATGTGTATTGAAAACAATACTCACAACAAAAGAAGGTATGACAAGGTATCCGCAACAAGAAAGGTAGAGCACTTCTTTGATCCCTCTCTCAATTTGGCATCCGGCAAGGCTGCCACATGTACCTACACAGGGAGGAAGCAGAGACATGCTGTCCAACCAGGAGCGCAACTCAGCGGGCTTACCGTGCCTGCTCCTTTTCCAGTTTTCAATTGTGCCCTGTACACGGTGCCATATGCACCTTCCCCTAGCTTCTTCCCCAGGACCAAATCATCCTGCAAGTCAAGCGGGCCAGAAGAGAAACCAAGGTGAGTATCCACATAAATACTCTTAAAAACCTACGGCAGTACAGGCTATAATTGGGTAGTTACGGAATTAGAGGCAAGGGATACCTGACATTCAATGTAGATTGCAAGGGTTCTGACAGTAGAACATTGCAGTCAGCAAAGAAGTGCAGAAACCTAATGCCTTCTGCCGACTACTTATCCTCCTGTTAATCTTTCTCCTGTATGCAAGCAGCAGCTACTCCATTAAATATCCAGATACATGTTCATACCTTCGACTCGTAAAGGAACGCATCCATCTCCCTGGAAAAATTATGTAGCCCCTATTGAACACAGAATGCACAGACGCCAATCCAGTGCTCACCTGTGTATACTTAGGCCTAATGAAGCCTTCCAGTGGTGATAGAATGAACATGTCCCAGAACCCTGGAGCCACTCCAGGAGTGGCCCACAAGTACGCCGAAATCAACGATAAGAGCGTCACGCCTCCATATGTCAGCTGCAATGCTGAGGGCTTGGGGAGCGTACTCCTGTAAATGACATCCCCGCAGTCCATTACCGTGCAGGGCAGGCCAACTCCAACGCCAAGCATCAAATGTGGCAGCATTGCTAAATTGTGTGGCAGGTCACTCAGCCCCTGAGATACCGCTTCCGGCAGCACGGACATGTCGCATGAGGCCCCCAGGGCTCCCCTGCGGCCGCCTGTAGACCGTGCCTTTACTCTGCCCCACTCAGATGATGTCGCCCCATCTCCCAGAAATTGACTATTACAGCTTTTAATACTGCACAGTGTCCGTTCATTCCTGTCCCGGCGAGCTGTCCCTGCATTGCTCAAGCAACGCGCGGCAACTCGAGAAGGCCTCTGTCCTCCCCTGCCTGCTAAGGACCGCTTGCAACTTTCTCCTGTCTGTAAGGCTGTCTTGTGCAACCCTACGCTGACAACTGTGCTCCCATAGGTCCGAATTGTACACGTCTCTGCCATCCTCCACGGCGTTGGACGTGCACTCCGCCTGCGGGGTCAGGCGTGGAGAAAAGAAACGGAGGTTCGAAAGCTTGCCCAGAAAGTCGGCAAGGAAGCGCTCATGCGCCGAAGGCAAATGCAGAGCAGGTCCCTAGCTCTGGGTTGCTGTTTGAATTCCCATCCATCTCCATTCATGCAACAGAAACCATCGAGTGGAAACTTGAGGCTGAGCTGAGCTACAGGACGAGACCGCCACCGTGGCACATCGGACGTCTGCAAAGCCTCGACGTCTTGGGAGGACTCTAACGGACGATTCAGATTCGTCCAGGTAGATGGGCTTGAAATTACGGTGGACGTTGAAGCTGCAGCAGTCGGAGAGCAGAGGCGACCATCTCCAAAGCTGACGAGTTTCAGTCAGTGCAATCTCTTTTGTGGTTCACAGACTCGAAACGTACAGATGGTCATCTTCACTATTGTAGTCCTACACCGGATCGATATGATTCGTGATATGTAGGTTATTCTAGCTTCAAGGCTTCAAATGGTTATATGCACACACAGATGCGGCGGGCATCATCATCAGGATCTTCTCACTGTGCATGTCCACAAGCGCATACGACATTCAATCCTCTTTCAGTGCACCTGCTTAAGGCAATCTTCGGCTAGCAGATCGCTGATACTGCAACTTCAGTACAATTTACAGACGCCTTTGGTCTAGGCCCCTTTTAAGCCGGGAAAGTTTCTATGGATAGGTACGCCGGAATGTTCTTCTCATGCAACTTAGGCGTGCTTGATATGCACACGGGTTCAATGAATCTAACTCGTTCAATTGTATACTATGAATTCAACCGTTACGATAAGAGCAGCCCTTTCATAGTTTACAGCTCATCGCAAGTATGATGCCGTAATGTTCACAAGTTAAGACACAGTGAACGTGAATTCCTCTTGCACGAATGGTTATTTACATGCTACAACCTACGAGTCTCACTGAAAGCAATTGAGGCCTTAGAGCAACAAAAGTGTGTAAACCCTCAATGTTGCATGAGCTGTCTTGAGATAATTACCCTCATGATCTCGTTCGTGCCCTCCAGAATCGTGTGGACCCGCAGATCCCGCACATATCTCTCAATCGGGTAATCTTTCAGATAGCCGTAGCCACCATGCAACTGGAGTGCTTGATTACATATGTCGTAGCAAGAATCGGTCGCAAACCGCTTTGCCATGGCCGCTGCTGCGCCCGCCCAGGGAGCCTTCGCGTCCATGGCTGTCGCCGCATTCCGGATAAGCAACCGGGAAGCCTCGAGCGAGGTAGCCATGTCCGCAAGCTTGAATTGTGTATGCTGAAAGGCACCGATGGGCTTCCCAAACTGCAAACAAGACAATGACGCGTAGATGTCGTTGTTATTGGCAACATGCCAAAGTCTGACCCTTGAAAACGACCATTGGCGAGAATAAGTATCTTTTCCAGCAGGGATACTTGTGTCGAAGGCACTTTGCCCTGGCCAAATAACACCGCAATCGTGTTCAAGGGTTGTCAGATTCAAATCGTGACCACAGGCCTCCCTGTTCTGCACGGTCAAACACTCGAGCGAGCACCATGCGGACAAGTGAAGCGTCTCGGTTCAGTTTAAAGGCCGGCAAGTGAGGCACTTACCTGCTTTCTACTGGACACGTACTCTTTTGCCGTGTCGAGGCAGAACTGCGCCCCGCCCACACTGTAAATCACGACAAACACAGTTTAGACAGGTGAGGCCGGGGACTGAAGGCCACTGCTCGACAAGGACAAAACAGAGGGATTGTGTTTGTGAAACAGCAAAGTTCCTTGTCGTCCCCACCTCATTAGCCGCCCCTTCCGCGACGATTCGCCTTAAAGGAAGCTGAAAGTCCCGTCTTTGTGGACCCGAGCAGAACATAAGATATCGGCGCGCCACGCATATGAACCCTTTGTTGTCCACTTCGCGACCGCTACCCTCACAGTCACGACACGTTTCGTTTCTGTACCTGCAGGTGGCGATGTTGATGCGGCCGCCGTCCAGGCCGGCCATGGCGATCTTGAAGCCCTCGCCCAGCTGGCCGATGACGTGCTCCCGCGGCACCCGCACGTCGTCCAACATCACCTGCAGAAGCAGCGGCACGGGCGGGCTCTAGCGGGTGCAACCACGGGCTTCAGCGCCGTTTGCCAGAGTTTGATGCAAGCTTGGCTCCGCTGTACGGATCTCGCGTTTGGTCGCTCCTGCACGTCCCTAGTAACGTCCTTGGAATTTAAGCTCGGATTTGTCCTGTTGGACGGTCGGAAGGTAACGGGAACAAAGTTCGAAAGATCTCACAGAACGAAGATACTGCATCGACGTCTCTGCGTACATCATCCCCGCGACCTGGGGAGTTCGGGCAGTGGTGCGCCATGCAGAGGATCCTTGGATGATTTGCAACGGCAAGTTCACTTCGCAGATGTGAACAGGCGACTTACCGACGATGTTGGCTGCGAGTTCCACCCGAGCTTAGACTCCTGCTTTCCAAACGAAAGGCCGGGTGTGCCCTGCAGGGAGGAACCGCACGGGTAGGCTGGCGTACTCAAGATATGTCGTGGGGGCAAACGAGAGAAATGTGGAACTAGAATGTATCAGATCTGGAAGTCGGAAGGACAGCCGCTTGAGTGGACGTGCGTAGACGAACGCAACATTTCACCAGACTCACAACCACTATACTAGTATGGTAGAGCCTAAGCGGGAAAAACGAGTTCTCTAGATGCTCTGTACCACGACATCGAAGAACGACAATTGCCTCACCTTCTCAACCAGGAAGCAAGTGATTCCCTTTGCCCCCTCCTCCCCAGTCCGCGCCATAACAAGGTAGATGTCGCTAACGCCGCCTCCGCTGATGAATGCCTGCAAGTGGATGCAGGCTCAAAAAACCAATGAGGGAGGGAACGAAGGCATGCACACCTGCGAGAAGTTCGAGACAATAGCCAAACTGCCCTTCAGAGGACGCATCGTGTAGCTCGAGACCGTTTGATGCGAAATCTGCTTTGGCTGACGGGCCTGTGCTTGTACGACGAGAATTGGATGAACGATTAAGGCCGGACCAATTTCGACGGTGCAAGAAAACGTTTTCTGGTGCGCACCTTTGCTCCATTGAGAACGTACTCCGACCCATTGTTCACTGCCTTCGCATGTGTCTGCAGCAAGAGGCGGGCAGACCCCCGAGTCTGAGTGAGCTTGTGCAAGCAGTTCCTGGACGAGCAGTGTTCAACTTTCATTTGGCTGCCTCAGAGAGAGGATGAATCAGAAAGATAGACAACGGGTATTCACTTCGGATCACGTTCACCCTTCCTGAGCCGGACCCATGATTGACCCTTTCTAGCCACGTAGGCCAGGGCACTCACCGTCAAGGAGGCAGCATCACTGCCGCTTCCCGGCTCCGTCAAGCAGTATGATGAGAGAAGCTCCTGCAGCCAGGCACCTTTCGATTCAGACTGCAATCCGGCTGCCTGAAAAGGGAACGATGAAGTACACCTGCCACATCACAAAACTGCCCTGAAAACTCCTGTCTGCACTGCGCGGGAATGGCGCTCATTGCAGAGCCTTCCGCAATATGCATCTGGTCAGCTTCTGTTTGATGATTGAGGTTAGAAGCTCACCATGGAAGTCAGTCTAGGCAGCCACTTCTGCCTCTGGTCTTCGTCGCCAAACCTGGAGTTTATTGAGAGCAGCCATTGAGACAGTATGTTTTGCAGCTGTAGGAATCCGAATCCTACTACAATTCTAGAAGCATTTCAGAAATCTAATAAACCTCAAGCTGGCAGAATTGAAGGAGGAGACAACCAATTGAGTTGACATGTGCTGTCGTGCTGAGCGGTTAGAAACCGACTCACTTGTCTATCATGTTGCAGACCATGTTGTGGATTGTCAGGTAGGCTGTTGTTGAGACGTCCGCGTATGCAAGAGCTTCAAAGATGACTGCAGCGTCTGCCCGACCAATCCTGCAGGCGTGCCACAGGGCTCCCACTGCTGAGAGCTTTGACTTGCAGAATCGGTAGGCGGCGGCTTGTAACCTCTATTCATTCAAGCAACTTCCAAAACCTCATCAACACTTCCCACAAACCGTCAAGAGTGTGCGTACAATCCAGACTGGGCACATCGCAGTGTCGCAAATGTGGAAGCCCATGTATAAACGCGTCTCCCTTCAGGACAGAGCTGCCAGTCCAACTCAGAGTGTCCTACCCAGCGCCACCAACGTCGTCGCGGCAGTAGATGCCCCCAAACCCAAGGCCCGCAGCTTTCCGCAGCGTCTCAATCGGGAAGTACTTCTCTTCATCCCACTTTGCAGCAAATGGCATCAACTCCTTCTGTGCAAACTCCTGGAGACAAACACTAATGAGTAATATATGAGACCCCCATTATTCACCAGTCTTTGATTGGAAGTGCCCATTCTATCATCTTCCCCCACTTACATAGTACTTTCCAAGGCATATCGAACCTTAAGCATGTGTTGTCAAAGCTCAAAAAAGATAGCTCAAGGAGGACCAAGATGATGAGAAAAGTGACTTTCAAGCAAGAATTGCAGAGGGTTTTTGACAAACTCAACGTCTTCAACATGAAGACCGCTATCATGCTCATGCAATCTGTTTCATGACACCTTTTTTGAACCGCATGCGGAGAGGTGCGTGCAAGAAACTCACTTGTGCCACCTGCAGAAAGTCTTTCTGGTCCTCCGAAAGCCCATGACCAGACACTGTCCAGCTCTGAGAAGACCCCGTGCTTGCTGCATGTTGTCGAGGCTCCTCCTTCCCAGGCGACTCAGGCAGCATCACATTGGCTGTCTTGTTCTTCTTGACAGCTGCATCGTCTGAAAAGCTCCTCAGACCAAAGGCCTTGCAATGTAATGCAAAAAATCCACCTGGCAGCCCGGTGAGCATCTGCAAGCGGAGACGACAGCTGTTTCTCAAAAGAAAGGCTGCCATTATGGACACAGCAACTCCTCAAACATAAAATGACCTCTGAGTTTGAGCGACTCTAGCTCACAGAACTTGCAAGTTCACCTCCTTCTCATTGAAAAAGCTTTGATTCAAGTTTGAAAACTCTTGGGCTCAACAAATCCGGTGAACTCGGACGCCAGAACTTGTGATTGAAGGTGCAGAAAAGCCAGAGCTGCCCAAGGTCGCCCTTTCCTTCATGTGGTTGGTGTTAACACCGATTCGAGGCCAAAACAGCGCTGGTACGGATGTGGGCCGCAAATATCTGCAATCTGACCTGGTGTGAATAAGGCTTTCTTGGCGACAAGAGCATGCAACCGTTTGTAGAAATTTGAACTCCATGTTCAGTTTCTAGGGTTCTCTCACTTCCAGCTCGCGGGCTCCCTTTCAGCTTCTCGACAATAAAAGCTCTTGCCTAGAATTTAGAAACATTGCGGCATGAAATGAGCTCAGAAGAACGGTGAGAGCGGCCGAGCTCTTCTCAACCCCAATCCTTGCAGCCGGCTGTTGGTCTTTGAAACTCGTGTTGCTATTGTCCAGCAGGACTACCATCGAACGGTTGGAGACCTGATCCTGGAGGGCAGATGCGCAGTGTTGCAGAGTTGGTCACCCATCTAATCAGAGCAGCATCTTTGACTCCACACGTATTGCAGCTTGGCAGAATGAAGGAGAGCGCTGAGCCAGGCATGGTGAGTTGCCAGCCTGATGATTCGGGTATTGATTGCAGTAGCTAGCTATTCTTGTGATTTGCTGATGGGGAGGTGAAAGCAAGTCGTTCCACAACACAATTTTAATATCATATGGCCTTTCTTGCTCCCTATTAGATAACAGCATCGGTTGGCACTCTGCTTGCAAATTACCACTCAGTAACTTGTTGAGCTAAGGATACCGCAGAAAAGTGATCCTTACGGCAGTTACCCTCTGAATCTATCTCCCTCAGCGGGCAGCAGCTTCAAATTGCGTCCAAGGTGAATTGGAGCCTGAGCACGCTATAACGGCACCCAATTCTGTCACAGGGTGAGGACCCTGCTCTGGAGCGATCCTTCCGGGGCCACAAGGATGCCGTCACCTCCGTCGTCTTCAACCCCAACATGAAACAGGTCGTCTCATCTTCACTGGATGGTGTGGTGATGGTTTGGAACTTCAAACCGCAGCTGCGGGCCTTCAAGTTTGTGGGCCACAAGGTAGGCAACTCCCTTGCACCGAGCCCCTGATTACCACTCTGCTCTGACTGGTAATTTGATAGTGCTGCGGTCTCACAGAACTTCAAGCTCCGCAGGCATCTAGGCTCGTAGGCAGCTTGTTTGTGGCACCCATAGAGTCCAAGCACGTATGCACGGCTCAGGTCACGCTGTGCTTGCACTGGCACCCTTCATTCATCTCCTCATAGAACGAGCGTCTACAAGTCTACTCCTAGCCTTTGCCCACTCCTTTCCTGCAGGCATCTGTCTTTGCAGTAGCCTTCTCTCCGGTGGGGGACATCATTGCGTCAGGGTCCAAGGACAAGACCATCAGGCTCTGGGTGCCCACTGTGTGAGTCCCTGTACCAATAAGCCAAAGCAAGTGTGGATTTCTGCTCATTGTTTGGGTCCTGAGCTTCATGACAAGGTAATTCGACTTTAATGGACTCAATCAAGCGGCTCGTTGTGCTGAATGTGCCTCTTTGCGATCTTGACTCTTGCAGAGAGGGCCGGTCTACGATCCTGTCGGCTCACACAGCCCCTGTGCGAAGTGTCGCCTTCTCGCAGAATGGACAGTTCCTAATAAGTGGCTCAGATGATAAGGCCGTCAAGGTGAGCAAGTCTGCCCGCCACTTGCGGAAGATGTTAGTCATCTTGAGTACCGCTCTCTGAGCCATGCTTCCAGATTCTTAAGCAGCTTGCCTCATCCCGGCGTCGTTTCCCGTACGCTGTCATAAGAAAGAGGTGCCCCAGATGATCCGAGGTGCAGTGACAATGCGGTGAGATGCCTGGAGCAAGCAAGATGCTTTTGCTTTACAGCGCTGTGGGGGTTTTGCTCCTCTGCAGGTCTGGTCAATGCAAAGCCGGAAGTTCCAGTTCACGTTATCTGGGCATAGCAACTGGATCCGGTCTGCGCAGTTCAGCCCAGATGGCAGGTAAAGCACTCTGAAGACAATCGTTGAGTCCTGGTCGCTGGTAACAACATCTGATACTTGCTTGTCTGTCAAGGTGTAGGCAAGAGGTGCTTCCCACCTACGTTTGTTGTGGTATCCTTAGGAGGATCCACTACCTCTGTTTGATCTCTCCCCTTGCCGATACTCCAAAAGCCGCTCAATCATCTGGCTCTCACGTGCAGGCTTGCCGTCTCTGGTGGAGACGACAAGACATCAAAAGTCTGGGATCTAGAGAGACGTACATGTCTGCAGACATATGACGACCACACAGGGTGAGAATCAAACCCAAGAACGAAGAGTTTGATTCAGCAGGCCGTCAGGCTGTTCGCACTCGAAGCAGAGTTGCACCTGCTTCTTGCCAACTCGATATGTTCACATCGGGCTTCTCGTCTTGTTTTTCAACCGAAGCAGGCCAACCAAGTAAGCCGGTGCTTCTGTTCGCAGGAATGTGAATAGCGTCCAGTTCCACCCCGACGGCAATTGCATGGTCTCCTGCTCCTCCGACAAGTCCATCAAGGTCAGCGGTTCCACCGTCAGTCGCCTACTCAACACGTTACCAAAAAAAGAGTCCCTTGTCTTTGGTTCGCCCACGCCTGGCAAGCAGGACGTCAGACCTTGCATCAGACTCCGTTAAACTGCACTTCGTGACAAGGATTCATTTCACTTATGGGACAGCACTCTTGCCACTCGCTTTGACAAGAAAGCAAGTCGGACTCGGGCAGCTTCTTTGAGTAGCGCATCGAAAGGGCAATGGAGAAACAGGCCCCCAGATCGCTGACCTTTTCCTTGTCGTCAGGTGTTCGACGTGCGCACACGGTCCCTGGTGCAGCACTATGGGGCGCATACCGGTCCCGTCCAGTCCGTTGACTTCCACCCCTCCGGCAACTTCCTCATCTCCTCCAGCCAGGACAGCACTCTCAAGGTACATTCCAAACAGCTGCCTCAAGCTGGCAAGTATGGTCGTCCAGTCGTTTGGAAGGTGCTTCGTCGATGCAGAGAGCAGGGGGCGTTGCTTGCTCCAGCTAACCTTGAACTACTTGTCTGCCAGATGCTGAGGAGGCAGCTTTCAAGAATACAAAGGATGTGTCCTTTGGACAAGGGTTGGTCGAAAGGATCCAGCTTGTTGACTGATCGGCATATCCAGGGGCGTTTTGGGAATGCGCTGAAAATCTTACAAACGTGATACGCCCCAGGTGTGGGACCTGCGGGAGGGCCACCTGTTCTACACGCTGCACGGCCACGAGGGCCCCTCCACGTGCGCAAACTTCTCGCCAGCGGGCGACTTCTTTGCGTCGGGCGGAGCGGACGAGCAGGTCATGGTCTGGCGCACCAACTTCGACAGGGCCGTCGGTGAGCGCCGCGCAGCGCGAGCTACGAATATGCGCTGGCGGCTGACTGCAGAGGGGCGTGCGAGCTGCCGCTTGTACTTCAAAGGGCCGCTGTTTGCTGGCCCTTCGACAATCTGCAATGAGCTCTGCAAATGCTTTCTACCAGTTCAACGATTTGCAGCATAGTTCCTTCAGAGCACCGGTCCGCCGCGACCTCGAATTTTGGTCGTGCTCGATAAAGCCTCCTACATTCTCGGGAGGGCTCGACGTTGAAGACGCGCGCTCTGAACGGAGCCGATTGACGCAATCTTTATGTCATACTCTCAAATGAAAGCCGGATGTTGTCTCCGCTGGCCATCCCTCTAACTGAAAGTCAATTACACCATTTCCTCGCAGAGGGGTACGTACTGGCTGCCACCACCAAGGAGAACGTGCCACCCGCCGCCAGAGACGCTCCTGCGGCCAGCAAGAAGGCTGGCGGTGTGGCGCGGCCGGCTGGGAAAGACGGTCCGGCCCTGCCAACTCCGCGACAGCGTGAAGCAGCGCAGGGACCTGTTGGAAACGAAGCAGGGCCAACAAGAAGGGAGCCTAGGCCATCAGCGGGGCCAAGTCAAAGAGAGCAGGTGGGGGACTGTGAGAACAAGGTAGCAAAGAATCGTCTAGGAGTTGACTTTTCCAGTGCGTTGTTCCTATATTGGAACGTATGGATTTTTTGACTTGGAGATGTAGCTAATTATGGAGCAGGAAACCCACCTGGCGGGGAGCATCACACGTCGGGGCCTCCATAGGATGCTTGACCCTTGACCCAGTGTCGACGCCAGGACTTGTCTCCAACAGGGCGTGGCTTCTGCTTGAAGCGATCCCTGACTGAAGAGCGACGCTTCTCCTCGATCCTGTGCAGCCGGAGACGCAGGAGGAGACAGCAGTTCCTGCTGCAGAGAGGGCGGCGGAGGCACGCGCGCGCGAGGCACTCCAGGCGACCGCCCCGGCCGCGGCCACGGAGTACGAGGCGCTGGCGTCTACCCTCCAAGTAAGTAGCTCTTACACTCGAACCCTTTAAGTTGCTATTTTGGGAGATTTATGTTGTCAAGAGCGAGGGCAAATCCTTCGCGCTCTGCGTCCACTGCCCAATGGAGTTCTAGAAACCAGGCTACAGCTCCAAAACTGCTCTGTGCGTCTTTCCCGTCTCCGATGACCTTTTGTGGTTATTGACGAAGAGTTTTGCCGGCAACAACCTTTTTTGCCCGCTCGTGAGCACGTTGAAACTCTGCGTGTTGTCGTGGCGTGCGTGCAGCACATTGTGGGCCAGCTGGACGTGCTGACGCAGACCATGGCCATGTTTGAGGAGCGCTTGACCATGAACGAGGACAAGGTGAGCGGCAGCCCAATTGCGTAACTGCGCTGAGAAGAACCGTCCGACCTGCCGGTGCGGATGCGTGTCACACCGATGCCCCGTGCCAATGCCAATGGTCAGACATGGTCCAGGCGCCGAAGGGAACTCCAGATGTGCTGCACAATAACTCCGATGAGAGTGTCGGTTTGCATAGATACAACCCATCGCCATCGACTATGGTGGCACGGTGACTCGGCACCTACGGTGCCATAGAAGGCACGCCTAATATGGCAATCTTCTTTCTCGTTTTCCAGGTGATGCGTCTTGAAAGAAGTCGAATAACATCCGACACCGGCACCAATGGTGACAGAGCAAAGCCTGCATCTTTGTAGATCTGGTTGGCATGACCCGGAAGGTATAGCAGGTACGAAGTCGGGTTTCCTCGCTCTTGTATTCCGTCAAAATGCACTATTATGTTATATTTGCGGTCAGCTCGCAAGCTGTTTGGGCCGGAGTGCCAACCAGTTGATCCGTTCGAAGTCATCCACAAATCCTGTCAGAAGCTACGCGTGAATTTCCATAGCTGACCAAAGCAGAGCTCGCGAGAACTGTGTCACTGGTGCATCTCATGGCTTCTTACTGCAAGCTGGCGGCCGCGCACTGCAATCGTTATTTATCGGTTTGTGTTCACTCCGCGTCCCAGGCGGTCCCCCAAGTTCAACATGCTTTGTATAAGGGATGACATGGTAATTACAAGACGTCCCGGAGTTTGTGAAGGTGCTTTGCACTTTGCGTATGCCCCACAATGTGCTCCCTCATGATGGGCGGATCAAGGGACAATCTAGCTCGTCATGGCGAAAGTCACATGGCGCATAATAGCAAGCTTGAGGGGCGAGAGCATTTGACATGACAGATCACTTAGTAGCCTGAATGATCGGCTAGTATCCGATACAATTTGGAAGTTTGCGTCCGTCTTGGCCTCAAGTGCCGCATCATTGTGCATCAGGGCCAGCTGCTATAATTGCATGTGGGCCCGGAACTTAGTGAAAAACGTAGTAGCTTTGTAAGTACTAATCACTCGACTTCACTTCGATTCATATTCAGGCTCCCGCGGTCTTGAGCTTATACAGTCACAATTGTAGCTTCAAATATAGCCCGTCATGCATTCAAAGGAGCCCGCAAAAGCATGTAAAAAGAGCGGGGTAGATAGCTCTGAGCATACCATACTGCAAATCTACAATACGTATAGTAGCACATGTTCACATGACCTGTGAGCTTCGATCTTATCATGAATATGAAATATCAAGACTGGCGTGCCTATCTATATACCAGTTCGCCTGGCAAAAGCAGAGTTTCCAAAGCCAGCGAGAAACTCCGACAGGGCAGGCTGACGGCGAATCGGGAACATCAGGATCATGACCCTCGTACTCATGGCCGCCTCGCCGAAGAATGTCCCCGCCGGCTGCTTGGCCAACGATCGAAAATTGCAGACACCCGGTGGCTCAGCCCGGGCAGGTAATTGAAACCAATTGCCGTCTCCTGAATTGACAGAATATGACTGGGGGGACGCCGGCACCTGCGGGCCGGGACGGAACACGGTGCCGCAGCTGCGGTGGTCCCGCGCGGGGCGGCGTGTGTGTACTAAGCCTTTCAATGCACGAGCCACACTATTGCCTCTTCAATGATGTGCACACAAGCTGTGCACACCCAGCTGCTCTTCTCCGGATTCGCCGGTTTTTTGTTGAACCAGGCTATCATTTAACCCATCATGGATCAGTGCGCGTAAAGATATGATGGTCTCAATGGTCCCTTTCGTACTCGCCGTAGCCAATTACAACAACAATAACAATATGATCGGCCATGCTATTACTAAGGTCAAAAGGCTTCACTGATTCTCATGGCAAAACCGTACCCGTACGGTACTAGTACATCCAATGGGCTGTGCTCGACTCCACCGACATAAATTTGTTCTTAGGCTATTATCAATCATCTGATCAACGACAAATCTTTGGTAGTGTCTAATAGGTAGCATAATAGCGATAGAAATACACCACATATGCCATCGAAGAATGGAAGAAGCCTGTGGCCGAACCATGGCAGCGGCGTACCTATCTGCCAAGGAGACCTTCAACCTGACGATTTTCACTTTCGATTCGATCGAGGTGGCGCAAGTGAGGCGCGACCATGTGTCAGCAAGGCGGGGAACGTGCCAATCTACAAACCAATCGGCGATTTGACCGCTTCGAACCAGTGTTTACCACGAACCGACTTGCAGTGGTATTGCAACCGACTAAAATCGGCTGCAGCCGACCGAGACGAGGGTAGCCGGCCGGAGGCCGGTTGAGAAGCCGGCTCAAACAGAGGCTGTCGGTTCAGCAAACCGGGCAGATCCAGTCCAGCAGATTGCGTTATGAGCAATTACCAACTTTAATTCAGCAGAATACAGGGTTTTAGAACCGATTAGTCGTGCGATTGAGTCCTCCAACCTGGATTTGGCCTGTTTTGTAGCTTTTAGAAGCTAATAGAGTTCGGGAGACCACCGAAGCCTGCAAAATGTTAGAGATCGGACGGAAATGGCCGCAAAACCGACCGCCGCAATGTCGCTCGGACATATAGTCCAACCGGCCGAAATCCAGAGAGCCGGCCCTGGCAAACCGGCCGTCGCTTGCTCTCAACCGACTGATCGGGGACCCCCGATCCTCTGGGCGACCGGCAACCTCAAAACTTCGTGGTAAACACTGCTTCGAACGGCGAAAGGTGCAACTGATAGGTACTCTGACAGATCTACGAATCTGACAGGACTTCTTGTGAACCAATCAAAACAAATTCGTTCACGTCATTTTGCCGGGTAACAGAACTCAGGCCAAGTGGCGTTACGTCACCTTCTCTGCTGAGTCAGATCTCTGACAAACAGACGTGTAACACATCATGATTGACGTGTTACGTGTCTGCTCTTCTCGCTGTCGACGTCGCGCCCCATCGAAGGTATCGAAAGGTCACCATCGACAACTGGCCGTGTTTGATCTCATTTGATTGTAACATTCAGCTTGTTAACCTGGGGATTTGGGTCCATTTTCTATCTCACGGCGCGATTGTGCCCCATTTTATATAACCTTGGAGGAGTTAATTCAATGCGTTACGTCCGGCTGGAGCAGGTCATTGTGTCTGTCGAAAGCAAGAAAAGTGGATAGCGTTATCCACAAAATTTCCTAGTCAGCACGGCGGCTATCCGAATCAGCGAAGGTCCCGCGCACCAGTTGCTGCAAATTCGCTACTGTGCCTGTCAGACTTCAGTGCGACAGTGAGGCTGTGTAACTTGTAAGTCTGCGCCTGTGTTGAACTTGCAGGAAGAATGCTGCTGCGGGAGTTCTCGAAGTCACGTCGCCAGAGGCGGTAGGGTCAGGTCTGGTCGAACATACAAGTTGGGCAGGGCACTTTGGTGGACCACATTCTTCTGAGAAAGTGTCCACGCAATGGCGTCTGCAACGTATGCTTCGATCAGCCCCCTGCAGACGCGGCAAATGTCAGGTGCCATGTCTTCCTGCAGCGGGGCTTTTCTTGGTGAGCAGGCCGCGATTCGGCAGCTGTCGAGCGGGGTCATGAGGTCGCACAGCAGGTCAACTTTTCAGCGGAGCACAGGGTTCGCTGTCTCACAGCACAGTCAACAAGCAATGTGCGGAAGCAAAGCAGAGACTCTTCCATCTCCGTCCTGGGTCCAAGATTCAATGCGAACAGCTGTGGATGCTGTAAGCGCAGCGCAGGCAGTCAAGGCCGTAAATTCTCCCACCCTTCCAGCCTCCACATGGACCCAAGCCCCTGAACCAGTGTCGCAGGCCGCTCGCTGCAGTTGGCCCAAAGAGCACAAGTCTGGTCAAGCGACCCCTGTCATGTTTTTTGAGGAAGTGGACGAGGAAGTCACAGAAGGTCAGCAACTTCATGAGGAGTTTGCTGGGGAGCTCATGAAGAGGAGCAGGTCGGAGCAGCTTTTGCTTGATCTGGAGGAGGCGGAGCTAGGCCCCAGGTCCGCCTGGCCCCGGAAAGCAGTCAGCACCGACAGTGCAAACCGGCTTCCGGGTCCTCGGAGTGCTTGGCCCCGCACTACTTTGACAGTGGAGGCAGAGGAAAGGGTTTTGGGTCCTCGGTGCGCCTGGCCACGCACAGTGTTGAAGACGGAGCCGGAGGAGAGGGTCTTGGGGCCACGCTGTGAGTTTCCCCGGAACACTATCACGGGGTCTGCGGCGGCTCCCCTTGTTGTTGCTGGGGCAGCCTGTGCCTGGCCGAGACAAAGCCAGTCTGCCCTCTCGACAGCCCTTCCGGAAGTGGAGCCTATGTATCCACGCTGTGAATGGCCCAGGAAAGAGGCAGCCATGGTGGAAGTTCCGTCTGCAGAGGGACCACGGTGTGCCTGGCCGGCTGCCGCGTCTTTACTCAAGAAGGAAGCCGTGAGAGTGGCTAAGCCTAGCAAGGCCAAGAAGGAGGTCCAGGGTTGGCCGTGGGCGGTGGTCCCTGTGGCCCTGGAGCCCATCCCGGACCACGACTTGGCACAGGGGCCACGATGCGCCTGGCCCAGGGTGCAGCCTCAACTTCCAGTTGAGCAGTCAGCAAGGTGAGGGCAACTCTGCATCTCCTATTACAAGTATGTGAGTTGGCTGCTCCGTTTTTGATGTGTTTAGGACCCATTCCATGTGCAGATTGCGTAATAGACGTTGTTTGATCCTCAGCTCTGCAGGTTTCCAAGTTTTCCTCCTTGGCTTGGAAGGGTATCTCGTTTATAATGCAACAAGCAGGAAATGCTTAACTTGTCTGGATGATTACTGTGTTTGCTGGGAAAACCTGTACATGCGCAGGACAGTGCAGTGTGAAGTAGGTAGAATCTGTCAATACTTGTTTACATTGTGGTCCGAGACACTGCATTGCTCGCTGTCTATTTTGAGCATTATGCGCTAGGTGAACCCTCTTCTTATGTGTGGCCTGATCTTCTTCAGGTCACACGGCCCGTCTACTCCCACGCCAGCTGGTCCTAGATGCGAGTGGCCTGCCAAGCAGGGGGTCCCCTCCCTCTCCCCTGCTGCCCCTCCTGACGTCCTGGGCCCACGCTGCGCTCTTAGAGTGAACGCCCCTGCCCCTGCCCCTGCCCCCGTTCCAGTGCTCGGCGCAGCTTGTGCTTGGCCCAGGAAAGGAGGGGTGCAGGCTGTCTCTGAGGATCAACCCCCTGCCCTTGGTCCCCGCTGTCCCATCAAGCTCCCAGAGGAGAGAGCTCTTGGCCCCCGGTGTGCCCTGAAGGTGCCTGCAGAAACTGTCCTGGGCCCCAGGTGTGCGTTGAAGCTGCCAGGGGCTGAGGAGGCGCGAGTGGAGGGGCCCCGGTGTGCCTGGCCAAAGGCAGGGGCGGAGCCGGTTGTTGCACCGGCCGTGGAGGAGAACGAGAACGTCGCGCCCAGCAAGGTGCAGAAGAAGAGGGTGGGGATGCTTCCGCGGCGGGCGCTGTTCACGCGCATCCCAGTGCGTAATGCGAAAGGGCCGAGCCTGGCGCGGATCGGGAAGGTTAAGGTGGCCAGGCCTCAGCCGGAGGCGGGGCAGGACCTGGCAAAGCCTGCAGAGAAGGTGCCAGCAACGGCCGCATGGCCGAGGCGGCTCCTGGCGACCAGCATTGGCTTGGGTGCTCTCAACCAGGCGCTGGTCAGGTCGCAGGCGCAGGCAATGGCTCTGGATGCTCCGGCAGTCGTGTGGAGGCGGCTAGAAAGCTACAGCACCACACCTGATGTGGAGGGCTCAGAGGAGGATAGCCAGAGTTGAGATATTATTTTTGGTGTCATAAGGGTATTGTAAAATAGAAACAGGGAAAAAAGAAAGGGGGGGTGGAGGGGGCTTTGTAATCCAGGAGATCAGTTTGCAACTCGAGGGGATACGCGTAAAGCCATCATAGCCCACCAGATTTTTAGTGCTTGGGTTGTTTAAAGTAGGAGACTGTGAGTTTCAATGCGACCGCCTTGCAGGATCAATCTTGCCTGCTTGGCTGGGTTGGCGCGCAAAGGATCTGCGTTTGCTAAAGATCAAACATTGGTTACACTACTGACATGTACAGATTGATCTGCTCGGAAAGAGATTCGCCTTTCAAAAGAGTACGTTGCAAACCCATTTCAGCTCTACTTCACTTCAAGCATTGGGCACTATGGTATCACATCGTTTTAATTTTGCCTTGCAGTGCATGGTCAGCAAGACTTTCATTTCATCATGATCTGGAGGCTGAATGCATGGACTCTGAGCATTGTTGTGAGGTTGATCTTACAACGGTGGCCTATATGCCCTATTTGGCTACGGCGAGTACGAAAAGAGGCCATCTTCCATGGTTGGCCTCTATGTATTCAATGGGCATGCTGGACGGCAGGTTTTCAGTTGTAACTTGGAAACGTTTTTGAGATCATTTCCTAAATCCCAGATATTTTTGTATACATGTGAAGGCGGTTTTACATTACTCAGTGCTATTGCATCATCGGCTCTTATATTCTTAAACCCCTGCCTAGAGCCGTCCACGCAGACAGCTAACCATGAGAGGTTAGCTATAGCGTGCATGAGCTATATAGCTTATTGAGTCTGTCAATTCACTGGTTTTGTACCGTTCGTTTCCAATTTGAGCTCATGCCATGCATGGCACAATGATACCGGTATGGCCATGTGGTTGTTGACGCACTGTGGGCGGACGGCCGCCGCTCGACTGGCATTGCAGGATGCTGCAACCATGATTCCGCACGGATGCACATTTTCAACACATACGGTTTCGCAGTGGTGCTGGTCACGGGTGGTCCGGGTGGTAAGAACTGATCTACTAAATACAATCCGTGCGTGCTTATTCACAGCAAGCTGGCATCTTAACATATACCAGGGTTGGGATCATTGGTTGATTAAACAGGCGAAAGGAGCTACAGAACCATGGGGATGCCTGATTGTGCAATAATGACACACAGCCAGGTTCCGGCGGCTGGCCATGGCCATGCACTGGCCGCCGCCAGGCTTAAGGCCCATGTGGGGCTGGCTATCCTTGCATCGGGTTTTTGAACCGATCCCGGATATCGTGAAACTTGGATGATCTCGGCGGCGGGTGTGTAGGTTGCAGTCGAGGTGCAACTGCGGCCTGCATATTTATGGCACCGTTGACTTGCAACTTTATCAATGAGCGACATTTCGAAATACGTTCTCTGTCCAAACCAACACTCGTTGTTGCAGGGGCGATCCACATCCGTCCCTCAGCTATTGGTGCGCTGGAATTCAATGTCGATTCTCCTGCAACTGCAGTCATTCGTTGAGTCGACTAACGGAAGCTGTCAACACTAAGGCCTAACTTATTACTCTTCCTTGAGCAATTGCTCTACAAGACTGAAGACCTACTGTCCAGCGACGGATGCCGGTGCCTGGCGACAAGCAACTTTGGTGCCAGCCGACCCTATCATAGCACATCGGCACGTCCGCAGTGCTAATAGGAGAATCCACGATTTTCAAAAAATGCACAACTCGCAACTCGTATCTTCCCAAACTCAAGGCGGAAAGTAAGGCCGGCAGCCTCAAGCCGCTGCTGGTACGTCTATTACCTACGAGGTGTGCGCATGTTTGCCCCTCAGGTTCCCATTCACCGGCTTGCCATGCCTGCATACAGCTTCTCGATGATGTCGCCATACTTTTTCTGCACCAGAAGACATTACGTATGTGAGCTTGGCTGGCTGACAAGACAGTCGGCTTACCACGATTTCCGCTGGCCGTGCTTAATCTAGAAAAGAGAGCACTAGGAGGAGAATGTGCAAAGAATGGCATGAGAAGGGCAATATCTGCTCTCAATGCATGCGGCTACACTGCTTTGTTCATTTGCCAAGCATTGCAGCTCTGTCGCTCTTCGCTGCATTCCGCTGCAACCAGGATGGAAGAAACGAAGCTGATCCTGAGATGCACGGTTTCTTCCGTGATGGCATACTGCGATTCGATCAGTCAAGCTTTTGAAAGGGTACTCCCACGCACCTTGAGCTGCGGCCGCTTACTCTTGAAAGTCGGCCTGCACGCACGGACCGTCCGGATCAACAACTTGCAGCATACAATCTTGTTCATTGTCTCAACAGAAAGCAGGGTTGTCTTGCTAGGCTCGCGACATCGAGGAACAGATGATCTTTTCTGCCAATTCCTACGAGGACAAAATTGCGCCTGGCAGCTTTTGACTGCCGTTCAGCAGGCATGGTACAGCACGAGGGGCCCTCACGTGAGCAGGTCGTTGTCCACCGAAAACGGCTCCGGGTCAAGGTGGACGGCCCGGATCACCTGCAAGCCCAACGCTGACGTCAGCAAGAGCGGGGAGAAAAACTGACGTCAGCGCCAACCCGGCTCGCAAGCTCAGCTCCTGCTGTTCTTTCTCTTGGCCAGAGGGATCGAGTCCCAGGAGAAGGGGGGACGGTACGTGGCCGAGGGGGAGCATAATTAGATCCACGCCTATAGCCATCTAAGCAGTTCGGCAACGCTAGCTTGTACTAAGAGCGGCTTGCACTAAGATAAGCAACCGAGGGACGGGTGGGGTCAATTTGGTGGTTAGGGTGGGTGAGGGTGCGAGCGCGTGATTTGATTGGTTAGGATTTCTAGTTTTAAGTGCCCGGGAGCTATGTATCTTAGTGCAAGTGGCTTTTAGTGCAAGCGAGCGTTTCCAGTATCATCTAAGCTTTGGGTGTGATGGTTGCGGAAATTGCAGGGAACGCAGTAGCTGTGTGGGAGTGGCGACGTCACCTCAAAGCCCTTAAGGGCGGGAGGCCCCTTAGCGACGACCTTGAGGTCCGCCAGCACGGCCTTCTCTGCCTCCGCCGATGCAGCCCTGCGGAGAGGAAACGGTTGGGCTGGTGAGCAAAGAGGAGGGGGTCGGAGCCAACCGTCTTGGCAAGTGCGCAACCAAGAAACGTCTCCTCTCATTGAATAATGGAAGAAAGGCCCGTCAGAAAGCGCAAGAGTGGATGAGCAGGTCCGCATGTCTGAAATGCATGCACGCAGGAAGCTTCCGGTCCCTTGCGACTCTCGTGCGGAAGGGATGGGGATCCGGCTCGTGAGTCGACATGCGACCCTTCTGGTGATTTTCCTCGTTCTGGATCTTTCAGCACATGAATCAGGACCGTACTCAAGGGCCTAGTACGTCCCGGTTTGACGAACCTAGCCGTATTATGGCAGACAAGCTTCGCTCGCCCGCATTATACTGAGTCGGAAGCCGGAGTCCCATTTCGGGAGTGCAAAACGCAAGACAAATCCATGCAGAGTGTGCATTTTTCCGTGCCGCTCACAGCTTCTCGTCGGGCGCGTCCGCGAGCGCAGGCTGGCTGGTCTTGGCCCACTCGCGCAGCGCGCCAACGTCGGGGACCACCACCGCCACCAGCGTCGACTGCAGGCTGCACAAGTATGGCAAGAATATGAGGTGAGCAAAGCCGCCTTGAGAAACCTTCCGTGTTGCGGCATGGGCTGCGTTTGTGCGGACAGGTAAAGAGATGATAGCACCACCGCATGGTTTTGGATCGAGCGGTGAGTATCTCGCACTGATGAGGCTCGTTTTGCAACGGCAACTTGTGCGTGTAGCCATCTGCACGTGGCTACGCTTTTCTGGAGTTCATGTGCCCAGAGTCATCGGTGAGCCTGCAAGCCATTGCCTGCCCTGATGATTGGGCCCACCCCCTTGAGTAAAAAGCGTGGACAAGATGCAAGACCATAGAGGAGGCTTCGACATCCATTTCGATAAGCTCTTTACAGCCGTGTTACGCAGCTGCTCGAGACACGCTCCAGACACGCAACCACGCTGCCTTCCAAAAGCTCTGCTGTTTGTGGTCAAACATGGGTTCCCCAGCGCAGCTCAGTTGCAATCGTTCAATCTGCGTGTGACCGCAGCCGGAGGTTCAATCTACGAACCTCCCGGTAGAAGATGGTCGATCGTTAGTGGGTTTTAGGAACCCCCAGGCCAGCAGGACGGAAGACGGGAGGGACAAGCGTACCTGTCTCCGTAGACGAAGATTTGAGAGACGAAGCGCGAGGCCTGGTATTGGATCTCTAACTTCTCCGCGGCCACATACTGCAACCACAGACGGACTCGTCAATTTCTGGGTCGACTTGATGCACTGCGACTCCATGAACCCTTGCAGCTCAGCCTCAGTCGCGGATGTGACCGGTACTTCACCAATCAGACTGCAACGCTGAGCTATCCCAAAGACGTATCTACTGTCACTCGAAGCACAGATAGTTTCAGGAGGGAGTTCCGACACATTGAGGCTACGTGATGGACGCTGTCCCCACCTCGCCTTGCGCGAGCTTGAAGATGTTCTTCTTGCGGTCGATGATGTTGAGCGTGCCGTTGGGGTTGATCTGCCCGATGTCTGCACGCACCAAAACCAACGCTCTGAGCCACACGACCTGCGCAACTCACTACCTGCTCTTTCTCCAGGCTATTGATATCCAGACCCCTTCCTCTCATCAGCACTCTTAACGACAGCACGCAGAACACCAGAGATCGGTTATGGCAGCTTTGTATCCACTCGTGACTTGAGCAAGCAGCTCGATTTGGCGGGATGCGGCAAGCACTGTGGCTGGCGAGACTCGTGCAGCGGTGCGGTGGGGCGGCGCTCACCCCCGGTGTGGAACCAGCCGTCGGCGTCGAGCACCTCGGCAGTCATGGTGGCCTCCTTGTAGTAGCCGTCCATGATGCTGTACCCGCGCAGCACGATCTGCGCAACAGCGGGGAGGATGATCAACCACGATATTACGCACAAGAGGACGCGGTAACGTAAGGAGCGAACCAAGAGCTGTGTTTGAGACTTGGCAATACTAGGCGTTCGGGTTGCGGCGCGACCGTGCAATACCGTGGACGAGTGCCGCACGTCCAGACAGCTTCTGTATGAACGGCAGCTTACAGCCTCGTGAATGAGTTTCCATCTTCTTCAGCTCTTCCCTTACTCTTCAGGAGACTAAAGTCATGCACCCAAAAACGACAGGCACCCGCATGTTGTAAGCCGGAGAACCCCACGATGGATAGAGCCAAAATTGAACGGCTTCGCTCAATAATAGACCCAATCGACAAGTCACCCTATGCCGGCGAGGGCACTGACGTTCGCAGCTCATACGTGGTTTCAGAAGGAGTTTCCTGTCGTACCTCCCCTTGCGGCACGTCCCCCCCCGCAGTGTAGCCCATCTCCGGGACGTCCTCCAGCTTCAGCTCTAGGCTCGGGCTGGGGGGCCCCACGTGGCCCCCGCTGGGGTCGGACGCAATGGCGATAGCGCCCCCAGCACAAGTCTCGGTCAAGCCGTACCCCTGCCGGAGAGGAGTGCCACGTTAGCGAACAGAGGGCAAGCAGATTCGGTGTAAGAAGTAGGCTCGACCGCAACGTGAGTCAATGGAGGGGTGGCGGGACTTTGAGAGAAATCCGGTGGTAGGATTACGGACGCTGCTTATGATTGTAAGACGACACGAGTACGGCGGCGCCTCTCTTCTTCGGCTCCCAGCTTCCCGGCCCCGTGTCCTTCACCCCCCCCGTGCTCTGATGGGGTGGTTTGGTAACAAGCGGACAAATTGATTAGCTATTTAAAGCAAAGTCGGCATTGAAAAAGTAGTGGCAGCATACCTGGATGGCCGGAGCTCCAAAGGCGTTGCTCAAGAACTGCAGAAAGGAGAGGAAGAATTTGTATCACGGATCCCAGCGGAAGGATCAAGAGCGGCTCTGCTTACGCAGATCCGGGAACACTTGACTTGGGACAAGGGGTGCAAGACAGTTGTCTCAGCAGGCTGAAAACGAACAAAAGACTTCGTCACCGGACTGCTATGACGAGGCCCCAGCAGTAGCTAAACTCCAAAGGCCAGCCAACGCGTCTGCTGAGACGCTGACGTGTCGGAGGTCCGTCAGCAGAGGGTGCGGTTACCTCCTGCGTGCTCTTGCTGAGCGGGGCGCCGCCAGACACAATGAGCCGGCACTCCCCTCCAAGAGCAGCCTTGATCTGAGACGACACAGACAAGATATCAGGCCGAGGCTGAGGCACTTCTGACGATTACGTTGTTCGTAAGCAGGAAGCTACATTGAGGAACAGTGAAGAGAGCTAACGGGGAATCCTCGGGTAGCGTATGTCTTCTGTAGTACATCATCATTACAAACGGTGGGCAAAGGGAAGGAAGTAACTAAGGGGAGGGAGGTCAGAAGCGTCGCAAGAAAGACCTGCGCGCTTTTGCAGAGGAGGGTGACCGCACCTTAGAGAAGACGAGCTTGTTCCAGAGCGGCACCGTCGCGGGGTCCCCCCCTGCGGCGCGCACGCGGCTGGTCTCGGCCATGGCGGCCTGGAAGAGCGCCTTCTTCACCTTGCCGCCACTCGCCAGCTTGGACAGCACCCTGCAAACAGCCAGCCAGTGCTAAGTCAACGGCTCATCGGCTACAGTGTTGAAAGGAATTGCGTCCGAGGCAATCACTGTTGAACGGGTCAGCAAACGCCTATCGCGACTACCGCTGCAAATGGGCGGAACGAGCCTTTTCAACTCGAAAATGCGGAAGACGTAAGGTCGACATTCAAGACAGTTTTCGCTGCAATTGGAGCGCTGCTTTCAGGATCGATGTGGCTCTCTCAGCCTCCCTCGCAGAGCGGATCGCGTGGCGCCTTACTTGTCGTGCACCCGGTTGAAGACACGTGGCACCCCCGCGAGGATGGTCGGCTTGAGCGCGGCCATGTCGTCCAGGAGCGCGTCCACCTTGCCGCCAAACACGCCCACCGCCGCGCCGTAGCGCAGCATCACCGTCACCATCTAGCAACCACGGCACGGCGGATAAGACGGCCCATTGTTGATAAAGAGCATATCGACCAAGGACTGTGCTCGGTGAAAAGCAATTGAGAAATTGAAATGTAGAAGGAACATGCTCCGCATCTGTAGCCACCTCAAATTGCCGAACCGACTTCACCCATTCCCTGGGCACTTCCCTTAGTCAACATGGCCCTTCGTCAACATGATATCAAGACAATCTGACCGTCCGTAGCAATATGGAACAAAGCTTGTACACATGACAGGGCCTTCTTGTTTAGAGAGCCGGGAGACTGAGGTGATGGAGCCCACTTCAGACGTCAAAATTACAACAGATTGACGTCATCCAGCAGATAAAGCGGCACAGAAAGGCGGTCCGGCAACTCACGACCCTTTCGAAGATGTGGGCGAGTGGCAGGTAGCACAGGTACCGATCGCCCGCCTTGATGGGGAACCCTTGTTGCTGCATCGCAATGGAAACAGGCCGTTCAACTTTCGAAGTTAAGAGGGACTTAAGCGAATACTGCTCTACATTGGCTTCTTCCACATAGCAGTGCCGGAACAATGCTCGACGCGCCGCGTCTCCCTCCAATCGAGCAGTCGCTGGCAAAAGCACGGTAGTATAACAGAGTGCCGAAAGCAGGATGATTTTCGGCGGCCGCACAGATTACCGGGGCTCTTAACAGGAGAGACTTGAGGCGGGGAGCTCAGACGAAGTCGTACAGAGCTATGACGGTGTTACGGCGCAAAGCCACGAGCTCACCACTTGCACGAGCTCGGCCGAGGCAGCGTTGGCATTGACCGCCGCATGGCTCAGAATGACGCCCTTCGGATTGCCCTGCACAACCAACCAAGTCCTCATAAACCCTGCAGTATGTGCGCGCGCTCTTTCCTTCCCTAGAGGAAACCTTCCGGCACCTCGAGGCTGCAAATGTCTGTCGAAGAATCCTGCAGAATCAAACTAGTTCGAAGCCATCTGCTGACGTCATTCCCCGAGCGCTCACAGTGGTTCCTGACGTGTACATAATGGTGGCGGTGTCTTTGGCAGCGGGGGGCACGTCCGGCAGCGACGAGGCGCGGCCCTTGTCCAGCACCGCCGAGTAGGCCACAAGCTCCACACCTGAGGGGAAAACGCGTGGGCGTTCGAGGATGCGATCCTTTGATGCTCCACTTGTTATTTTTCAGACACACGAATTGCTGCACACCCGGACGTCAAACTTCGGGGAAAGTAGGATGAAGGGAGGCTCTTCGAGCGAAGGGAAATGCTACACGAGACAGCGCGTAACCTTCCAGCGGACCCTGAATAAAAGAAACATAAGCGGATGCGAAGCTCTTGACCTGCGTCCTTGGCGGTTTTGCGCTGCGCGTCGGTGGGCGTGTCGCCCGGCTCGGTGTCGAGGTAGATGATGGTGTGCAGCTTCTCCACCCTAGGCAGCACCCCCAACAGGGACGCCAGAGCCTGCCACGTGGCAGCAGCAGGGATCGACACGGAGAGAGTCTCTGAGGTCACAGGTCGAGCATCTAATCGACAATCACCAAGTTTGCCGCGAGAGGTGCGTTGCTCTGCAAGGGTTCGAGCGCACTCGTACCAAAACAGGTTCGAGATGTTGTAGACAGACTACAAGCAGTCCCGACAAGACCAGCGGGTTCGAAAGCATTACGCATCCTTCAGCACAAGCAGCCACAACATGCAAAAAATAGACAATATTGCCAAGATTACGACGGCCATTGATAAACGGCTCGACCCAATCCGGACAACCGGCACAAGCAGACTCTTGTTCGATGTACTGAGTCGCTGAATGGCCCCTCTCCTGATGACTTGGACAAACATGCTCCCTGAAACTGGCTTAACAAGTCGACTTGCGCTGACCTGCATGCTGGCGAGCGCGATTGTCATCTCGGAGTGGTCCACCACATAGGCCACTGCGTCCTCGCCCAGCGTCGAGTAGCTGGCAACACACGCACAGGGAAGATCAGGAGCGGAGGGAATGGGATCCCTCGCCCAGTTCGAGAAGAAGGCTGAGAAAGAAACGGGTCCATCTTTCAAACGTCTTCGATTTCGAGGGCCGCCGCAGACCAGCCCGAATGCCCGAAGATTTGGCGGTGCGCAAGTAACAGGATTGCCTGGTCGGGGAATGCTTTCATTCAGGTGATCAGTAAAGGAGCAGCAAACAGGACGTTTGAACAGCCAAGAAAGAGGCGCCCCGCAGGCATCAGTTCAAATTGGTGTGGGAAGGAGAGGGATATTGGGGTGACGGACTCACAGGGCCACAACGATGATGGAGTGGGCATACGCGCCCAGCTCCGCCACGATCCACTCCACCTTGTTCACCTGCAGCGCCCAACAAGAGTGCTGTCACAGCCTGATGCTGAAAGAAACCGAATTGACTTTTCGTACGACAAGATGGCGCTCCCTGGAGCGGATCACTGTGCATTAAATCTACCTGGAGTACTCTGTGACATTATTTTCCCGAGCAGGTCTCAAGCCAGGGCTTTCAACTACCACCAACAGCGAAACTACTCTTGGACAGTGCAAAGCTGGGCTGGAGACATTGAGCCTGACCGAGTAGATGCCCAGTTTCGACTTTGGTTGCAACCCCAGCGCGCGTAAGCCCCGTCCGAAGGCGGACGCCTCCTCGGCAACGTCTTTGTACGAGGTCCACGAGTAGCCGTCCGCTGTCCGGCGACCCAGGCACGGCTCCTGGACAAGAACAGCCGGAAATAGCAACGACGGTCGGTAGCTAGTCAGATTACTGTTCAACCAAAAGTTTGTCAGCGGTCAGCTATGTTTATTCCCCCAAAGTGCTCCTTGCTGAAGAGGTCTCGTAAGTTCTCAACTGGAAAAAAAACCATCTACACAAGGTGATTCGTCACTTCGTAGGACGGTGAAAAAGACAGTACGAAGCTTTTTCCATACATTTTATGGGTAAGCCACCTTTGCCTCAAGGGACGATGACAGTTCGTGCTTTGGCTGGAGTATAGGACAGCGACTGCCCAAGGCATTTAGCTGGGTTTGAGGGGCTGACCTGTGCGTGCTTGCGCGCGGCGTAGTTGAAGAAGTTGTCATACAACGTGTCCACGCTAGGCACCGCTGTTGCCACCTGCACAAAGGACCGGGCGTTCAACAGAGGCAAGCCGGGGTGTAACGGACATGAGGGACCAGCAGCTCACTCCTTATTCACCTTCTCTTTTTAGACACCGGCGCTGATGTCTTGCATTCTACGAGGGACCCCCCACTTTGGTCTTGAGGTTAGGAGACCCGTCATCTGTGGCCCCACTCTGAAAGATGCCCCTCACCGGATCGCCGAGTGGCTATTCCAACGTAGCCATCTCTGAGACGGCGGCAAGTTTTCAGTGCCCACATGGGCAACCTGGCAACAAGGTTTTCGCAGCAGGTGACCTTGTTTTCTCTCTTAACCACCTGCCACTTCAGTCACCCAGCGGAAGGCGCACTCACCAGCTGTCCATCAGGGCACAGGGCGCTGCGCCAGATGGGGTCCTGGCCCTGCCGCACCTGAAGCAACAACAGTGACCCAAGTCAGGGGCGCTGCCCAGCAGAGCAAAGCAGAATATGAAGAGGGGTCACTAAGGTCAATCACTCCGTGAACATGAGGGATCCTCACAGAAGGCCGCTGCGCTGAAGCGCCTCTTCTCCCACCAACTTCACAACACGGGCAGCCGCCTGAGTGAGAGGATATTTAGAATGGGACTCATACATTGCCCAAGCTCATATGGCCTTCAACGACATTTGAGTGTCTGTTTGAGAAGGTTGCCATCTAATCTGATTACTCTTGATAACCATCATACACAGTGGTTTGGGGCGTCTCACCGACTGGTTGGCGACCTTCTTCAGCCGCTTCTTCCTCGCATGGGCCGACACCGCCCCAATGGCAGCAGCAGCCAGCAACGCTCCGATGGCTGTGTTTCTGCTGCCCCCCAGGTTACGAACATTCTGAAACGGGCACGTCTCAAAGGCCTGCATCACGGGGCGACAGGTGTCAGCCCATGTATCCTCCTTTGGGCCTGAGAGCCAAAAGGGGGGCAGGTTGATGATAAGTCGGAAGGGGGCAAATGGGGCATTGTACTTTACAGTGCTGAAACATGGTGGCAACCGGGGGCCGACTGAGATTGACACAGTTCCATCACTCAAGTCGTGCGTTCCTTCTGGGCATCGCAATTGCTTTCTACATACGTCATAGGGGCACAAGTGGTATGCCAAAACGCATTTGTCCACGAACCAAGTGGCCCCGTCGCATCCTTCTTCACTTCAGTCTCACAGACTGGAGTGGCGCTGGATCCAATCGGTGGTCAGGTTAAAGCGGAGTGAGCGCTCAATTTAAGGTGCTTCCGCCACAGTGTCCTGCTCCATCACTGCATTCTGCAGCTGGGTTTCATACTTCACAATATGGGTGGCGTCAGTGACACCCTGTGAAAGCCCCATTCAGAAACTGCGGTGCATTATGGGCCAGCTCACCAGGGCAAGTATCACTGCGTCTGACGCCAGAACCGCATCCCCATTGCCCGTCAGGCACTCCGCTGCGCGTAATGCACTGTGCTGAAAGAGCGACACTGCAGCAGCTGACCAGAGCCCAATGCCGACTGCCTTCCGCACGCCCAGCTTCTTCTTTGTTTGGCGCCCCTTCACATTCTCCTGGCGCACGATGGTGGCTGCCAGGGGGGCTTCTTCTGGGACCTCGACAATCTCAGTTTGCGATATGGGGGCGTCGATACTTTGGTCTCTGAAAAGGGGCGCCCCAAAGTCCAATGTGAAGCCACCAATCTGTATCTTCGCAAACTTGAGACGCCGCTGCCGCCTGGCGCGGGCGTGCTCGTCCGTAATGTGGTCAAGAGCGTGGACATGATCCAGTATCTGCTGCTTGGCAGCCATCGTGGCTCCCTTTGGCAGCAACCTTCTTACTTCTAGCAGAGTACCCTATTAGTATGGGTAAGCGCCAACCCCGGTCCAGCTCCTCACCCACTCTTTTCAAGTTGCTGCCTCCCCAATGCAATGCGGGACTCGCTCCGCATTTCAGACCACAATGGCGGCACATGCTAGACTGTTCGACTCTTATGCACATGTTGACGTGTCACGAGACGATTGGATCAAATAGATCTGCAGATTTGCCCCCTCTGCCGTGACAGAGTCTTCAGCTTGCGCGAGTTTAGCCTAGGTCACCGGGTAGTCGCTCGAGGCTACACGCGTCATGAGTCATGACTCATAGCCGGGGGGGAGTGCTGAATCATGACTGCAGTATTTGCATGGGCCAATTTTTAGTGGCAATTGAATCGAAGCCTGTTAACAACGAACTTAAATGGAAGGCTTCGATATATGTTTTTGCATGAAAGCATGGTCAAGTTAGTTGATAGGTCCGCGCCGCATTCGAGGATTTCTGGATGATGTTTAGATCTGATTACTAACGGTCGACAATCTTGCTGTTTGAATGATTGCCGCTATACAACCAAGAGTACCAAGCAAGCAGCAATCCCAAATGCTTTGCATTTTCAAGCAGCCGCGCAACGATCGATGGTTATTTTAGTGTGCCTTCCAAAATACATGCGAATGACTGCAACCATTAATCATGTGCATCCGCCAGGCTTAGCAGTCGATGCAACGGACTCAAAGAGCAAAGCATCATTGCGAGCCACCAGGCCCCAGTACGATGGGCAAATATATAAGCTAGCGTAGTCAAAGCTTTTGTCCTGCCAGGCCAATGCACCGTATGCATACGCACAGATCATCGAGGACATTTGACGACAGTTTTGCTGTGGCACGCGCGTGTCATCTGAAGCGTGCCATCTACACCGAAGATGTGCATGTCAAACCGCAACCCAAGCTGTATAAGCACAAAAAATTCATGTAACCCATAATATGCCATACATCAAACAGTCAATTGAATGGCAAGCTTTGATGAACCCAATACCCACTCGATTGACATACGTGACTCTCAATAGCCATTGCACAGGGGTTTGCTACTTCCCAGGTAGACGGGAACACTGTGCGTCACTTGAAGAAGGCACCAACAATCAACATCTGAAAGGACGACCCTTCCAAATACCAACAGCAGATTACTCCTTCGTTCCCCTTCTTTTACCTAACATCCAGTCACTACATCTAATAAGACAACACTTGGTTTCCAAGTGAACTGGTAATCAATAACCAGATCAGAAACGTTGTTGCGCCCTTTGCATCTCGTCTTCGCCTACAGTCCTTCTCCCCACTGACTGGTTTGGAATACCTGCAACAATCAACCCGTCAGCTACGCTGGATGCATTCACAATCTATGTTTACAATTCGCACTTTCTGGGAGAGGTTCGCCTGCCGATAGCGCGCCATCCTTCAGACCGACAATGAATGTTGTCCAAAGAAGACATTCTCTTTGAACTTCCAAAGCAAGCGCAATGGATCCTCGTCGTCAGCCTCAACGCACGCCCTCTCAGGATCCTTTCACTGTCCATCTTTGATAGAGAAAGTTCCACACTCAACGTTATTGGCTTTAGGTCCGATCGTATCCGCAGAATGGCGACGCAATTCTGTCGATAAGTTTGCAGCCAGCGGATAAGCCGGCGACGAGCAAAGCTTGGACCCATCGCGTCTTCTCATGCCGCTTGCTGCCACCCTTATTTCCACGTTCCCTGCCAGAGCTGCACAAGAGGCCAACCCGGCCTCCGACGTGCTCTTTTTCGCTCACCTTGACGGCCGACCCCGTACTTTTTGAACTTCTTTCGGAAACTCCTCTTGCGGCTGAACGCCCCCTCCTGACAAGAGGCGAACCAAGTCAGTCACAAGTGGACCCCAACAAAACCTGAGCAGGCAATTAACTCGACCAGCAGCCATCCCGTACTGTTAGCCGAGATACCTTTCAGGGAGGGGACAGAAGCTCCGACAGAGACTGATGCTCGGAAAGAGAAAGACGCATTAAGCATAAGGAGCTTCCGCCCCTGCCTTAGTAATACACCACAGAAACGAGCCAGCTTCGCACAGATACTTGGCTGAATCAAGTTGAGACTCCCAGCCTGATATGCCACCTTTCTTACTGGGCTTCAGCCCTTTCGTATATGGACGGCTGAACGTATGCCGCCAATCCACATGCAAGCTTTGACGTCAACCTTATGCATCTTCTGGTCGTCTCGAGCAGTCTAGGCGAGACACGTGGCGGCTCACCACTGGCTCCTGCGCCTCGACGGCCTCCCTGACGGCCTCCACCAGGTCCCGGCGGTCCTCCGTGAAGAAGCTCGTCACCCGCCCCGCGCGGCCTGCTCGCGCACTGCGACCAATCCGGTGCAAAAAGTCGATGGCGCTCGTCGCAAACTCCGCCTGCGTAAAATCGAGCGGAGAGGGCCATGGAATAACGAGAAGAGTGTATTCAAGCAATACAAAGGGTGGAAGTTCATCAAAAATGACTTGCTAGACTATTCAAACCCGTCCAGACCACACCAGCGAACGAGCGACTGCAAGAAGGAGGGCCGAATCGCGGGGAGCCTTGTTCGACCCCACCGGATCGTGTGCAATGTGAGTCCTTTGTTTTGCCTCTGAATTTGACCACTCGCCTCTCATTCAGAACCCGCAGGTTGACACGTCCCTTGCACGACAGCAGCTGCTCAAGGACTGGCAGACTACGTGAGCCCGCAGACGCTCACAGCCGCTCTCTTAAGCCCGACGCTGCCCGCTACATAATACCCCCCCGGCCCCCTACCTGGATGACGTGGCCCACGTCCGGCACGTCCAGCCCCCGCGCCGCCGCATCCGTACACACCAGCACGCCCCCTTGCTCCGAGAATCTTCGGATGGCCGCGGCCTTGTCGGTCGGGGTCTGTCCGCTGTGGTACTTGAGCGGGCTCAGGCCCTGTGACGTCAGCAGCTTGCTCACGGCCTTGGCGGCGTCGGTGCTGTTGGCAAACACGAGCGTGCGCTCCTCCAGCGGCCGGAGCCGGCCCTGCGCAGCGAGGAGAACAGGGTTCAGAACAGAGCGGAAAAGTTGAGCATTCGCACGCACTGCTAGATCTCGACCTTCAGCTGACTGTTGGAATGTGCCCGTCAATGATATTCGATCTGTCCTATGTTGCTGCAAACGCTGCCCAACAGCTGCTCTTCGCCGGGCCCCGGCACCCTTGCCGACTCCTCAATGCCAGCCCTCCCTCACCTCCTGCCAGTCCGGCCCCGCCACCGCCTCCATGAGCGCCGCCACGCGGTTCTCCCGTCCAATCTCCGCCCACGCCAGCTGCAGCCGCGGGTTGTGCTGGTGCAGCAGGCCCCCCCGCACATAGGCCGCCTCCGGGAACTGCTTGCGCAGCATGGCCCCCACCGACATCTTGCCCGAGTCAGGAAGAGTTGCCGCCACAAAAATGAACTGCTTGCTGCGCACCCACACCTTGCGCCGCCGCTCCCGCCGCCGGGCCGAGCTGGCGCCCGCAGGCCCGCCTCTTGAGGCGACACTCGGGCCTCCTTCAGCGGCTGCAGAGAAGAAAAGTGTACGGTCTCCACAACAGAAGAATGATTGGAACGCAGAGAAAGTTTCATTGCCTCGCAGCAAAGTCCTACTTGGCACGCTATCCTGGACAACCAGGTGGAGCGCTTGTGCTGACGAAGGCTTCTCAAGGAGAGACACACTGTGACGCAGCAGTGAACACACTTCCAACCTCCCACACGGACCAGCAGTTCTCGCCTGGCACAGCCCATTGTCACCCCAGTGGCTCACCCAGCACGTCGTCGTCCCAGATCCCCCCCTCCTGCGCCCGCCGCCGGTCCTCCCGCTCGTCCTCCTCCCACTCCGCCCCTCCTGCGCTGCTCTCCGCTGCCCCCTCCTCCCCTCGCTCCTCCACCCAGCTGCGCTCGTTCCTCGTTTCACTGGCACCTTCAGAATCTTCCCCAGTCGGTGAATGCGACTCTGCTTCCGCTGTCGGTTCGGTCTCTAATCGTCTCGAGAGGTCCTTCTCAGCCTGCCGGAAGATGAGCAGCAGCTGCGCCACGTCGCGAGCAAAGCCGCCTGACAGGAGCATGTCCGCCTCGTCCACCACCTAGGGAGGGGGGCAGAGAGGCGTCAGAGGGGCCCTAGCACGTCTGGCCCATGGGCACCGACTTACGAATCAAGAGAAAGACGCCGGCTGAAGAATGGCTTTCCCTCAGGAACCATGTCAACCTTCAAGAAAAACTGGGGCAATTCGTGGTCAAACATGTTTTCGACGCCTTGCGAAACGAGAGAAGCAGTCTCGACCACTTCCACAAAACCATCTTCGTGACTCCAGTTACGCCACCATTTGTTCAAACCAAAAGTTGGCCAATGATCCCCAAGAATATTTCCAACAATTAAGGGCCGAGGAGCAGCCCCTCACCACATAGCGCACGTCCCTTGCAAAAGCCGTCCTCCGGCGCCTCTTCCTATCAAAGGCGTACAGCATGTTCAGCAGGCCCCCAGGCGTGGCCACCACAATGTCGGGTGTGAACGCGGGCGGCTGCTGTCCCCCCGCAACCACCGCAATCTTGAGCAGCGAGCCGCCTTCGGGGTCCTTAAGCGCATGCGCCATGTCAGCCACTTGCTGGCACAGGGTGGCGTTCGGACACAGCACGAGGACAAATGCGGACGCGCGGTGGCTCTCCTCCTGCGCCCACAACGGGAGCCGCACCTCCTGGCCCTCTGCTAGTGCGGAGGCGACGGTGGCGGGGGTCAAGGTCGCAGGGGAAGGCGCTGGGCCGGACTGCCTCCCGTCGAGCAAGACTTGGATGAGCGGAGCCAGGTATGTGTGGGTCTTGCCACTGCCGGTCTCCGCAGCCACCACGACGTCCCTGCACCCAGTCAGAGGGCTTTTACTGCTGCACATGTGAGGGATTCTGACCTCTGGCCCCGCAATTCATTCCTCAATTTAACAAACCGTGACCACTAGCTCACAGTGAAAGGGCATGAATGTGGCCTTGTCCACTGGGTGCACCACCACCAGCATCGCAACAGGGATTAATCACACCACCCTCCTGCGACCATCACAAGCAGTAGATCCCGCACCTGCCCTCAAGGATCTTGGGGATTGCCGCCTCCTGCACCCGCGATGGACGCTCAAACCCAGCGCCCTGCAGCGCCTCACCCACAGTGGGGTTTATCCCCAGAGACTCCCAGGAAGTCGCAGACTCGGAGAAGAAGAGGTGGTCACCCTTGGCGATGACGGTGACGTCGGGAGCTGACGTAGCAGAGCTGCCAGGGTGGGTGCTGATGTCGTCCTTGTCTAGCGGATGTTTCCTGCTATCCCGCCGTGCTGCACTTTCGGCACGGCTCTCGCCTGCGGGCGCCCCAGCCTGGGCCACTCCGCTCCTACAAGAAATTCCTCTTCTGGGTTCCGCAAAGTGCGCGGAACAATGGTCATTGGCTGAGTGTTGTGTGCGGAGGTATGGGCCTAGAAAAGTAAAGTTGCACAATTGGCGGTCACCCAAAGTGAGCTCCGCATTGCAGCTACGAAAAAGCAAGCAGGAATGTGCTTTCGTCAGAATCCTGCACTCGCTCAAGTGCTGGGAAAGGACCAGGGGCACGGAAGCAGCTGGCGCTCCCCTGAGCAGCACCTTTGAGAGCGCCATGATGGAACACCGAAACATGCGCACGCGCAGTGCCTCCACAATTACTCAAAGCCTTCAATGCCTGTCAATGTAACCTTCCGATCCCGTTCCATGACAGGGAGAGCTAGGCCACCATCACGAAGCCATTTTTAAAGCCTGCCAAATTCCAAAATGCTCTCCTGCATCATGCTGCGACTTACAAGCCTTGCAGCAAGGTGCAAATGAACTCGAAACGGTAACGACTGGGTGATTGGTTAAATGCATGTCTGAACCACGGCCAGAGTCGCCAGACACACCCGATGACTTTATAGACCAACACAGTGCTCTCCCAGGCACTGGGGGAGGAGAGCCGAACCAAGAACAGACGATGTGAATGTGCTAGTCCTTGCCATATAAAAGCTCGTTGCAGAGCCCCAGTTGTTCAGATCCTTCCTTTCATGGCAACGCCATGGGGTTTTCTATATGATGAACGGAGGTTTCACACAGGGATGTGTGACAGGTGCCCGCCAAACATTCTTGTTACGCCAGGGGCAACCTATCCATTCTGACCCACACCCCCGAGTGCGCCAAGAAAGGGGGATCTTTTTTTGTGATTTTACGTTCGCTGGTGGTGAGACTGTTTGTGGTGTCGCGGTTTTCTTCAGCGGCAACGGTCATTATTGTCGCAGTTTTTGGCCCTCTTTTGTGACCCTCTGACCCTTTGCTTGTCCTGATGCCGTTGATTGATTGATTGATTATGCAGGTCCGTTCTGATCCTTTGTCTTGACATTCCTTCAGCTGCTATTAGTGGAAGACCACATTACGGTGGACAGACCTCATCGACTGCGCACATAGGTTGCAGCTATAGAAATCGATATTGTGATAACGGTTTGTTGCAATGATCTCTGGTGTTTTGTTCGGAAATTGGTGGTGCCATTCTTTTGCTCAGCTCAGGCTTATTGTTGTGATGGTTTGCTGGTGCAGTATTTAAGGAGTACTTACCTGTGTTTCATTTGTTACATGTGCCTACTGCGGGTGTGAGTTTTTGTCAGAAAGTCTTTGAGGCAATGATGCTTATGCGAGTGTTCTTATGATACATGATGTTGCACAGAGATGCTGTATTGTTAATGGTGTCACACTTTAAGGGTCAGTGACTTATGTTGAGCATTTGAACGGCTTGTTCAACTTGCTTTTCTTAGCAAGGACTGTACACTGGTTGAAAGATAACCCAGCGAAAGCCAGAGGAGCATGCAGAGTTCTGTCCGCATCACCTGTCAGACAAGCCCTCCAGGTTTGCTCTCCTCATCGGTGCTCATGGATACAGAGCATGTTCTTCCATAAGGGCTTCCTTACCACTTCAGATACGTGCACTGTCAAAAAAGAAGGAGGTGTTTACAGTCCAAGCGGGGATCTCAAGGGCCTGGTGCTGCACTGCCGAACTCCACATACCATGGCGAGGGGACAATTTTATGGAAAGTTTGGTACAAGTTACAGACTCCAAACATTGAACGCACATTCTCAATCAGTAGTCTACCTCTAGGGCAGAAAAGCAAGGCTTGAACAGATAGATTGCTTGAGAATGGTTGAGGTGCAAAACCAAGTTCTGGAACGTGTTTTAACTGGAAAAGTGTAGTTTTGTTCTTGCACCTGGTGACCTAGTTTCGCATGTTCCTTCTATAACAATGTCATTGGACACAGACATTTCCATGTACCGTATTATGGATAGAACCAGCCCATCTTGGCAGCATCTACGGTTGCAGTTGGTTGTAGCTGGAGTATTTACTACATGATGAGATAATTATTGGCTGTTTAGCTTGATAGCATCATTGATGAGTGACTGGATCACCAGCTCCTAGTGTTGCGGAGGTTGAAAATTCGCTCCAAGCCCAACAAAGTGAGCAAGCTGGCGTTGAGGGGTTGGAACCAGGAATCTACTTCCATGCTTGGTTCGAACTATTTTGGCTGCGCTTGTAATGGCTTTGTGCCCCAATGCAAGTGTCAGTGGGTTATACTACTGAAGGGATTTGATCGCGTCTGATGAACTCGAAAGCATGGGACCCGGACAATCGTATATGAAAGGTAATAGTTACTGACGGTGGCCCCCGCAGTCAAGCTAGTCCGACCTTCCTATGCAGTTCTACTGCTACACTTACACTCCAGTTAAGTAGCATGAAAACTTAGACAAGTATGCTCGACAGATCGAGTGGGTATGATCTGTGTAACGATTCAAATTTCTGCATAGCGTGGAATATTTTTTGCATAAGCTCTGGACAGGTGATCAACGGTAGTATGCACGAAAACCATGCAGTAGATCATATGCACCGGTCCGGTTGCGGGAGAACGAGGAAAGCACGATGTCATTTGGGTAACGGAAACGAAACGCACAGGAGTTTGAACATGACGGTCTATGCGCGAGGTTCCATTGAAAACGGGGTATGACGCAGAAACTTTTATTAAATACAGTCGAGGATCTGCCGAAGCTCTGGCATATGAAAAGCGTATTCAACATATAGGAAACCGAAGATAGAATGTTGGTTGAACCATCATGTAAACAAGAGGTGTACAGAGATCTGAGAAGAAGAAGAAGAGACCCTGTGGCATCCACAATAGTATGACAATGACATACTGGGGGTCTCGATCACAACCTCTGTCAAACCGTCTCACCCAATGCTCAGTCCTTGTTTACCTTGATACCTGGCGATCCATACCAATCATGCCCTTCTATCCTCCCGTATCAAAATTACCACAAACTCCTGGCAACCGCGTGCAAATAACCTTCACAGAGCAATGTCCTATACTAGCACAGATAACAGACAGCTTTGAATTGTACAGACTGCTACAGACTAATACTGATGGAGAACACTGTCCAGCACTTTCAGCTTTTCCAGCTCCTCTCCCGTGGCTATGCCCGGCTCGACAAAGCACAACTGCAGAAAACTTGTGGATACGTCAGATACGAAACGCTTTCCGGCAGCATGATAACGATGAGACGAACCGTTTTAACCAGCTCCACAAAGCCTAAGTATACAACCTGAATTCCCAAGTCTCGCACCTATTTCAAGGTGGAGTTGATGGACAGGTCTACTGTCGAGATGAGAACCGAAACCTACCTGATACTCTGGCTTCCGCAGGGTGTGGACGCCTCGTTTGATGAGCCGCTGCCACCCCTTCTTTTGGCGAAGTGCCTCCACCACTTCGGCAGTTCGCTGACAATGATCGACCAGGGGACGACGGTCAGAACACTAGATTCCTCGTGCAGAAAGACTGGCGCAATGAACGAGCCTCAGGACATATGCGTGCCCTTTGCACAACTTGGGGGATGCACGGAGCATCAGATTCTGGTATGCACAGACAACAGGCGAAGAGGAAACATGCTGTCACTAATGGGGGCAACCTCTTACGCAGCTGTCTCATTCTTCCGGTTAAGTTCTCACAAGGCCCCTTTAAACTGGAAACACAGATAAGAAAGGTCCTTTTGTACGTGGTTGCCGCATCTCGCCGACAATTCCAAGCGCTCGAATTTCTGGTAGATACTTGAGTTGGCGGGAAGAATTGGTAATGAAGCGTGCAACATGTGCTTACTGTCTGCTCTATCTGTGTGACCCGTCTGCCTACCTGCGAGGGGTCGAGTATCAGCAAAAAGGCCTCCTCCGGTGCATCAGGTCGCGACCGCCGGCGCTCAATCCCAACAATGGTCCGGGAATGGCCTTCGTGCTGGAAATAAAGAGGACTGCAGAGAACGAGGCGAAAAAGGCGTCAGAGGCACAAGCGGAGAATCAGAACTCCAGCAGCTTCTTTCCTCTCTCATTTCGTTGATGTAGCAGCCGGAAAAGGCCTGTTGGACAGTACTGGCTGCTCCAAAGTGAATTGAATGATTCCGAAGTGAGAGACTAGTGGGCAGCGGGCCGCTCAACATGCTGCTATCCCTGGAAACCTCGACTCCACTGTCCGACACACGCATGCCGTTGCAAGCACGGTTCAAAAGTTGCTGCAGCTTACGGTCTGTTGCTCATGATGACATGCCGGCGCTGGTTTGTCGGGGCCTCCTCTGCTTCACTGTCTTCGGCCGCCCCCGCCCCAGTGGTGAAGTACTTCCAGACCCACTCGATCAGCCTCATGTGCGCGTTCGCACTCTCTGTCCGGGCCCCCGATCCCGCCCCGCCTCCCTTCTGCGTACTCTCGGTCTTGTCTTCCATTACGTGGGGCGTGTCCATCTTGAGGTACAGGTGCAGCCGCGTCACGCCCCGACTCGCCTCCTGCACCAGCCAGGAATGCGCAACGTCACGACCAAGCATCGGTGAGTCCTGCTGGTGTGGTCCAAACGCTAGACTGAACGCAATACTAGTGAATCAACAAAGTAGAACCGTCTGCCCGGTGCTCTTCAACGTTTGCTCTGTGCTCTTTAACTTTCTCAAATGACGCGACAGCCAATGTCAAGACCGACCTCGAAGGACCAACGGTTACAGCAACTATCCAACACACGAGACCATGTGGTGTAACCAGGACGAGCGGATGCCTTACCTGGTCGTCCGCCACGTCTTTGCACTGCTCGCAGAGATCAAAGTTGTCCTTGACCGTGCTCTTGAAGCGTGCCCCTCGGATTGGATTCATCCCGCAGTGGTCACACTGCACCCCACTATGCACCGCGTGGTCCCGGTGGTCCCCATCCTGGTTGCCCCCGGTTATCTCGGCGGGCGCGGCGCCGTCCGTCCGAGGCCGTTTAGCAGACTGTCCTCTGTCGCCCGCCTGGCTGTCCCCGCCTCGTGGCTCCCTCTTGTTTCTCACGTTGGAGGCTCGGAAGTCGGCAATGCGCGCGCGCAGCCCAAAGGAGCGGAGCAGAGCGGCACACTCGGTCGTGCCAATCCACTTCTGGGTTTCCTGCATAAGAAGCACGAGCTTTGTGGAAAGGGCCACTCGACAAACTTGCCAAATCGAGGGGGACTGCTGCGCAGACAGCAGCGCGTGCAGGGCAGCTTAAACGACTTCAGCCCCTCGACACAACGCGGCTCCGCTCAGGTAAACAGAGACAATCACACTGATTCGAGCATAGTCCTCATAAGCATATGACCTGGAAGGGCGAGCCGATTGTATGAACACCAGACAAAGGGGAAAGTTCAGAAACTTTCAAACTCGAAGTGTTGAGCTCCGCTGGATTATGCCGAAGCACTTTGCAACGGTTCTGTCCGCAATCTTGGCACCAGAAAGAGAACAATACTAACTTAGTAGCCAACTCAGAGATACGACGTTTGCCCCGATCTCGCTTGCCCAAATTGATCATCTGCACGATGACGAGCCATGCCTGTGTGAACAGATGGGCAGTTATGCACATTAATGCTTGTCTTCGTCCGACCATTGTCTTGTAATAAGAAAGGAAGAGACGGGTACTCGACTTGCAGAAATCGAAGACCCCTCCTCAGAGGTTCAACGCTTACCCGGACGTTCCAACCCAGCTGGTCAGCTCCCATGACATCAAAGCCCTCCTTCCACGCTTGTTCCAGCCACTGTAACAGAAGGGGCCAGGCATTCAGGAAGCAGAGATGATCGCTTGGAAGCCACTAACAAGGGCCAGGAAAAACACGAGTGTCCTTTAAAAGGCCGCTGTGCTTGCGTAACACGTTTTCAGACCAGAAGAAGACCCAAGGACGGCGATCCTGCTAGCAGCATCTGGTTCTGCTTAAGTGCTTGACACATGATTAGTTGCTCTGCCAGCTTTGTATGTCACTTACACTACAGTCAAAGAGGGGCTGAAACTTCCGCTGCTTAACTGGAAAAACATAATAGGGCAAGTCACTCAATCTCCTTACCTTTTGGAGCTCAGGAATCTCTGGAACAGTCCCCCGGCCCCCAAAGATTGCTCCACAGATCTCAGGGTCTTCAACCAGATTCGAACAAAGCATCTGCAGAGCAGAGTACAGGGCGATCTTTACTGCAAGGTTATTTTGGAACTTGCGCCAAATGCTTTTCCAAACAGGAGTAAACATTCTCAACCGGAAAGTCCTCAAAGAAGAGGAAACAGAGGCCCATAGTTACATACTAGGTTCATTTGCACTAGAATCAGGTGGTCAAAGAAGGGGCCTAGTGTTTGTGACCTCTTGGTCTACACAGCATCCTTCTCTTCAATAAAGTGGCTCTTACCTGTATGTTCCTCCAACCACAGCCCCAACCAAGGTCGTCTCTCCGTCGGCTTTCGTAGTGGTCCACATAACCTGATGGTGGCACAAATGATGCAGAAGAGGAAATTTGTGCTCACAACGCCATTGAACACATGACAAAATCGAGCAAGCAGCATATACACAGCCAAAATCAACAAGACATGGAACATGTCAGGTACTTACATCTACTACCTGTAGATCTGCTGAAGCAACGACGCACAGTGAGTTGCAGCAAGCAAACAGCCTATCATACCTGATAAGGCTGCCCTGCAGTTCCCTTTGCAATCAGCTTCTAGCGCCCTGCACATGCCGGGGCTGGGGAGTCAATGCAGGCAAAGAGTGACCTCTTTAGACCATGTCATTCAATACGGCCCTCAACTTACATGAATGATCTCGTCTGGCAGGTGTGGTCTGCTTATATTTGACTGGATATCATACTTCAACCAATGGGTTGAGAGCAGAATAGCGTCTGCGTTCCCTTCTGAAGTGAGCGTGAAAACAAAGATTCGATTTGAGTAAGTGTGGATACAGAGGTCTGCTTACTGTCGCAAAAGCTCCACGATGCCCTCAGGAGCGCGTCGGCAAATTGTTTCTCTTTGCTCAGCCACAGGGGGGTCCTGAGCTTCTGCACCACCGCCTGTTTCAGCACCCCCTCGGACAGTCATGCCAGCATGCGGACTGACATGTCTCCAAGCCTCACTGCCCCCTCGACTGCTCTCTCCTTTGGACATACCATGCTGCAATTGCAGTGGAGCAAAGAACCCATGCTGTGCAACTCGAGCTGCCAGCTCCGAGCGCTTGTCTTGCTCCTGACGGTCCATCTCCGCTGCTATCTCCTCCGCTTCTAGCTGGAAATGCAAGACAAGAATAGCAAGCGCTCACTCAACCTGTTGAATCTGAGGGCTTAAGAAAGCGAAACACCTGAATTGCTTAATGGGAATCTTTCTTTCACAGCGGAGGTGGTGACATAATCAATCGCTCTGATGAGAACAGCGTGCCTTGACTTGACAAGCATGCACTATTCACACGACGAGCTGCATAGATATCATAGACGACCACCTGTGACTATTTCTGATGCAAAAGGCATGAGGTGCAATTACCTGGTGCATAATCAGATGCGAATCCCACTCGTAGAGGGGCACCACCTGCTCGCAACCAAGCGTGCACGTCACCCTGTCACCACTCTCATCGCGCCTTCTCAATGCTTTTGGAGCTTCCTCACTTTGTTGCAAATTCACAGGATAATTGGTTTCAGGAGATCCAAGATCAACTTTGGCAGCTAGTTCCCGGTCTCCAGCCTCTACCTCAGAATCCAGGTGTGCGTTGACATGCCTGTAAGGAAGCAAAGCAGTACCCGTATGACATAATTGATACTGTGAACCCGGCATGTAAGGAAGCAAAGCAGTACCCGTATGACATAATTGATACTGTGAACCCGTAATTGCAAATGAGATAAGGTGCACATGTCATGCAGTGTTGGATGCCTTTCAACCGAGCATGCCTAGAATTGGAGAGATCACACTGTAATTGACTCTCGCAAATCATCTGGGAAATGGAATGAAACTTTTGAACCCAATTGCACCTTGTCAGCGCGTGTGCATGCCACCATGCCGAAGTGCATGTGTTGGCACTGAAGCAGGAGCAAGAATCACATTCTATGTCACGTCTTCTGATTGATTTCTCGAATTCAGGGTTCAAAGTGCATATTTGCATGTGCAACACATCGCAAACGTTTTCAGACAGTTGCAGTAAACTTCTTGCAAGATCAACATCTGCTTGGAACAAGCTGCCAAGGCGACAAATAAAGCTAGACTTTCAAGCTAGCTTTGCTTTTAATCCAGTCGATTCCCTTCTTTAACAGTACGCCGGCACAATTCCAAACTTCAGATGCAGCTTGCAACTGACCTTTGAATGGTCGATGTGCAGACTTTCTCATCACATATCGGACAATTCTCGTAGCTTTCTTCTTCCGCTGCACCTCTCATTTTTTGGAGTGATTCGCCGGGCTCTGTCCTCATTGAGCAGCTCCAGCTTGCCTGTGAGCACCTCCCTCATTCAGTTTGGCCCTGCATGGCCCATGGGCCTCTGTGGCTTTCTGTGACTGCAACCCCGTTCTCTCTCTCCGAGTCTCCCTCTCATACATACCATACCATGTCATGGTACTTCGCTTCACAAGCAGGCGACAGCATGGTCAATCGTATTGCCCAGCATGGCCAGCTAGCCGCGGCCCGGCGGCCGCCAACTTGCGCCAACGCCAGTTCGGGCTGCCACCTTTTCACCTGGATTTTCAGATTCTGCTCTGAGATTTTCCGTGCCAATTGACCAAATGTCGCAGAGACTCGATTCTCCTCTCTCCACGCTAGGCAGTCTTCAAATGTCTAAAATTTCGGCATCCGTCAGTCAGCTCCTGCGTGGCTCGGTGCATGCACGCATCAGCGATTTGCTATAACGTCGCACAGTCACGACCTGCAGGCTGCATGGGCGGGCCCAGCCGCGCGATCTGACCACATGGACAGGATAATGATCAATTAGATGATGATCCCCCTTTCTCCCTGATTGTCCTACTAGCTCCGCCAGTGCATCATTTTGGTTCATGCATATCATTGGCCCCATGATTCTATGCATGGTGCACTGAGGAGCTACCGGTAGATACAGATACAAGTACTGCATGCTTTTTAGAAAATGCTTCAGATCACTGAATCAGAGCGCATGGTACCCAACAAATTAGACCATGCAAACCGTCATCATATACTGAGCAAGATTTAGCCAAGTTATTCGCTGTTCAACCTCATAACACGCATACCTAGTACACGGTCCTATGCATGTGCCAAACAGCATGGGATACCACTGGCCGCACATGAATTCACCACCTCAAAGTAATGCTGAGACTCTCAAGTAAGCAATCTCCGGAGCAGCCTTTTCAATCAACTCCTTGAAAGAAGGTGCGTCGAAGCGTTATTCAAATGGGATTATTGCTTGACCGCCCTGGCCAGCTTTGGTTGGAAAAGCAATAAAGAAAGACAATTCTGAACCCGATGACGTCTTGCTTTATACAACTTGTAGAGATGTCATCAGCATCCTCCCAGGACGACCCCTTGTGACAACATACGACTCGCTTTTAAACTTCATAGACCACCTGTTCCTACATAAAATAACTAGGGACCTCTCGACTTGACTGGTCACTGTTGTCTCCGTAGCGACTATTCCACTCTTGCAAGGCCGTCATTGAGGAGCTGTCTTCGTTCGTGGAAGGGTTGACCTGCATGACACACGATGCAAAATAATGATCCCTCCTCGAAATACGTTGAATTCTTCGAGAATGACTGGCTCATGCTTCCAAAATGCAATCTTCGAACCAAGAAGCGAAATTCTTGAATACAAAAGCTTGCAAGATCCCCATGAACAGTCACCAACTTCCCGTGACTGATAAGAGATCGGCTCTTATGACCTCCTAGCTGATGCCTTCGCAAAACAGAACGCGGCACCCGACACGGGCGATGGAGCTCGTCTTGACATTGAACGCTACAGCAGCAGCAAAACGCCTGTTCTCCGAGCCCCTCACCTGCCGCAGTGCCGCATCGAAGTCTTCCTGCATGATGGGCCTCAGCTTGGGGGACCACTCCATCCCCTCCAGCTGCCACTGCGCAGGGGAGAACATGGACGGCTCCCGCGCGCCGGCTGCGCTGGTGCTGACCCCCTCGTGCGAGTCCTTGCGCTCCTGCAGCGTGCTGGCCAGCTCCCGCACCGGCCACATCGCGGCCGCCATGCACAGGTTGCGCAGGTCGCTCCCACTGCACGCGCGCCGAAGGAGGTACGTTGAGGATAGCACCAACGAGCGAACAGAACGGATGGTAAGAGCCCAGTGAAATGATCTGAGGAGGGATCATCTAGCGACTGCCCTTCGGCTTGGGACCTCGTCTCGCCGCATTCACGCCCTAACTCTCACAGGCAGCCAGTGCATATGGAGCCGTTCGCAACCAGCGGACGCCTTCTGCTGTTACAAACCGGTCTAATGGCTCCGCTCGAGGCTCACCTGTATCGATTTGTCCGCTCTGCCAGCTTACTGAGATCCACGTCGTTGGACACAGACTCTTCAGCTAGAAGAACTCGCAAGATTTGCCTGCGGACAAGACGAGCAACTCGCTCAGAACGCTAGCGATATCTTTACAGATGGAGAGCATGCCCTCAGTGCTGTCGTTGATCTTTCAAATTGAAAGCGGGGCTGCGTTCCAACCAAAAAACTGAGCAGACATGAACAATGAACACCGGACTTGTATTCTTCAATTGGTACTTGTTGTATGGACGAAACTGTATCGAAGCTTGTTTTCGATAGCTGCCGACATCTGGGGCCACATCTTCTGCGCGCTCCTGATCAACAGAGAATCGTTCAAAGAAGCTGTAACACATGGGGTGCGTACTTTGGAGATTCCTCAAGGTCCAGAATTCTCTGCAAGGCTCGACTTACGTAATGAGACTGTTTACGCATCTGACCGTAGAAGAAAGCGATCTTTAGCTCGAAAAGGTGCGTAAGACAAATAGTCCCGGGGTTTCTTGTGCGCAAGAACAGGACGCCGAATGCTCGAAACAACGAGACAAACGACAGGTGGAACCTTGTACTACAATCAAAAAATAGCACGGGGTCACTCACAGGCGCTCGTTCTGATTTGGCAGCCCACAGAATATCCGTTTCGCAAACCGCCTCAGGGCGGCCTCATCAAGATCTTGCGGGCGATTCGTTGCTGCCAGGACCATCACCTACGAGAAGACAGAGGTGGTTAACTCTCTACTTGAAGACTGGCAACTTGTTTTAAGAGACGAAGCAAATCGTCAAATTCTTACAAACGGCAACTCAACGTGTGCCTTCCGTTTGTCTCAGGCTTTAGATACAAGTAGAACGTCGTTGCAGCTGGCATCAGCAATGAGTGCAGCATCCACTTTTGGGTTGAAGCCTTGGTGCTTCTCACCCTCTAGTGCCACTAAACCCTCAGTATCCCGCTAAGAAACAGAGAAGCACTCGCAAGCAGTGCAAACGACAGTACCACTATAGCAGCCCAAGAGGCTCACCCTCTCGCCTTTGGACGTGGCCCGGATGCCGTCCCAGTGCGCCATGAACTCGTTCTTCATCTCGCGCAGTGCCTCATGCTCCGTGTGACTGTTCCGCCGCCCCAGCAGGGCATCCACCTGGAGGACGCACGGAAATATCAGAACCGAGCAACCCACGAGAGCGCTAACTTACACATGTCCATTGAGTGCAGAAGCCCCCGCAGGTGCATGCTCGTTCAGGAGGAACCGCTTGCTTAGGAATGCTCCCAGAGCGGAGCAGCAATGTTTCTTGGGAGCACGGTCAAGCGAGTATGCTCAGGGGGCCACTATACAAATCCAAAATTCGGTCATGAGTACGCTTGGGCAGGACGTACCTCGTCCACGAAGATGACTGCTGGCGAGTGCTTGGCCGCCAGCGAGAAGAGCGCCCGGATGTAGCGCACGCCTTCACCCAGCCACTGCACAGAAGCACAGCACACACTAGTCAGCCTTGGCACATCCATAGACGAGGAGCCCGGCCCAGGAGCAGGCTCCCGACCTGCGGCAGAACTGGACCATGGCTGCCCTACTGGCCTATCTAATGCAGCCATTGCTGATGGTCGCCAAGTAATCTGTGCTAAGCCCAAATCGGATTCGCAATTGCTTCTCGGAGCTCCAGCGCTCCGGCATCATGTAGGACGACCGGACAAAGGGTCCGCTTGGTTACAGGTCCTCACCTTGGAAGCAACAGTCGACATCTGTACATTGATGAACGTCGCCCCGCACTCGGCAGCCACCGCCCGCGCTAACGAGCTCTTCCCGGTGCCGGGAGGTCCAAACAACAGCACGCCCTGCAAACCCACAAGATCGACGTCAGTGTCCGCAGTTTCTCGCCCAGCTTCTCCTGTGATCGAAGCAACCTACTTCTGTCTATTGATCAGAAGCTATCGTTGGACGCAATCCCCAAGAGCCAGCGGGCAGCGAAATTCCGACAGACAGGCCGTCTACCAACCCTGGGCACCTCATTGCGCACTGGTTTTCAACTTTTTTATGATGGACTCAACTTACCCCGTTCCCAAGCACGCAACTTGCTCGTGCTTGACAGCTCCTCTTACCTTGACTGGCTGGAGCAGCGAGCTTCCCCGGAAGAGCTCGGGGTAGCGCATGGGCAGCTCAACAGCCTCGCGCAGCGCTGCCTTGGGCTCGTCCATGGCCCCGATGGAGGAGAAGCTGGACAGCGAGCGCTGCCCCAGGTCGTCGTCGTGGAGGACCTGCACCACGACAGGGGGGGAGGCGGCTGGGATCCCAGGCGGGACGTCATGCAACACGTCATGTGCGGTATCGAAAAGTCAGTGACGAGACAATGGTCAGCCAGTGACAAAGATCTTCTTGATGAAGCACGACTTCCAACTCAACAGCGAAAAAGCAACGGAGCGGGACAGGTAATCAAGGCTCGATGAGCATCCAATGCAAGCCATTGGTGTGCAGATGTCTGCAGTGACCTTTGACCTGAATCAAGAACGGCATAGCACCAGCGCCGATCGATGTGCACTCACGTCGGTCATGAGTTGCTGCTCGTAGATGTTGGAGGGCTTGACACTCGTCCGGTGGTTCATGCTCGTTGCTTCAAGCATCCTTACGCCATACCTGCGTGCATAATCCACGTTATGACATATGCATTAAGGAAACGACACTGCCATCAAGAAGAAGTCGCACGAAACTTCAAATTGGAAGACTACGAAGTGGAAGACACTGGTAAGCACAAGACACCTGGGACAGGAGGGTAGAGCAATCTGCTACGACAAATGATAAACTTGCTCCTGTGACTTTTACTGCCAGATGATGCGCAGACAACACGTGCAGTTCACTGACTTCCCACTCATTCCCGGGGTAACCCTCGGTGCATACACACCATGCCCGAATCGACCCGTATCAACTAACAAGCTTCACCCCCGCTTACTTGAGCTCCCCCTCTGTCAGCAGCAGCAGCCCCGTCTCCCCACAGATGGAGCTGCGGCGGCCGTCCCAGCTGTCGTCGTCGTCCATCTCCCAGGCCTCCTTGGCCGCACTCTGCGCGCGCTGCCCCTCGAAGTGGGCTGCCAGCGCCCACGCCAGCACCTTGGCCCACTCGCTGCGCTCCAGGATCCTGGAGGGGACCAAGAGAAGAGCACGAGTCATGGTTCCGTCTGGATCGAAACCAGTTTTCGAATTCGCAGCACCTGCGCAGAAGATGCCGGATGGAACAAGAGCTTAGAGCTGCAAACAATCCCGCTCTCCAATAGGGTCAGTGTGGAACGTGTTGATTACCTGTGCTTGTACAAGGAGCTGTGTCGAGGTGGACAGAGGATGTCTCGAACAACGGCAAGGCCCTGCAACAACACGGAGTATACTGCATAGGGTCAGATAGATTCTTGACCAACTCCCTTCGCAGGGCAACCTGATAGGAGTCCACAAGAGGGGACTTTTCAATCGAAGTAGACCAAGACGCCTTTTCGAACAGTGCTAGGCCCAGTCCGCCAACAGTTCCGCTTGAAGCTGCGCAGCATTTACCTGCAGGCGTGCCCAGTTGACCAGGCTTTGCTCGTCCTCCATATCTTCCCGCTGCAGGCGCCTCCAGCGCGCCAGGAGAGGCCCCTCCCCAAGGGGCTCCAAGCGCACCTGACAGGCAGGAAATAAACACTGTCAGCACTCGCACCAGCGCAGCCTCTCAAGCAATCGAAGCAATCCATGCCCGTCGGGTGTGAGACGTACAAAAAACTTACTCTCGTTCTGTCCTGACAAAAGAGCTTCTTGTGCATGCCTTCGAACGCCGAGCTTGACTGTCACGAAAACGTCAATTTCGAGCCCCCTGAAAGTGACTCGACATAAATGCAAACCGTGCTCAGGAGGTAACTAGTTAACCTGATGGTAGGTGTGGACAATTCCTTGGACTCACATTCGATCGTTCTTTGTTTGCGCTCACCGTGGTGGTGAAGAGCTGCTGCAGCATGGCCCCCACATCCGGCGGCTTGCTCCGGCTTCGGCTGAGCCACTCCAGAGGAAAGATGGACAGGCCTGGACACACGACCCCAGTCTGATCAGCTGAAGATAGTTCTCTCACAACATCCAGAGCACGGCTCGCGCAAAACGCCCCTGTATAAACAGCACATTGGAGGCACCTTTGAAGACTTGACTCGCAAGGTGCTGGAGCCACTCTGTCTGCACACGCCTGTTTCGCATAGCTGGCCCAGCACAAGCCAGCCCTCCCTCCGCCAATCTGAATGCCCTGAGGCACGGCAGGTCTGAGGGCGGGCCCTAAGGGCAGAGTGTATGAGAAAGGAGGTTTTCTCACCCAGTGCAGCGGCCGCTCGTTGGAAAAACGTATCCTCCTTCATGACTCCCAGCGCAGACATATCCTTCTCATGGCCTTCGACAATATCCTCCTCCCCAACTCGCGATGCAGCCACAATCAGGAGGGGGCCCCAATCGTCATCTGTAGACACAGAGCAATTTGCGTCCACAAAGCATGGCTTTTTTGAAGATTGAAAACGACCATCTTTCACATTTCCTGCTGAACAATCGCTGGGGGTCTTCAGCCTTCTCACATGCATGGCGGAGCATTTTTTTTCGTGACCCACGATCTTTAGATGCAAGGTGCATGAACACTTGCGCTCACCCTGCTGTAGTAGCTGCTCTGTCGAGATGGGCCCGTATTGGTCGCCCCAGCTTTCCAGGAAGGCATGAAAGCGCTCGGATGTACCGCAGGCTGTCTCGTCCACGTCGGAGACGTACAGGATTACGGGGCCATTTGCACACGCCTGTACACACAAGCAAGGTCCCCAAGAATCAAAAAGGGCACTTGCCAGCGAGCTCGGCGAATTCAGAACAAATCTCAGAGTTCAACGCAAGAGGGTTTCACTTGAAAAATGTAGATTGTGTCCTGTCCCAGACCCGCAATCTAACACTTGATTTCTACTCCATCACTAGTCTGCCGACTGATTGTCTGCACAGGTGTCGACGAGAAAGCTTCACTTTTTCCTAAGGACACAGATGATTGCCACCATTCCAACCCCAACTTTTCAGCGGCGCCTGTCCTCACCCTTTTGCAAAACGCCCGCACGATGTCTAGTGCAAATGCGTGCTTCCCCCCGGACCAGAACGCAGACACAAGCAATGCCATGAAGCCCCCCTCCTGCGCCTCTGGCCGCTTTGGTTGAGTCCCCAAGGCTGCCGTTGTCAGCGTCTCCAGGAAGTTGAGGTCGACCGGCAGCAGGCTGGCCCCGCACTCACGGGCCAGGGCACTAACAATCGCCTCCACGCACAAGCGACTGGCCCCCGCCGCCAACAGAAGGATGCGGCCCAGCTCCGGAAGCGCCACCGAATGTCGACCTGCAACAGCCATGGTTAAATAATCAGGAGCCAAAAAAGTGCTGTGCAACAATGTTCTCCTGCTGGTACCGTACGCCCTCAGATGCAGGACGACACAAACCAGATGCAGCAAACCACCAACATCACGTGGAAGTGGGTCCAGGGATTGCAATCAAACCGGACGGCTGGCTTTAAGAAAGGAATAAAGCGCCAGCTGCTAAAATTTCAACTGCCTGGTCATGCAAAGCAGTACACGTGCTTAGGATTCATTGAAGTTGGAAAGATCATTTGCAAGTCGGATCCTCACTTGTTAACACCAAAAAGGCAAATTCAAATTGTAATCAAGCAATTCCTTTTGAAAACTTCCACTTCAAAACATTCTTTCAAAGTCGACGTTTTAAAAAACATTCACCAAAAACGACTTACCATAATGAGCACTTTCTTGCCAAAGGCCAGCCTGCTGCGAAGCGATCATCAACGCCTGTCTGCTGTCTTGTGACAGAGGGTACTTCAAACTATCCAAAGCTGCTGTGCTCTTGTGCACCGGCACCAAGGACCGGGCCAAGAAGGGCCTGCACTTGGGGCCCAAGACTAGAGTAGCCACTGTTCGAACCAAAGGAATAGCAAGCAAGGCGTCTGGGTTCAGCAGGTTGAGCAGCCACTGCAGAGGGGCAGCCAGCAGTAACAGGAGCGCATCCACAACCCCATGCCAGGGGGTGAGGGTGCTCTCCCGGCCAGAGCACTGCAGCTCCGACCTGCACGAGTCACTACGCATCATGCCCCTCGTCACTAAAATCCAATCACAATCAATGTCTGCACAATCCCGGCGGGTCTCTCCTCTCCAAGGCTGTGTCTACCACTCTGTACATATAATTCCAGCACAAATCACCGCACTTCGGCAGCCATACACATGCACTTATCCTAGACTCTCCGCCCTATCTGCTGTCTCTTCTGCATCGTAAGCCTTCTCCAACACCCTAACTATGCGCCTCCTATCTTCAATGCCATGCCCATGTCCGACTTTCAAAGCTCTCTTTGACCCTGCCAGGGTCTGAATTCTTGCTGGATGGGGCAACTCGCAAGAAGATGGAGTTTGGAGCCTGAGCCTGAGGCCGAGGGGTAGCCTGCTGTCAGAGGGCGCAGATGCCAGCCAAAATGTCGGCGCGAGCAGAATTGTAAGCGGGCGGAATTATCATATCCAAACTGCCCACAAGGTCAGAACGACTTGGCTAGGTCCCAAAACGTTCTCTTGTTGCTATATGCCGCAGGCAGATTGCATGAGTGCACACGAATGACGAACGCAGATTGCTAGGCAAGTGCGGGCGTGGATGTGCACAGACAGCTACGTAATGTAGCAGCCACTCCCAA